TCAAGCTGAATCTCCTACAAACCCATCGGTAGGGGTGGGAGGTCTTGCGCGTGAAAGCTGCCTCTATGCCATCGTCATCTATGAAGCCAGTCAATCCTAAAAGGAGTCCCATGGAGTCCCTAAATGAAACCCTCCCCTAAAGAAATCCCTCACAAGAAGCCAGCAAAATACAAGTGGATATGAAAAGCACAATCACAGCATATATCATGTAGATTCACACACAATCGAGTCAATAGATGAACCCTTCTGATTTCAGATAGCAAAGCTAACTACAAAATGCATCAAAATGCAACATGATTCTCGTGCACGCCCATCCAGAAGGCTTTTCGCATGCACGCCCGACAGGCACACACACACACATACAGACACACGCGCACACATGCACAGCATGTCACTGTGGAAGAATCTGCTTTGTCCGTTCGGCACTGAATTGCAACATATCGCACACGTCAAATAGTCGACAGTCCCAAATTACAACCCAATGCGATGTATTTTCAATTGCTAAACAACTGTGAGAAAACCGATTGCTGTAGAGAAATGGGGATTATCCTCGCCTCACACAAGGCGAGGGTCCGGCTCCACCTTTGGATTTCTTCATAACCTTCGTTTTCAGCTCTCTGCCCAGTCTATCACCTGAGATTCCGGAAGGACAAACAACACAGCCATCACAGGGTCCAAAATGACAAGTCCGCAGCCCAATCAGCTTTATAAACTGTATAAACGTTAATTATATTAATTTATGCCAAGTTGCAGTCTAGGGCCAATCTGAAAACATTGGGGCCGGACTTCATGTACCAACCCCAAGCGTTGAAGCAACCTTTGCAGTACAGTTTATCCGCGCAGGCAGCAACGGAAGGTACACCTTGGCCCTGTCTGCCCCCGGAGTTGGGCCAGCAGCTGGAACAAGTGCAGATCCAGTCCATTGTGGGTTCCTGGATCCCGCGGAGAGATTTCAGATGGCAGTGATGGTACCCCAAAAGTAGAAACCCATTTGATCCGCTTGGAACTAATGGGTTACGATTTCTCCTGAACATCTCAATTCCGAAACATGTCGTGTTTTTTGGGTTCCTAAAACATAACCCGGTAGCATTGGGCTGTGGTTTGTGTTGGATCCCTGTTACTTTGCCCATTCCAACAAGTCTTCACAATGGTCATTAATCACAATGAATCACCATATAAGCCTGTTGGATTTAGAATTAAGTAGCAATTGATGGAACCATTTATTATCAGTTTATTATCCCCTGCATGGACATGCGTGTTTCTCGAAAAAAAAACACCAGTTTCCGACACAAAATCTTTGTTTTGCCGAACAGCTTTTCACAACGGATATTTCCCCCACAAAGTCGGAGTCTGTCCAGCCCAACACGATCACCATTTTCAAGCACCAAGCTTTGTTTTTCCTATACTATCTAAATCTAAGCTTGGAATAGACGTGTGAAGGATGTTTCGAAGCTGCAGATCCAAGAATGGCAACCCATAACCGTCTCTTAGAAAACGGAAACGTCGTCTTGAAGCGTTATACGGGTTTTGAATTTCCAAATGCCAAGGTTCATCCCACTTCATGAGTTCTGTGCGTGCTTCAATCCAAGACCAATCCCCACCTGAATGCTGGAAAACATATGGAAACATTACGTGACCGCCCGTCAAAACTGTGAATTGTACCACAGGTCCCACAGGTCTTTCAAAACCTCTACCTTCATGACTTTACATGAAATCATCTTTTGGAAAATCGAAAATCAACCTTTGAAGCACACATCTTCAAAATTTCTTCAAAATTGTTTGGAGTTCGTGACCGCAGACTATGGAAATGAAAGATCTACGGCGCAAATCTAAGGGGTCTTGAACCAGGATGTCAGGGATGCAACTTGCACTCAGAAGATTAGATGGCTTGGCTTTTCCGATGGTACTGCAGAGGATGATCCTTGGACTAGCAGAAAATCGTTTCTGAAAAGCCCGTCCAGCATCACAGGCTCCTATTGTCACAGCATGAAAATAGTTGAGAATCATAGAGAATCACGGTTCAAGATTGCTTGGAACTGTCTTTGCCTGTGCTCTTCAGTGGACAATTCATGACAACTACCACGAATTCTCACCAATTTGATCAAAGCCACGAGCATAGGGCTTGTAGTCCCACAACACCATTGGCACAAGGTTCACCATGGCCTTGTCGCATCTACAGCACTTGTAGAGCGCGGGGTCAAACGACGAAGCTGCCGCCATTGCCCAGCTGGAGGATGAATGGACTGCTATCGTTTTCAATTTCAAACTACGAGATCCAAACAAATCTAACAAGTAGATGAAAGTAGGTGTATGCCAAAAACTGTGCATATCGTATACATTGCAGCAGACTCTGGATCTGGAATAGACTCAACAATTGTCAACATCAATGGATCACTTTTGTGGCATGGTAAGCACCTGCTTCTGCTTCTGTTTTTGTGTTAAGTCAGGATGCATCGGCCCATCGACAGCCCAATACCTTTCCTGGCTGGAGCAAGGTCAGGATTTGGAGAATCTTCCCATCCACCGCATCGATGTCAAAAATGGTTGGCTGGACTGCCGAGAAGAGCACAAGCTGGTGAGCCCAAAAGACCTCAGACCGGACTGATTTGTCCAACTTTGAAGATGTTGGAATCGCAAAGCAAATCCAGCTGGACTTGAAGGAGTCAAAAACCCGTGGCAAACTGTATTGCCTGAAGCAACCGACGAAAATGCAATACGATGAATTTCTACAGCGGAAAATTTCTTAGGCGGTCCTTAGCTAATGGTTCAACTGTGTTTGAATCGACATTTAAATATGCGGAACTGGCCCGGCCATTTAAATATACGGATGGAACTGGTGTTTCATACTACCTCCGGGGCCTCGCAGTCTGGCCCGCCCTCATCGCTCTCCAAATATTTAAATGTCATGACGTTACCGTACATATATAGTATATTAAATTATTATATATTAAATTATATTAAAGTCAACCTATAGGATAGACCGCAGAGAAGTCATAGAAATAGAAAAGACATTGATTCACATGGAGTAAAGCCTTTTTTAAGCCATAGAAAAAACATGTCATGCAAAACAGCCAAGGACAAGTCAAAATGTGAAACGATCATGGCAAATTGAGCAATTATTAAGCAGAAAAATCCATTGCATTACAGTAAGAGCACCTTTCTTCAGGGTGACAATATGTTCGATAGAATCTTATAATATGAATGTTTTTGTTTATGACAAAATAGTGCACCAAGACATGAGCACATTTTACCGGAGATATTTCGAGGTGTCCTGTGACTTGACCAGAGGGCATTAGAAGAGGACTATTTGCATCCTTGTAAGTCACTGATGCCTGCGTTTTGCTCACCCACGTCGAAAAAAATGAGAATGCGAGCCAAAAACGACACAGCCCGACACCGTAAGATCCTATACGGCACCGTGCGAAACCGTACGGAAAAAAATGCGAAAGTTACAAGAAAAAACGTACGAAACCGTACGCGGCAATTCTGCGCATTTTCGTTCACTTTTTCGCACTTTTTTCCCCGTGCTTGCAGGTGAAAATGTCGCAAAGCACGCCTTAAGTTTGGATCGAAATGTCAATGCTGGCCAAAATAGTCTGCTCAAATAACCTTGCGTTTTTCTGATGGCCGAAACACTCAGCTTCGCCATGAAACGACTGTTGTATTTCTCTAAAGGTTCTGATACTGCCGCCAATTTATCCTCTGTAATACTCTGATCTGTTGAAGCCAAGGCAGCCAAGGAATGCAATCGTAATTTGGTGCCTGTCAATTTGAAACAATGCTGTCACTAGGCTTCCACAGCGGCAGAAAGAAAGCACATGTAAGTGGGAAAAGTCTTGCGGGTGAGCTACTGCAACAATGCGTCATGGGAATTGACAAGTGTTCAATCCCCGATTGTTTCAGCCCAAGTTTTTTGACGAGTAAAGTAAGGGTAAGATGTGCGGTTACCAACGTCAAAGTTAAACTGCGAGGAACCTTGGTTTGGCTTGATTCACGCATTAGTTTACTGCAGGAAAAACTTCAAACCTACCGTTGGTTCTGAAACAGTCCGAACCCAGCGTGTAAAAGTGTGTGAAAACTCTGTGAAAAAACGATGGGAACATCTCGAGAAACATTGGAAACTACTGTATAATATTATAAACTTCGTACTGGAATTTAATTGGAATTCTTGCGGAAAAAGTGATTTACTTTCTCAGGGAGGCCCATTTTGATGTCGTCATTATCATGATAAATCAAACAAAATGCCATATACCGGTAAAACTTAAACATGTTTAAAACGTGATCTTTCGCTGAAACCATGGCCAAAAAAGTGGAAGGACTGGGCAACCACTACCAATGTTTATCGCAGGGGCGTAGAACGCAAAAACTGCTACTATTTTGTCAATGGCAGAAACTTATGCAACTTTCGTTAGTGCCATGTTTTTTTTGCCACTTGGTTTTCCAGCATGGTCGTAAATCCTGTCGCCACATACCACGAGAAAAATGAACCATGGAACAATGAGGGCATTGATATTTATGGACCAACCGCCAAAATGTAGTAGCAAAATCAAAGATGTGTCTCAAAAGATCGGCTCATTTCAAGCAGGTGCTCCATATTCCGCGCATCTTGAACATTCGCAAAATGCACCGCCATGAGCTCCAGACTTCCAAAGGCCGTTCTGGAAGGCCTGCCGTCCAAAAAATGAGATCTGACACATCCAACTTGCTGTTTTTGGGATTCGGTTTGTGCCCCCAGCATGTCGCCACCCTGAATCGAATCTCCTCTTTTCATCTCTTTTCCTCTGTCGACCCCGCACTTGCTTAGAAATGCCTGTCAAAGGTCCCTGCGCTAAACGGAGCAGTTGGCAACTTGCCAATTCTCAGGCATTCTTATGCTTGAGAAGCTCTTAGTTTCTCAAAAGATTGGCACCCTGGCAGGTGAAGAGTGGGCGAACTGCCGATGAAACATGCAGAAGCTATTCTCAGATCCGCTGGCCGCCAGTCCATTGCCCATCGTGGCCATCGCAAGAGTTGGGATTCCCGACCCAGCAGCCTAGGTTTTCGGTATACTGCCAAGTGGAACACTGGTCTTGGCCCATCTTGCAGCAAACATCCTCGCAGGCGTCCGCATCATTCACTGTGCCCAAGTTGAACAAGCCCAAGCATTGTGATATTTGGTCTTGCCAAACACAAGACATCAACTTATCATACTCTTTGGCCTTTTCGTCATTGTCATTTGCCAGCTGTTGCTCCTCCTCATACTTCTGTGTCATCGCATCCAGCTTCTCCTTCAAGGCAATGGTCCTGCGAGTGTTGGTGAACAACTCCTCCTCCATCACATGAAGGCGACACGAAGAAAGCAGCACCACGAGCAGAAGACAAAGAGCAAGGCATCTGCACTGAGTACGAATGCTCCGTAGGTGTTGCGACCCAATCCAATAGCGGATTCTCTTGCATAGAAGTGGGGCCAATGGCAAGACAAGGAAAGTCAGGTACCAAATGGCTAGTGCGAGCCACATTTCGCAATGACTAGCGTAGAATGGCAAAGTCGAAATGGGCAGCGAAAGAAGGATGACAAAAGAAGCTGCCCTCCAGCAAGATCCAGAGTAAGTGGCGCGATAGTAGAACCAAAGAGTCTGGAACTTGGGAAGGGCCAGGGTACATGTGTGTTTCTCCTTTTCTGCAACCTCCATGATCTTTCTCCAAGGCAAATCAAGTGCATCTTGCGACCTTGGCATTGCCAAGTTCGACGCCTCATGCCCGCAGATTGCTTCCACAAGGCGATAGCACCTCTGATACAAGCGAATCGGAGAATCGTTTTCTGGGAACTGCTCACAATGTTTCCTGATATTTTCTGCCAAACATTTTGCGAAGGCCTTGTGCAATAGGCCCTTGAACTCGCGCGACTGGATCTGCGCAGACAAAATCGCTCTGAGGCGCGAATTCAGTTCTTCCACACCGCGAGGGCATCCTTCCGGAGGGAACATCATGTAGATGGGGTCTTCCACATCTGCGCCAGTGCCCTGGAAGGCTTTCTCTGCAAGCTGCTTGATGGCCGACAGGAGCTTGTCTCTGTCCTGGACGCGTTCTGAGTCTGCTTTCGTGGCAACTGGTAGAACTTTGATGGGAAAGCGCTTATCGAAGTTGAGTTCGTACAGCTGCTTGCTCATCCTCTCCGCTTCCGCATCTTGGAATTGGCGAATGAAGGATACGGGGATGCAAAGCAGGATGATGTGAGGTGTGTGTTCTGACACCAGCTGCCTCTCCCTCAAGATCCGCTTGTACTCTGACAATATGTTGGTGCTTGTGTTTTGGCTCCACCCGGGGGTGTCAATCACCACCATCTGCAAGCCCTCTAAGTTCAGCAGATTCTCGATCTGCAGAACTACAGCTTGGGCCTCCAGTGTTCTGTTCTCCATGTGCGGGCCGGGCTCAATTCTTGGCTGATAGTGAGGGCATACTGCTTTGATCAATGTCGTCTTGCCCGCGGCTGCCGGCCCCAAAACCAGACAACTGTGTGTGAGGAGGATCTGATCTGGCACTTTCATAACATTTTCGATGAAGTTCGGTTGAGCTTCCAGAACTCGGGAATCTTGAAACCCCTCCTTCAAACGTTCTTGCAGTGCTGGAGCAACTTCGACATCCTCGAGTACAGCCCATGCTTCTGAAGTGGGAGTCTCTTCAAGCTCCCGTTGTCCCGTTTGCCGGTGGCGTGCCTCTTCTCCTTCAAGCAGTGGACGAGGATCCACTGTCTGAGAATCCATGGTCGGAGAAGCCGACGACGACCTACTCTTCAACTGAGGGCACTTGCTGGATCCGGCAGATACATGTCATGCAAGCACAGCAGGTTAAAGCAACAAATAAATACAACGGACTGTGCAGCCTCAGGTCTGCTCAGATATTATACGTCAGAGAAGAAAGGAAGAGTCGAGCGTAGTGGAAGTTTCACGAAGTCTACTTCCCCTATTCTTCCCCTACTCAGTACGTCTTAGGCCGTCGCACCTGAAAGGCATCTCTCAGTGATGACGAAGACCTCTGCCAGCAAACCCATACCTGCTTCAGCCAGACTTGGACCATCACGCAACAGCACTCGCAGAATCTCACTGGAAGTCCTTGCGTGAAATATATAGATTATATAGTGAATCAAGTCTTCACTATCTTCCAACCAACGCTTTCCATGACACGTTCCAAGATCAAAACCTGCAGTCCCATGGCTCCCATGGTTTACCCGATATCCCCATCCTCCATCGCCTCTCATTGCCATGGATTCCTTGATCCAAATTGCTGGAGGCTCAGCCTTGGAGCACACACCCCACAGGCGGACAGTTGGATGTCAGGCTGAGATATGCTATATGAATATGCTATATGAATATTTTGAATCTGCGATACAGGCTGTCAGTTCCAAAGACTGGTTTGCAGCTCGGTGACACTCATTGTGTTCCCAGACCCTGTTAAATCGGGGCATCCTCATCTTGCCAGGCCTTCTTACAGTCTTGTAGACTATCCGCATGTGTTACCGTGTTCGGAAGTAGGCCCCGTCCAACTCCATCCAAATGATCCAATCTCATCTGGTCCGGGCCAAAAAAGACCCTAGAACACTTGTAACTTGGAGTGCTTATTACTGCCAATTGAGGAAGTGGAACAGGATTGGTGAACTTTCCGCAAATGCGCTCGGTTCCACATCACCTGTCCTGTCAGTTGCAAAGTTCACATTGATGCGATAGCTGAGAGCCATGTTGTCTTCACAAAGCCTGGGGGGTGGGAAGCAAGTCGCAAAGAGACTCGAAAGATTCATTTACTTCTGCCTGTCACACAACCAGCTGCCCCTGTTGTCGGGCTCTTCCCCGCCCACCGCGCGCAACAGATCTGGTCGGGCGGCTCAAGGCTCTCATCATTGACTGATGAAAGCTCAGTGAGCCGCGCAGCGCTTCCTGTCGATTCTGTTTTGGCGCATTGCTTCAGCATCTTGGCATTTCGTTCAATCTTGAAACTTCGGTCAACTGGGGGCTGCATCTGAAGTTCTTGTGTCAGCATGTCTCAGAGGACGAGCGCTGGCCATCCTGGAAGTGAATTTATTTTCATGCACTGCACCAAAAGGATTCACAGCCAGGATAGCCAGCGCTCGATGAAGTTGAACAATCGACTCTCCACCTTGAAAATGCACAGAACAAAAGCACAGCTGAAGCTGCACTAGCTGCCGACCGAAGCAAGCCAAACAGCTTTTAGGTGCAGCAAGTGCACGTAGATACGTAGAGGTCTTGTTTGTATCTCCCAACTTGCTTTTCTGATGATTCTTTGCAAGTTCACTTTGCAAGGTCTGAAGTTGCAGAGCATGTCTTCCCCCAACTGGCCACAAGCATCCACGGCACAACAGTGTTCAAACCTTTCAGGAAGACTACTGGAGCAACTTGCTTGCCGTCCCAAACTGACACGTGCCATGGCACACCCTCTACCTGCACAGAAAAGGACATAGCATCGCGGGCTTGAGATTTGCTGCGCAAGATCAGAAACACTGGTGGAAAGATGTAGGCACCTCAACTTGAGGATCTGCAAAAAGATGGCAGTTCTCTACGGACCTCAAAACAAGCATTAGAAGGCAGTCGCCAGTGCATGCCTGACTGACAAGCTTTTTGAATGAGCGCGTTGGTCTATGAATTTTGCATATTTGTGCTGGAATTTCTCAGCCGCAAGCGTTGAATTCAACATGCAGTGGAATATGGTCCACTGGACTCTTTGCACATTCTTATCATTCTTCAACATTGCAATAAAGTAAACTGCCCATGGACTATTCCAATTATAAAATTCATGGATATGTGTGTGTGTGTGTTTTCTTCTCTCTCTCTCTCTCTCTCTAGCACTCTTATTGGAAAACATCAGGATACTGCGAATATTGCGAATAGCTCAAGCCTTTGCAGGCACCATCACGCTGAGTTCATTCCGCTTCTTGCTGAACCTAAGAGGAGGCATGGAACACACAAAGCATCACAATAGGCGAGGGCAAGCAGCGGCCATGGCTGACAGAGAATGTGATTTCCGCAAACAAATGAACGACATTTGAAACAACTGACTCGGAATACTAGGCAACAGGGAAGAGTGACTATCACATGTGATGTCCATGTCTAGCATCAAAGCTGCTCTCACTTTTTTAGACTTCAAAATATCTCGGACTGTTTCCGCAGCGGCGTGGATCTCTTCTTCAGTGTTGTAGTATGAAGGACTTAATCTCACAGTTGCTGGTAAATTCCAGGCAGAGTCATCAAAGGTATGAAAGGGAGGCGCCACGGAAACTGCGATCCTTCGCTGGGTCAATGCTTCTTTGATTTCGTCTGCGGTGATCCCCAGCCCCGAAGCTTCAAAGGTGACAATGGCACATCGAGCTGCAGAGGTTGCAGCTGCAGTGGAGGTCTCTGGGGCATCACGCAAGGTGACACCCTGATTTTGCCGCAGCTCGTCTCTCAACAGTTCCGCCAAGAACGATGCTCGTCGAAAAATCCGCTCAGGGCCAATGGTCCTACAAGCGTCAATCGCAACAGCCAGGCCACAGTGAAGTGCAGGGGAAGATTCCCACATTTCAAATCGCCGGGCACCAGCACTCAACTCATAATGATCTGATCTTTTCCAAGAAGCTGAGACGTGATCGATCATGGCGGGTTCACCCACTAAAGATGAAGATGAAGGACCTTCATAACGCAGTCCAGTCTGGGATTCAGATGATTCACTTTGTGGCAAAACAGACTTCCGTGCATAGAGAAGACCCGTTCCTCGCGGACCACGAAGCCATTTGCGACCGGTGCCACAGGCGAAATCACATCCAAGAGCTCTCAAATTCACCGGCAACTGACCGATGGATTGACATGTGTCCAGCAGAAAAATGGCCCCATGTTTCTGTGCGATTTTACCCACAGCAGCTGCAGGCTGCACAATGGAAGAGTTGGTTTGAATATGAGTCAAAGCAACCAAAGAACGACTTGAGCTGGGCATCGATTCCAAAGCCTTCTCCAGGCTTTCGATGTCAACGACTCCATCACTGCGCATGGGTAAGACCTGCAGCTTCACGCCTTTCTTAGCTGCTTGCACGAAGGCAACCGCATTTCCAGCATACTCACTGGCCCAACAAAAGATGTGATCTCCTGGTCGAAAAGCTAAGCAAGCAAAAGCTTTTGCCCAAGCGCTTTGTGCCGATTCAGTGAGAGCAATCTCGTCCGCATCACAACCCAAAAGTTCTGCTGCTGCTTGCCGCGCATCTCGGCCGTGTTTCACATATTGCGCTTCTGCTTCGTAGCCTCCAACGTCCCGTTCCTTCGACAGAAACTGAGTCATCGCATCAAACACCTCCTGGGAACATGGCGAAGCACCTGCAGCATTGAGATGAAGCCAACCTCCCTGGTCCCATGATTTGATTCCTCGTCGCCAGGATTCGAACTCTTCCGGTGCTGTGACTTCTGTGACTTCTCCATGTTCCTTTCGTTCGTTGGGATGTTGAAATCTCCGAATGGCCCTTAGGCAAGGCCAACCCGGGAAGCGAAAACAACGAGAGACACCGGCATGGCACAGCATCACGAAGACTTTGTTCGTTTGCTCAACTGAAGCTTGAATACTTGTAAATCTCTGTTTTGTTAGCCCTTTTATCTGCAAAATCATGCAAATTCTCTTCATGTGTGTTTGTACACATGCAGTCTGGCAGTTTCACTGCTCAGGGTTTGCATGAAACAAATAAACGAAGCAGATCGATTGGCTCTGTGACCCACGGTCTCTTTGCGCTTTCAATTTGTTTCAACATTATTGAATTGACCTGACAGGTCAGTTGTGGTGGCATCCATGTGGGAGCGGAAACTGCAATCTCTCCTTATGTTCCCCAAAGAGAACTCCTGTACCTTACGTTTCTTGCTCTCTTCCAAGGTTCGGTTAATAATGTTAATACATGTTAATGCATTCTGCCCTGTTACCTGGGAATCAGACTTTGCACGTGCAGCCGCCGGCTCAATGAGCACCTTTTCAAACAACACCGCCGCAGCAATGTGCCAGTCCATTGTCAATCTGATGTCAAGCCCGTGTGGCACCCCACAACTTGAAAACATTTGCCATCTGCGGATTGTGAAAACCATGGAAAACCTATAGTTCATTTATACTTCATTCAAACGCCACCATCTCCATCTTCAATCTTGGGACCCCACTGGAAATGGTCCTGCGTTCACTGCATATCGTGGTGCTGGTTCCTTCGTTCCGCAAAGAAGAGAGGGGGGTCGGCACATGACTTCAGAAGAGATGGTGGAGCTGCAAAAAAAAATCCAATAGTTGAACGTATTTGAACGTCTATAAAATCTGTTTCAGACCACCTCAAAAGAGTACCCGGCTTTGTCATGACTTGTCAATCTCATGGTTTGTCAATCTCACAGGTCTTTGGGGCAAGTGACCGAAGATAACGATAACAACTCTCATTCAACGGCCGTCTTTGCAACGAGTTGCAACGGTATTGAGACGCACGTGTTTCTCTGCAATGTCCAAGACCTGAAGTTTTCACGGCATGGCCGGCATGGCGTCCCAACGGACATAGCTACAGAAGATTATCACTGCTCGGCAAAGCGGAGCTCACGAGTGTGACCAAATGGAAAAAAAACATCTATAATCATCTATATAATTCTATGAGCATATCTAAGCATCATGCGAAAACCATGCGAAACTACGTGACACGATCCAACCCATTCTGTGCTCCAGACAATGCAGCTCATGTCCTGCACGCCTGGGAGCTCACAAATCAGTTCCATTGCCTTAGCGAAACGTAAGTGATATGGAAAATGCAAAATCAACACAAGTGCATTTCGTGCTACCAGTACTGCAACATGGCAGGCACTTAGATGAGGGCACTGTATTTTCCGTCATCATCCTTCTTGTACTGCAGTCGATGGTTTGGAAGTATGACCTGCAACGCAAAGAACATCAATGAATCAAGAAAGCAAAGTGTCGGCACCTTGAACGGCCCAGACACCTTCAAAAGTGCAATGCATGATCAACCTTCAAATTTCAGAAACTCCACATTAATATCCAAAAAATCTGTCCACTCTGCCTCCGGTGTCTTTATGACCTTCACTTCTGGAGCTGCCTTTTTCGGTGCACCACAAAGACCTGGCCAGGATACATTGGATACATGTCGTGAACTGGGACGATTTTCGAGCTGTGCATCACAACAGAAACGGTATATAGTGCAGCTGCAGTAACTCAGTAAACGTGAAAAGTCTTAGAGTCTTAGAGTTTGAATGACATCACATGACGTCACAGAAATCCAAGAGTGAAATAGAGATAAACAGAGTGAAGTCTCACAAGAAACATTTCAGTAAGAGGCCATGAAGTCAACGATTGCGCCCAAGCATTTAGGCCGCCAGACGCTTGTGAAGCTCCTCTGCTTCTTTCGCAGCCTCCTCAGCACCGTTCAGCCTGAGATCGGATAAAGCTGTTCAAATCTGTTTGACCAAGTTTGGCATACGGGCATACCGGTCAAACAAGCATTCCATGGATCTCAGCCCCTTACTTTTTGGTGTGCTCACCTGAAGAAAAGTGACATTTGCGAGTCAAGCTGTGATGCATTGTGATGCATTATCAGATAAACTGATTGGCTTTTCACCATGAAATTCACAGAAATCACAGTGCAAATGCCACATTGATCCACATTGAACATATTGAAGCCAGCAAGTGTATGCAAGTGTCCTTTTATCTTTTTATTCACATTGAATTATGGACAAGTTCGAATTATTTTGAGACAAAGTGGAGACAAAGTGATGCTTCAAGGCCTGGATCCCCAGCATTGTTGACCAGCTTCGACATCAACTCTTCCATTTCACCAGGATCTGTCAGCATCCTGCATCGATATGAATCGATATGCAATGGTAGGCTCGGAATTGGAAGAGTTTCCAGGGTATGAACGCATGAACAAGCGTGTTTTGTTTCCAAGTGCAAGGTTGCAAACATCACACGTCTTTTCTTATTTTTCTTGGCGCTCGACTCGCGCAAGCGTAGATCGCGCATTGTTATTCTTAAATCATGTGCTCAAGTGTCTCAAGTCTCGTTTCAGTTGCAGCCATCTGTGCATGTGCATAGATTGGAGTCCCGGAAAATGCCCAAGAGGCCATACTGGCACATACTGGCCATACTCAGAAATGGCCAATGATGTCAATGTCTAGAAACTTGTCTCCACAGTACTCACATGTCACAATCGGACATCGATTTCAACTAGGTCGTCTTGCGGTCCTTTGAATGTCTTCGTTGGACATTCCTTCCTGCTGCATGAAATTCACGAAGTCCTCTGGACTGGAGATGTTTTGCAGGGTCTCCTGGGATTGGCTGAACTCGTGGCAGCTGTATCAAAAATACTTCTGCCGGCAGCCCGGCAGCCTGCTGCTTCTGTAGGGCATCAAGTTGTTTGCGGGTGGCCTAGAAGTCACGTTGTTCTGAAGACATCTGAAGACAATCAGTGCGGTGGATTTATGAGGCATCCAGCAACGGCATGCAACGGCATGCAACGGCATGCAACGGCATGCAACGGCATGCAACGGCATGCAACGGCAACATCAGCACCCCAGTTAAAAACATTCGAGGGACGCTTTGATGCCCACCTCTCTCCCTGCTTCCATCTCTGCCTCAAGCGTCAATGGGACATTCGGGTGGATTTGATCTCAAATCAGCTTGGCCGGGCCTTCATCTTGTCCATTCGCTTCAACATACTGTCAGCCGACTCCTGCTCAATCATTCGACATAGCTTCAAGCGTTGACAGTCAATGAAGCAGGCCCTCTCATCGCCTTGAAACAGACTCTGTTTACTTCCTCCGAATACTGTCTTCGTTCTTAATCAGTCAAGAAGTAGCTATATATAGTTATATTATGTAAAGTAAATACAATACTTGGCAAGAGTGGGACCATCGTCGAAAATGCATACACCAGCAGTGGGGAATGGACAGTTTCTGCATACTAAATGCCTCACGTTGAGCACACGATGAACACGCAATGCACAGAAGTCCTCCAAATCAACAGCCCCAGGCCTGGGGAAACCGATTGATGTCAACTTGTCACAGTGGACATGAGGCAATGTACCGGAACCAATGATTGTCATTGATTGTCATTTCCGAAAAATGAAATCATTCCTATTGGAAGTTGCTAAAAATATCTAAGGCAAAACAGTTCCATGATTTCCATGTTTTTCTTTTAGGTAAAATATAATATATAATATCAACAATCACGTTAGGTGGGAAGCTGACCAACGCACACAGGTGCAGCTGCAAGACTCCGATTTTCAAGAAATGGTCACTATATGTTACTATGAGATGCTGCGATAGTTCTATGTACAACTTCATTTGCGCACTGTGCTTCTCCCTGAGATTGCATCTGGTCACCAACGATGATCTCAAAGCTCTCAGCGACGCATCAGTCGTTTCCCCATTTGGGAATTCTGGAAAGATCAAACTCCATACACTGCTTCTTGGAGCTTGTGCGACCTCAACTGGGAAAGGATGCTGGAATATGCTGGAATAATTATGGAATAGTCCTATTGAGTTAGGGCTGCGTGATGTTGCGTGGAAGACCACCTTATCATTTCGCATCTGCCGAGCAACTTCCAACACTTGCTGCTTTTCCAATCATGAGGTTCTCCTTCACACCGTCCAGGGCATGCCGGCCTGGGCGAAGGGCTTCCCCGTGTCGGAAATCGAAACCTGTGCTGAGCTTCACTCAATTTCCATAGCAAATCATAGCATTCGGCTTCTACGGTCTTCGCCTCGAAGTGCTACAAAAGAAAGAATGCTCAACAATTAGACAATATGTAAATGATGTGTCCATACTGTATATACTATGTGTATGATATATAACTTATTCATAAATACAGAATAATTTGTCATTTTTCACAAACACATGAAACATTTCCAGCTAACATTTCCGTGTTAAATGCTCGCGCGCTCGCGCTGCACACCCCGCGGCTGGTTGAGCTCATACGTTTTGAATCAAACCAAAAAATAATATTAGAACATGTTATCACTATATGACAATATATCACTACCAGTATCACCAAATATCACCCATTCGCCTGTGCCATGCAAAACAGCGCTGGTGAGGACGTTGTCAACTTCCCGGAAACCCATCGCCATCAACACGTGGCTGTTGTCTCTGCCCACTTCCGTCAAGCCCATCACCAATGGTCGGACCTGCACCTGGAAAATCACAGGCGTTGCTTCATCATGCTTCAATGGTCAATGATCTACATCAACGTAAGTACATGTTAGTACCAGCACCTTCAATTTTGTTCAGGTCCTATCGGTCCTATGTTTGCACTTGACACGGACCTCTCCACTGGGCTGAAGTGCGCAAAGCGCTTCCAACTGCGCGTATTGCAGCGTTGTGCCAGGTGGCAACCCGCTGGTACCCTTGAGAATTTGACACTTTTCCTTGGACCACGGAGATGTCACTTCTGACAGCAGCTTGTTTTTTGTGATCTTCAGAGCCATGAGATTTGGAACAAACGATTTTCATCGATTTCCTTTTCTTCCATGTTTCCGTCATCCGGCGCACCACCACCTGGCATGGATGGTTCCTACACAAAACACTGGCAGCCAGAAGGATTTTTCCGGCGCATCATTACATGAATGGAATTTAAACACAAAGCGGTTTCTTCGAAGAAAGTCCACGCCTCAATATGCTTGCTGCTAATGCCTACCTTGGCATCAAGTAGAAACGGTGTGAAGTTCTGGGCCAATCAAATGTCCTTTGAATCCTGTTGGAACATACAAAGGCGTACAATAACAGGCTCAATGATTGTTAGTCTTTTCAGTTCTTTCCGACACTGCAGAAATACAGAAACCCTTCCGCTCTTTGGCAAAGTTACACCTTGCTCGCCGTAGGCCGACTGAATCTCGCTGACCAGTTCATTTTCAAACCTGCAATGTACAGTTCGGAACTGGACATGTGCCCCATGAAACCCTATTCCAAACGCCAGCGGATTAAAACAGAAAACAGACACGACATGAAAAGAAAAACGACCGATTTCTGATATTTTCCTTGGTTGTTCTGGAGGGATCTGTTAGCTTAGCGCTTAGGGGGAGGTGGCTTGGCCTGAAGCGAGCATGAATCGCAGCATCCAGTCCAGAGCGATGCTGAATCTCCTGTCCAATCCGACCGTTGTTCGATGAACCCAGCTGGTTATCAGGGCCCTGCAGAAATTTGTTGTAACTTTGCAATTTCAGTTTCTGGCCTCAGCGAAAATCTCATCGATGCGCTTTTGGTGCTGCCCTCCAGCCGCCTCCGCGGAAGAAAACAATATCAAATCTGCTGATTGACATCGAATGGGTCAAAAATGTTTTTTTAAAAAAACAAAGCATGAATCAATAATAATCAATATGAATCATCTTGGATTCAGCTGTTCATTGATTCTACAATATTAGATATATAATATTATATAATATATATATATACATTATATATTGTGTGGTTTTATTCTGGTTTGATGTTTTTGTCGACATGACACCCATGTCCTGGCCTCAAAGAGTCTGTCGATACGCGGAAGGCCTTGTACGATGTCGGAGGTGCGAGGCACTGGCATCGGTTCCGTGGCCAAGATGTCTCCCATCTGCACCACAGACCCATTCTTCACCTGGATAACAAAATCAACGAAAACACATCACAAACAACTCAAATAACAAACAAAATGACATTAAATGACTAAAAACAAACAAATCAGAACAAATCAGAACATGATCAAAGATAACATAGGCAGCAGTTGTAAAGCAAGGCCATGCAAGGCCCCTACCTGGATGTTACCTTTGTTGGTCACCAGGTATGCAGCAGCTTTTCGTAGCAGCACGCAGTATTTCCCAGACTCCTTGGATTGAAAACAGCCGGCCTTGGCCATGCCATTCTGAAAGTTGGGCATCTGAAGTGAGTACGGTAACGAGATGTAACGAGCCTCATTCGTACCATTTTGATCCATTTTGTACCTGTGTTCATCTGTGTTCCATTGTGTTTCATTTCTGCATTCCATTTTGTGCCAAGGATCTTCATTCACCTCTTGGATCGATAGGACCTGGCACAGAGCTGGCTCAGCTGGCTCAGCTGGCTCAGCTGGTTCGGCTGACGCAGCCGGTTGTTTCCGATGAATATCGATGAATCAAACCGTAAGCGAACCGGAACCGAACCGGAACCGAACCGGAACGGCCGAAATCAGAACAGCTTCGAACAGCTTCGGAGCCTGTCCCGGTTGCGGACAGTGCTCTTTGGCACTGAGAGGATCATGGCGACGCAGCAAGTCTCCAACACGGCAGGTGGGCTCCGCATGACCTCGTTGTTTCAAGTGAGCCGCATTTGAGGTCAGACTTGGATCTTGGAACAACATTTCATTATCTTTCATCATATTGTCACAATATTAGTATGTCAATGTATGTCATAATGTCATAGTCAAGTTATGTCAAGCATTTCCGGAGCAACCGGGTCCAGCGGCACGGCACTCGGATGACATCATCGCCATTCAAAACCACCGTGGTGAGCCTTCGAGCAGTGCTAAACAGTTGGGTCCTTCTGAAATGCAAAGATTGGTTTGGAAACTTCAACTGTACATGACATGAACACTTCAAAATATTTCAAAAAGACCTTCGAGAATCTTGAGTGTCGTGAAGCTGCGCTCTGCACACGATTCCTCAGATTTCAAGGGAGTGTGTTTCAGCATGAGCTGAAAGATAAGCTTCTTGACTGCGAAACAAATTTGTTTCTTAGGCTTTCCATTTTTTTTTCGAAACGAGATACCACCTGTCTGTGAGGGGATTGCGCGTCTAGGAATCAACTGCTCAGAGCCTGTGCAAAGCTCATGTCCTTGGGTAGCACAACATCCAGTTGTAACTAACCAGCAACAGCACCCAAAGACTACACAGCCAGCAAAAACAGAAACGTCTTATACGACGTCTGAAGAAGGCTACAGAGTCAAATAGTCTTGGAATTCTTGTCGGTGGGTGAGGGGACACCGAAACGCTCAAACAGTGCGGACATTGCAATTAAATATTGAGAATCTCGCAATGGCAGGATTGCAAGATAATGTAAGAGTGCACATTTTTCATACAACCATCAACAGATAATACAAAATATTAAAATATGATATGTAATAGATTGTCAAAGCGTCCTGTGCATGTTCTAACTTGAGGCCGGGGGTGGATGACGAAAGCTAGCGGGGTAGGAGAAAGAAGGAAGGGAAGAGGTGAGTTGCGGAGGGACTGTCATCATCGTGTCGCGGCATTGTTCGTCCCAACGAGGATGCAACAATGATATATGATATATGATATATAACAATGATATATATGGGGGAGGGGTCAGGGGGGCCCTTTCGCGTGAAAAATCACGTGATGTCCTTGGGGAGCTTGCCAATAATGATAAAATGTAATTGAATAACGATGATGATGATGATGATGATGATGATGATGATGACGAGGACGATGGCGAGGACAATTACGATGATGATGACGATGATGATGACGATGATGATGATGATGGTGATGGTGGTGGGGGGGGTCCCCCCCCTTTCGCGTGAAAAATCACGTGATGTCCTTGAGCAGCCCCCGGAATACTTGCTAAAGCAAGAAGACTCCAGCTAGCTGACGCTAGCTTTCGTGAAAATCATGAACATCAATACATACAATATCACTTGTTAGTTAACCATCATTAACCATCATTAACCATCATTAACCATCGTTATCACTTATTACTTAACGATCAAAGCAAAAAATCGACCAATCAAGGCACCCGGCTCAGCCAGTTGCCACTGTGAATCTGCGGCAGCAGCACGAGATGGACCCAGTGGAGTGTGCTGCACCACACAAAGGTCACCAGGTTTCCAAACCTGTGATGGAAATGAGAAAACATGGGGAAAAGAAGGGTTAACACACATAGAACCCAACTGCAAAATAAGATAACATATGATAAAATAAGTATGTAATGATAATGATGAATAATGATGATGCAATATCAACAACATTCAACAACATAAATGATGGTGCCTTCTGTGACATTCTGATGCAGGTCGTGTTGCTGTGATGGTCTGTCAACGGTGTCAACGTTTGCCAAGTTGGCGAGGTACAGAAGACTCGTCCAACGGAGTGTCTCCTGCTCCGCAGTGAAAAGTACCGCTGCTCTGCACCTAGGGTGGTGCGATTGTCTCTTCTGGAAGAAAACAGTCAAGTCTCTCAAAATATCCCAGAATCTTCACACTTATATACACTTATCATCTTTACAGTCTTGACCGCTTCTCAAATGACTGTCTTGCAGTGCACTGTTCTGCATTTTTGATCTTTTTTGAACGTACTTGAACTACCCCATTCTGAGATTTCGGAGCGTAGAATCTGCGCAAGCGCACCCTCTGACCACCAAGGCGCAAGTTGACCAGTTGGTGATACGGTAGCGCAGTGCCTCAGAAATCTGCGGAATCTCTCCCTACTATCTATACTAAGTTATATATAAATCTATATAAATTCATAGAAATTTATACACTCCGATCACTATGATTTGATGTCGAAAAGACAGCGGCAAACCCATCTGGAGCCATGGCACAGATCTTTTGGATGGCGACCAACACTGGCCAGGATCTCATGAGCCAAGATGATGGCTGCTGGTGATTCCACTACTTCACCTAGCGCAGCTGCGGATTGGGAGTGCCATTGGAGTACTGTTAAATGTACTGAAAAATAAGAATTGAATCTAGCTATTTCCAATAAATATCAACCATCTAACCTGTTAATATCTGTTAATATCTGTTAATATCTGTTAATATCTGTTAATATCTGTTAATATATGTTAATATCTGTTAATATCTGTTAATATCTGTTACAGCCAGGTGACCATGGTAGGGCACGTCCCAGAATCTCATGGTCTGAGATTCTGCTGGCATTGGCATTGGCATTGGATGCTTCGGTAAATCGATACGACGAGTATGTCCTTGCAAAACGCAGAGTTGCCCCTTCCACCAAGTCTATGCAAGTCTGATATGGATCTTGGACTGTCATCTCAATGCTTCACTGAAAGTGACGAATGATGAATCAAGGGAAGCGTCGTATATTCAGGCAAGGCACTTAGGAGAACGCGAACATTCTTATTGGAGCGCGGATCATCCAAGATTTCGACCTCAGTACACTTGGAAGATCCAAAGATGTTTCCGATATGACAATTTTAGCATGTTGGACCTCAGTAGCTCGAAGTCGGACCATTCTCAGTCGAATTGAATCCAGGTCACAACAATCCAATCATCGTGAGCTTTGGTCGAGGGAAGCTTTGAGCAGACGGGCACTTGGGGCGGAATAGCTCTCTGGTGTAGATAGACCTGGGTGAGAATAGCAGCGTTTGTTTACCCCTTGTAGGGGTTGTCGTGTAACCTCCGTTTCGTCTAATTTGCTGTGTCTGTTTCTGGTCTCGCATTTTGCAAGGCACTCCGTCTTCAGCAGCATCCCACCAATCTCCCTCGCTGAAGTACTCACCAGGAGCGAAGAAAACTCGCCCTGGCTTGATGGCACCTGGGAGTGTGATGGGAATCTGAGATTAGTTGCTGGGAACCCATCGGCAAGATCTAAAAGAACTGAGACTATCTGAGACTTGAACACTCCCAGTGATCTCCTTCCAAGTTGTCCAGGTCTGCAGAGTAGTAGACCTCGCTGCAACACGTGCAGGCTGCAGGGCATCCAGATCATCCAGATCATCCTGGACAACATGGACAACATGGACAACCTACTATCAACATCTATCAACATCTATCAACCACTACTGAGCGCTGAATTTGTGCTGAGAAACCCTCTGTCGACAGCGTCGCACCTGAGAGATTTCAGCCATATTTGCGACACAGCTTGAAATGCTGGGAACACTTTTGCACATCTTTGATATCTTTGGATCATGTTCCACCATGTTTCATCATTTTTCCAGGTGTTTCCCATATTTTTCCATTGTTTCCCAGGTGTTTTGTATCAAAAGGGTAGCCCATGGTAGCCCTTTGGCTCTGCTGCCGGGACTCCACTGTGCCGCTCTCCTGGGTCTCTACGTCGAAGTTGCCATTGGAACGTTTGAAGAGGAGCTCCCTGGCAGCCGATCATATTAATAACTATAACTATTATCATCTATTGTATGAATATAATTGTTGTTAATTTCTATAACTATTAAAAAATATTCATAGTTATTATCATCTATTCTCATCTATTGTTGTTAATATATGAATAAATATAATAATATATTATTGTTAAATATGACCACTATTGATGATAACTAAAATAATCATATGCATAATTATTGTTACATATTGTCACTATATTGTCACTGTCTACATTACATTTAACATTACTACCACCAAAAGTATCACTATGTCACTATATTGTTATTATAGATTTGTTATGGTTCTGATTATTGCAGTTGTTGTCATTGCATATTATTGCAACAATTGCAACACTTTAGATTCAGTGCAATTCTCCGTTCAGTTTTGATTTGAAGCTCTGTGTGTGCAGATTGCCCGAAGGCCTCCCCACTCCAATGCATTCATCGTGCTTATTTCTGATGTCCTGCAAAATCTGCAAATTGTAACCCACCAAAATCCACAGAATCCACACAGAATCCACACAGTGCAGCGCTTAAACAGTGTGGTCCAGTCACAAAAAGTGTCCTGATGCGAGTGACTGGAGAATTTGATGGTTTCCTCCGGCGACCAAAGCACTGAAGTTGCACCTGCGGTAGCTGTAAACATCTGATCTGTCCTTCAAAATTCATGGCACACCATGGATTTTCACCATATTTCTGAGACTTCGAACTGCTGGTAGCTGTTCCATGTTGGAAAAATCGTGATAAATCAAGTTGAATATGTTGAATCAACACAAATCACTCCATTTTGGGGTGCTTATTGTACGGTAGACCTGAAACGTTGGTGGACTCTATCTTGAAACCTTACACTTCAACAAAAAATATGCAGCTCTTCAAAATTCCAGCAAATCTGACTTCCAAACTTTTTCATTGTCGCAGCTTGCTCTCAGCCGGTTCCCAGGTGCCTTCCCAATCCACTTGCAACACCAAACCACCAGAAGGTGCAAGCTGATCTACGGAGAATTCTCGGCAGGTGGGGCTCAAGACGGTGCCTCGCAAGCAACAATTTGATCAGTTCATGTTGGATCAACCGTTTCAAGATGTTTCAAGATGTTTCAAAATATTTCAAAATGTTTCAAGTTGTTTCAAGATGTTTCAAGATGTTTCAAGATGTTTCAAGATGTTTCAAGATGTTTCAAGATGCTCCAAGATGTTTCAAGTTGTTTCAAGATGTTTCAAGTTGTTTAAAGATGTTTCAAGATGTTTCAAAATGTTTCAGGATGCTTCAAGATGTTTCAAGATGTTTCAAGAGGTTTCAAAATGGTTCAAGATGTTTCAAGATGTTTCAAGATGTGTCAAGATGTGTCAAGATGTGTCAAGATGTGTCAAGATGTGTCAAGATGTTTCAAGATGTTTCAAGATGTTTCAAGATGTTTCAAGATGTGTCAAGCTGTTTCAAGCTGTTTCAAGATGTTTCAAGATGTTTCAAGATGTTTCAAGATGTTTCAAGATGTTTCAAGATGTTTCAAGATGTCTCAAGATGTCTCAAGATGTTTCGAGATGTTTCAAGATGTTTCAAAATGTTTCAAGATGTTTCAAGATGTTTCAAGCTGTTTCAAGATGATTCAAGATTTTTCAAGATGTGTCAAGATGGTTCAAGATGTTTCAAGCTGTGTCAAGCTGTGTCAAGATGTTTCAAGGTGTTTCAAGATGTTTCGAAAGGTTTCAAGATGTTTCAAGATGGTTCAAGATGTTTCAAGATGTTTCAAGATGTTTCAAGATGTTTCAAGATGTCACAAGATGTCACAAGATGTTTCAAGGTGTTTCAAGATGTGTGAAGCTGTTTCAAGATGTTTCAAGATGTTTCAAGATGTTTCAAGCTGTTTCAAGCTGTGTCAAGCTGTGTCAAGATGTTTCAAGATGTTTCAAGATGTTTCAAGATGTTTCAAGGCTCCTTGCAGCATTCTCATCATCATTTGTCATCTTTGTTCACTGGCTTGCCAGTTTTACCTGATCTTGTTTGTGTGATGATTTTTTCTGACTCTCCCTGTCATGCAGGACCTCTGAAAACGACAGCTGTCCCATGCAGTGCCTGTGCCCTGTGATGGAGCGTTGCATAATGTCCGCACTGTGGTTCTCCCGGTTGCGTCATCTTGACACACCTGTTGCCCAACGGACATCAAAACCCTTCATTCTTGCCAGCTTGTAAAATCTTACATTTCTTACATTTCACTTTCGTAGCGAGATGCTCACCTTTCATCACCTTTCATCACCTTTCATCACCTTTCATCACCTTTCATCACCTTTCATCACCTTTCATCACCTTTCATCACCTTTCATCACCTTTCATCACCTTTCATCACCTTTCATCACCTTTCATCACCTTTCATCACCTTTCATCACCTTTCATCATATCTTTCCTATCAACAGGTCGTCGCACTGTCTTGCACGGACATGGCGCGCCGCCACGCCTGCGTGAAGACCTTCACCTGCACGGGCGCTTCCACGGTGTCCTTGCGAATCTTTGCCGCATTTTTGAAGGACCGCGCCAGTCCCTGAAACAGACCGTGACACGTGTGACAAAATGTGAACAGCAAAAGATCAACCAAGCAGAAGCAAATATGAAAGCAAACATGACCAAATTCCAGAAGGCTCAACAAAGCAGGGCAGTTGCACTTCGGCCAAAAACAACCGAAACATAAACGAAAGAAAGACACACCATCGCCATCCATCGCCTTTTGCAGGTCTTTCCTCACTCCCGGTAAGTTGCCATGATAGTCCTGTCGAGTTCCGTGACATGACATGACCACCATTGACCATCTTCATAGTCTTCGTATCACGATGAAAGAGTGATTTTCGAGTTTATACGATATGGCATTGCCAAATATCATCAAGATTCATCAAAAATCCCAGTTTCACAAAGGGCTTCACAAAGGCCCTAAGGCTCTAAGGAAAGGCCCTAAGGCGCCTCTTGCAAGGCCCCAGGGATCTTTCCACGGACGACATACTCGGTGGTTTGTTGCGCAGGCAGCTCGAAGGAATCAAAGTCGGTGCGCATGCACAGTGCTTCCTTCGACAAGTTCGACGGAAAAACAGCGGTAAAACATGGTAAAACAACATGTGCAAATAGCAGTACCTTCCATTCTTATCCATTTTTCCATATTAGCTTTCAATACCCGACACAAGAGAAGAACAACCAAGAACAACCAAGAACAACCAAGAACAACCAAGAACAACCAAGAACAACCAAGAACAACCAAGAACAACCAACTAGAATCAATGAGGGACTGTGTGATCTTGCCTTCGTCTTTGTTGTCCTCGGCGGCTCCTACACATTTTTCAGGGCAGATCTTTTTATAAATTTGATAAAATTTGATAAAATCAAACAAGCAGAATCAGAATGAATCAGAAACTGCAGACAGCTTGACGGTCCTGGAAACGTGGCACCCCTTGCTGCATCGTTTGGGCCCATTCCTGGACAATGGGTTGTCCCGCAGCCAGCTGGTCGCCTGTTTGCACCTGGTCGCCAAATCTGGCAATAAGTGGCCATAAGTGCCATCTGTGCCATGACTCTCCTTCTTACCCTCTGGTAATTTAACATAGCTATTGAAAATGGTCATTTATAGTTGATTTTCCCGTTAAACATGGTGATTTTCCATAGTTATGTTAGTTTACCAGAGGGTAATTACCCAACAACTATAGCGGAACAGCACGAATAAAAACACGACTCACCGACTAACCCTTGATTTTTCCAAGGCCGGAGACCTCTGCTTTGCCACATACCATGCCATCATATGCCACCGATGTTTCCGCTGAGGCACAGCAAGGCTGCAGCCTTTGTCCTGTTGGACATCTAAGCAGGAACCTTGAAGCACCCACACCTCAGCAAAAACATCAGACAACATCAACATCAACTGGATTCCATCAAAAACGATGAAGAATTCAGAGGTCTGCCATCACGGCAGGCACGGGCACTCAAACCAATTCCAAATGGTCGAAGGCACCAAATCTCCACCATCGATGCAATTTCTCTCGGCATCTGCTCGTTGGATGAAGACCTCTCCACTGGTGCCCGATTGGATGGGTTTGTTCAGGACTTCCACATCCTGATCGTTTTGACCTCGACTGTTCTGCACTTGAAATTCGTCCAAGCATCAGAATTGAGCATTTTTTCAGGCTGAGACTGGGTGGATTCTTCAAAGGCTTCTGGTAAAGCACTTGGCCAAACGATACTTCAGCACCTCAGAATGGCGACAAGCTTGTTAAGCCTCGCATACACTTCACACTGACCTCCCACCGCCACATTTCTTGAGGTTAAGAATGGTTGAGAACATTCCGTGTTTCGACCTGTTTCGACCAAAGTGAGAGCGCGTCCAGGCACCATCCAGGACTATCACATAGCAGCCAGGCTCCAACTCTTCTGTTTGAGTTTTGCCATCTCCTTCCACTTCCAGAACGCATGCCTCCGGTCATTGGCCAACCAGCTGCAGTTCACCCATAGCAAAAACGAGATACAAAAAAATGCCTCAGTTCGAATAGTTCGATTTCTATCTGTTTCTCACACAGTGCGTGCCTTTGCCAACACGCAGCCAATATCTCCCTGTGGAGATCTTTTCCACTTTGCAACTGCAATGTGAGCCTGACAAATTCCACAAAATTCACAAAATCACAGGAGCAGCATGCTAATGCATGGCTGCGCCTCGGAGATATGTTGTTTGGAGATGTTCTTGGAGCCGCAGGTCAACGACACCTTTCCGGTGAAGTGTGCCACCACACCTTCGCCAGCAGATCCTGCAGAGACAACTTTTTTCCCCTCATCCCACAGCCATCCACAGCCATTCGGACATCGGACCTTCAAAGGCACCACCGGTGTGGAAGGTGCGCATGGTGAGCTGCGTCCCGGGCTCCCCCATGCTCTGCGCTGCAATGGTGCCACTGGGATGGCCGATAGCAGCCAGTTTGCCGGGCGTCGAAAGGTCTTCACCTCAGCGGTGCATGGATCATCGTGGTACATCCTATTTGAGGAAGACCGACTTCTCTGTGACTTATCCAAGGTTTAGCGTTATTCAGTTATTCAACTTTAATTCAGTTCTGGAATGTTGTGAGCCACCTTCACCTTCATATTTAAAATGTGTCTTTCCTCTTGTTAATACTGTTAGTACAAGAACTGATCTCCACTCTCTTGTTGCGCTTATTGTCTCTCCAGGTTGCCGTAGCAGGTGGCGCAAATTCCGTTGCGTTGTTGGCAGGTCAAAGGCGTTCTGATCATCACATCTGGAACCTGAAGTCGTGCACTTCGACAAGCAAAATGAAACAACATGACATACGATTGACATCAACTAAAAATATATTACTATATTATAGTATAGAATGGATCGAAACCCTGGTGCCCTGGCGGTGAAGTGGATATTCATCCCCACAAATTCATGGAATTTATCAATGAAAAACAATTGGAAACTCGACACATCCCCTCAATTCTCCAACCTCGAGGCCATCTTCTTGACATTCCTTCCATTCCTGCGCAATCGCCTCCGCTTCTGCGGCTGTCAAGAGATGCCTCGGCTCTCAAAAATCTCAAAAACTGTTTTCCTGGAAAAAAGGAAACAGAAGAGATTCGAAAAGATTTTGATGTCAAATCTAAAAATGGTTGAAACGTGTTGAAATAGTTTGAAATATAAAACCCTGACCAGAAACTCCACTTCCAAAGTCAGCTCCATTTTTTAAGTCAGCTCAGCTACCCCTTTTGGAACAGCAGCGAGTCATCTTTGGGGTGGAGCACATCGTCCGCCAGCACACGGCCGCGGATCCGATCTGCGAAACTGGCCTCTGCCGCTTTTCGCTTCTCGAAGGCCATAGGCCAACCCTCTGCAGTGCCACAGTCCTCACTGCGGACCTTGGTCGGCAGGTCGGGTGGGTTACTACATGATTACTACATGTTATGTGAAACTAGGGAACATGGAAGATATGGAAGATATGGAAGATATGGAAGAACTAAGCCACTAAGATCCACTAAGATTCACCAAGCTTCTGGACATGAGCAATTTGCATTGGTGCAACAAACATCGAAGTTCGCTTGACACAGCTGAAGAATCCCAGAAAAATGAAGGTTTTTTTACAGTCTTGCCGACACCAAGTCACCACAACTGGGGATGCCGTGAAATCTAGTCGTCGATAGAGGTATCCAGAGTTGGCAGTTCGCAAGGCCGTATCAATGACACCCTGAACATGTCACATGTGCTCAAGAGAAGGCACTGGGAGAGTGTTAATGAGCAATGGCAGCATCAACACCTTTACATCTGTATAAACCTGTCATCGTGCCAATCAAAGGTCATGCTTCCGAGCAGTTTTGCAAATCCTCTGTGCCTCTTGCTTCTTTACATTGAGCACTAATTTTGTAGTTCTGGCAGTCAATGTGAGCTTTGAAGGCTTCAGCCAAAGGTTGTATCGACTCAACTTTCCCACCTTGCGAGCACCATGACCTGAATGGAAGATAGATCCCTCTGCCATATGCACAATATATGCACAACCAACAAAACGACTGGAAATGGGGCAGAAAAATGTCCCTCATGAGGAGAGAAATGGAGGAAGTACAGTATATACTTAGTATATATATATATAACATTATGTATTATATTGTATTATATAGAAAATGTATAAGGATTGGGGCAAACAAAACTCCAACAGGGGTTGTTCAAGGCACCTGAGATCAGCATATCTGTCACATTCATACCTTCTCGAAGGCAGTGCTGAATCGGTACCTGAAAGCAGGTCAGCAGCAAATCTTCGGCCAACTTGAAGAACTTTTTGGGAAATTCAGGGATGTTGAGGAACTTCGCAGGCATCTTTCATGTTGTTTCGAAGTTTCCCAAGCGACTTTGACGAAACTTCCAGTCGAATTCGCATTCGCTGGGAGCACCGGGAGTGCTTGGAATCTTCTCAGGGAATTTAATGGGAACAATTCAAACCCATAAAACCCGTGGAGTCACTCAGCTGATTCAGCTGGTAGCTGCTGCCGAGCTACATCGATTAGCTGACCTCACAATGAGGACGAATCAACTCTGCACCAAAACATGCACTGATCATCACACTGATCCGTGAAACTCACGGTGATGCATCACTTGCATCACTGGAGTGGCACTAAGTTTGACTCCAAAGGTGGCACAAAAAAAACGAGATGATCCGAGATGCCTTTTGCATCTGCCATGAGGCCACGCATTGCCAGCAATTGTCGAACTTGAGAGATGTTACCTCGAGCACCACTGGTCGACATCATGTAGACCTCAAGAAGTCAACTGCCTTGCTGCTGGCTGTCAGTTTAGTTCAAAATCATTCATTGCTGTCATTTTCTGGCATGCGATGCCTTAGCAAAGCACTGATTTTGGGATCATTCCGAAAACATCCGAAAACTTCAAACTGACAGTATCGTCTACTCATCTACGTGGGATATTGGGACTTCCATCTAAGCTCCGGGCTGGGTTGTCCGGATCGTTTTCCTCAGCACATAGAATCATGCAAAAGTAGAAATTGTGGACTGCAAATACTTAGTCTTTCTTGTAGCATACCATTTGAATCCTTTTGACATATCTTCCAATTCCAATCAATTCCACATGCACATGTTCATATTGTTCATGTCCTGTGGCAGTTGGCATCCCTTATCAACCAAGGAATGAAAGCGAAAGCAATGAAAGCCAGGATCCCAGAGGATCCCAGAGGATCCCACCACTGCACTTCGAGACAGTACTCATTGCATTGAGTACTCATTGCATGTCACACTGGTGGACAATTGGGTGGACAACTGGGTGGACGGTATCAGCATGGTGTCAGCATGGTAGCTGAGGGTCTTTGAAGTTGGTCACTGCCTCATTCTTCACCTTTTCACTTGTTCGTGTCCATTCCTCTGTGACATTCAGGAACTTCTCTACCACGGTGATGTCCCCATTCTGGTACTTGGCCTTTCCAAAATTGACGCTTCCGTCTTGAACCAATGGATCATCAATGATCATCACTGATCATCACTGATGAATGAATCATCATTTGAATCATCAACATGCTCATCAAATGCGGATGAAGTCTGCCTCTGCATTCAACTGCCGTTGGGAGGAACCATCACACAGAGGCGCTTTCTTTTCGGGTACGCTCATGTCCTGAGGCCACAGTCTACAGAAGACACTACAGTTCTCTATGTTTCGTTGCTGTGAAATGGGTCGCGTTATTTTCTTCACAGAGTTTCCCTTTGAACAACTGTGAAGAAAAGGAATCTTAGTACAACTTAGTACAACTTAGTACAGCATCCCCCAGGAATCTTAAGGATATCGATGTGACATCATTGCCAACATGCTGATCAATCTGATCATAGAGCTGATCCAAGGTTCATCCACACCTAAAGAGATTCCTGCCCTCGTCGCCTTAGTTTGCCGCGACATCGTCACTGGTCATGTCTGGTCACACTGTATCATCCTAATATCATCCTTATCTGTCTCTGGGAATTCTGGGAGATTGCGGTGAACGTAGTGAACTCAATCAAACATATCAAACACATATCAAACACTCCGATCTGCCACTCCGATCTGCTTGCGAGAGACCCATCCAAAGCCTACCTCCTTCATGTTATCCAACATCTCTCTGGTATTCTCTTCTCCTTGAATATCTTGAATGGTGAACAGCCAGTGACTCTCCACATCTCAGATCCGCTAAGCCGCTAAGTCTGCTCCCCTGCCCCTCGGCTCCGTGAGTTTCCAAATACCACTGGATACACTTCTTGAGCTCCTGCAGGCTTGGACTCCTTACGAAAAACGTGTTAAATTCATGTTAAATTCATGTTAATCATGTTACAATTTTAACTTATTTTGACATCATGTTTCAGACTTCTCTCATGTCCTCTTGGCAAATGTTTAGTGACATGCATGGTACTTGCAGTATCAAAGATCAGGGCGCTAGCTTCCAGTTTGTCTCACCGTGTTTCACGAAACGAAACGGTTCGCTCCCTCTTGCCCATGGTGGTCTGGAGCATCGATGGCAGCTTGCCAGCTTGACGGACGATTCCTTGATTGGCTGGCCCTGAACCTGTGTCCTGAACCTGCGTCCCTGTTGAAGAACCACACCTTTTTGCGCTTTTTGGATGGAAATGTGATCTTTTGCATGTAGGTTCATGATGATTCACACATTTTCACACATTTTCCTCAGTGTCTCTGCCGGGGTACTCCTTCCTCTGACGGCAAGGCAAAGAACCATCAATCCTGAGGTAGTGACATTGAAGTCTCAACATGAAGGATTTCAGCTGTGACAGTCTGAATCGTCTTATGGTCTGAAATGGTCTGAAGAACGTGGTGAAATTTGGTGAAAAGTTTCCGTAGCGTCCGCACCTTGTGTTTTGGAGCTCTGCCAACTCCATTGATTTGCAAATCTGGAGGATCTGGAGGATCTGGAGGATCTGGAGGATCTGGATCTGGAGACCTGACACGACATGACAGGCCAAGAAAAGACCGACATGGCCATGATATGACCGTGGAATCCGATGGAATCCGATGGAAGTTTCTCCATGTTTCTCCCATCTCAGGCTGCGGCGTCTCTGGAGTAAGGACAGCCCTGAAGCCGCAGAGGCCTCATAACCATCATAACCATCATAACCGTCATAACAATCCGACAGGAAACCTAGAAGGGCGCATTGAACCGCATTGATACACTAGGGAGGCTCTTATCTTTGGGTAATTAAAAGATATGAAAAGTGTTGCCAGCTCTTTTTCTTCATGTCAGCTGACTGAAACAAATCGAAGAGTTGTGCCAAAGCTTTAGGCAACTCCCTAGCAGCTTCTATATAAGTCGTTTGAAGGACAAGTCTGCTGCCAGAACCGAAGCTGTCTGAATTGAAACTCAGAGCACTCCAAAGGTATAGAGCCAAGGCACACTGCAGCAGACAGCGCCATGAAGACAGTGCAAGGTCAAGCCATGTTGAAGCTCAAGCCAATTGACATAAAATGACACAAAGTCAACTTCTTTTGAGTCTGGATTCATCTTGTTGCTTCTTGTGGCTCGTGAATCTTATGTTTTCTCCGAAATGTGGTTGCTTTGTTCGAGTCCTTCTCTTTGATTGGAAGCATTGCGCTGAGTGTCAGCATGATGTTCTTTGCTTTCATCCAATCGTGTCACATGATGCCTAATACCATGAGCTGGACTGATCGGCGGCAAATATGTTGCCGTCTTCCTCACAAGTGAGAAACGGGCACTATCGGGCACTCCTGGAAAGAATGAATTGGTCCTGACATGTTGGAATGCTGTTGATGGCTTTGATATGGCTTTGATTTCAGGACTGTCAGGACTGGAAAAAGATCAAAAACTACTTGGGTCCAAACTTTTTCTCCAGGCTGGGTACAGAGCCCTGGCTTGGAAAAACATGGGAAAACCATGGCAACTGCTGGCATGACAGCAAACCTGGAAGGCAACCTAGCAATTCGTCAATATTAGTCTTTGTGCGTTTTACCGTTTTACCTGTTGTGCAAGTAGATGCAAGAATCCAAGGAGAAGATGGAGTTCCGAAAAAATTGGGGCATAACGCCCCAAACCACATCACAACTTTGCACCAGGAAAAAAATCAACCAACATAATCCAACCATAATCCAACCATATCCTTAAGCTATCTTCGATTTGAGACCACGACTCGCAAGATCTCGCAAGGTGCCTCAGGAAGTTGTTGGGACACTTCCTCAAGGAATCGCTCTCGCACCTCCGGACCTTGGCGGAGACGACTTTGCCAAGCTGCCAAGCGGAGCCGTGGCAGCCGTGGCCATTGAGACATTGAGACTGGAGCCACCTTTCTCAATGGCCTTGCACAGAATGCACAAAAGTTGTCCAAGGTTGCACAAATATGCGCAAAGTAGAATATGAAGAATGTTCAATTCAAGAAAATTCCATTTCAACCGATTTCGATCTACGTATTTTGACGACTGTATGACATGCAATTTCTTCGAAGCCTGCAGGACGAGCTCATTGGCTCTTTTCTGTGCAGCCTCGTCGCCTGTGGACCGACCTTGAATCGAAATTGTCGTAGTCTTTTTATCTTTGAGCTTCCGCTCAATTTCGACTCTGACTTTAAATACTTTAATGATTCATAATGAATCTAAATATTCTAAATATATCTAAATCATCAATCTGATTTTGTTTTGTTTTCAATGATTATGACTGTTCTGACATGTTCTGACTTTCAACCTGAGGCGATAGGAACGCATCGAGTTGCCAACTGATCATAGCTAGCCGGTAAGCTTCTTGAAGTTCAGGCCTCAAGATTCTGATGAGGAGCATCGTAATCAACATCCGACTTTGGTCGCTATACTGAGTATACTGAGACCTTTGCGGCATATTCTTCAACGCCACCTCAGAATCCCATCCGAATTCTTTCCATTTCTTTCCCATCACCAGATTGGCTCCCGCTTTTTTTCCTTCGATTTTCCCAGATTTTTCCCCTTCTCCACCACCGCCGAGCGTCCGCAAAGTCCTCCGGCATCGCTTCGCCGGGTTCGCCGGGCGCGGCTTCCGGCTCGGGCTCAATCTTGCCATCGAAACCTGAGTTGGTCATCAGTTCAGAACGGGATTCGGGAGTTAGTAAAGGTTGGTTGGATGAAGTGGTTGATTAGCTGATTTAGCTGGTTGATTCGATCCGATGGTGGATGTTTTGGTGCAATTGGATGGTTCTGATGGATGATAAGTTGTAAACATGCTTGAGACCAAAACATCGACAGATTGTTTGGTACATGTGGTACTCACCAGGCGAGTCGATCGTGACAACTGTAGCAAACTAAGAGCAGAAATGAAAAGATTCCAGATATTCCAGTAACAATAGACGAACGACCCAAAATAAAACAAACTGCGCGAATTCGCAAGGCAACAGGGGCTTTTTCACAGCCATCTGAGATTCCAGCGGGAATAGTCCAAGTTGTAGTTGCTACTGGCACATTGCAGCCACGTTTTCTCAATTCTAATAGCATGGGGTTGTCCAAAAATGTCCAAAACGGGGTATCCCTAATTTTGATTGGTTCGTTATGATGTTTCCTAGTCAAATTGGGCCATGTTTGGAAATATAACTGTATACCACATAGCCTCATTTTCAGACAGCCCATATCTCTAAATGTGCACATGAGTTCATCATTAGCTCAGTACACCATCCACTTCCTAGTCTCGATCTCTCAGATCAACTCAGATCCAATAGAATCGAGCAAAACAATGTCATGTGCATGGAATGTATTTCATGCACCTCTCCATTTGTTCAAGAAACTGGAACAAACCAAATATTAACCAATCAAGAAACTTCAAGAAACTCTCAAAATTTCTCCGGTTGAAAGCATCTCTGCACATCTCTGCACCTCTTCCCTGGCCCACGTGGCATGGCTAACGAATCTGCGGTGCAATTGCGCCGTTACACGCCGTTACGTTCCACCCTCAGGCTCTGAGCAGATGGAGTTGGCGATAGTGACTCCGATAGTGATGGATAGTCGGATCGCAATCACTCGCGGGTTCAACGCTATCATACGCTATCTGTTCATGGTATGTTTATATGTTTTTATTGGTTTGTCCATGTTTTTCCTTTCATACAAGCTGGAGCCATCGAATCAGAGATCTACCGCATGCAACCTGCAACGCTTTCCTGACTAACCATGACGCACCAATTTCAATCACCTCAAAAAGAGACACAAAGGGGGCGACATATGGTGCAAACTGTGCAAACTGTGCAAACTTGCACCTTGGTTCACAGCTCCATCAGACTCAAGTCCTGGACACTTTTCATCTTTTCAACGCATCTCGCCCCGTAGCAAAAGCTTTGTTTGCTCCACTGGTAATGCCTTAGACTTTGAAAGAATTTAAGAATGCCATGTAGATGGGAAGAATCAGTACTTTTTATGGAAGTCATTCGTTCAATGTTCCATGCACTCAGGCCCAGGCCTTGTGCGGACAGTCGTGGGGGAAGACGAAAAGTCTTCCACGAATAGGAGTGACCTTGGAACATTTTGGGACATCGTTTGGATTCGTTTCAGAGTTACATCATGTTATATCTGGACTTTTGATGCCTTTTGAGAAGAATTCGCGCTGTGTTGTGATTCTCCCAAGCTCCCCACTTTGGCCAAATCATCTCCTTTCAAACTCTCCAGCAAAACGGTCTCACCGCCACCATGCGCACCATCTGCTATATCCCTAGCAGGGTCTTTGAGATACAGAATGAAGGTATGTGTTGTACGCCTTCCAGTGCGCCAATCACGTCTTGAAAGATCGGTATGGGGTGCCAGAAATCCATCTTTCTCATAATGTAGAAAGCGCATCTGAGGCATTGCTTCGACGCCTGAAAGGACAGGCATCCCAAACCACTGATCAGTCGACCCTGCAGTTGCAACCAGGACAGGCATCCACAATTTTACCATCTTGTACCCAAATATGACAATTGGACAATTGGATTCAATTTGGCTGCTAGCAAGTTGCAGGTGCACGATGTCCTGCAAAGTGCCAAAGCTCCAAAGAGTTGCTGAGAAATGATCTTCAAGGCATCAAAAAAGTAACCTTGGACGACTCGCTCTGAAAGACTTCCTGATTCTCATGAGTACTGCATGTGCTTCTGGAGAATTTCAATGAAAGGTCTTGCAAAACAAAAACAATAGGATCAACACATTGCAGAAGTACACCAAAAACAGCGTGCCCTCAATTTCCTTAAAGTTGAGAATGACTGAGACGCTATGGAAATTGGTTTCTCATTGATTTCTCCTTGTTTCCGTTCAGCCAGGCAGCTGCGCCGTGGTGCAGTTGCCAAGCGGCTGCGATCTGTGCCCCGCCCTTTTGCCCGGCGATCCTTAGGGACACCCTGCATGGCTAGCATGGAAACCTAGTCCTAGTCCAACAAGTCCGAACGAGTCCGAGCTAAGGATACCATAGGCTCGCCAGGGCCGGACTTGGAATCAACTTGTATGGAAAGGCCCGAGATGTAGGGCTCCATCATGGATTCATAATATTCAGATTTATATAGATTTATCAACAATAAAATATCATGACATGTGACATATCCATCCCGATTTGTCGTGACAAAGCCAAGACAGAGCTCCTCCGGCGCATCGGCCTCCGAAAAAGGTGCTTGGGGCAGAGTTGTCCACAGATCCTCCAGCAACCCCCCAGGGCCCTGTGATGAAGCTGGAAGAGGTGGCAAAATGTGGCAAACTGTGGCAAACTGTGACCAAATGATCAATCAACTGATTCATTTCATAGTGGAATCTCCTTCCAATGTTTCAAATTAGGCTCTCCTCAAGCCATTTTAGGAAGGACTCATGGAAGGCACCATCGACCTCAAGGATGCAGCAGGGAACTGTGAATGCAGAAACTCCAGCGCCTTTCAAACATCTTGGAAGAACTGAGAGTCATACGTAGCAGGCACCCAGAGCCTTCTGCTCGCTTGGGAGTGGTAGTGCCACAGGCGACCTTGTGGATTTGAAAACGTGGTAGTAGCACTTGCAATTGGATGAGCGATTGAAAGATCCCATTTGTTCGACCAGATCAAATTCTATGTCATCTCTGTTTGAAAATTAGACTCGTTGGGAAATTATTCAAGAAGCTTAGCTCCGCACCCTTGACGCAAAGGAAAAACACAAGCACCATCAACACTTCCTTAGGTATTTCGCTTCATCGGAATCGTGAAAGGCTTGTGGGCAATCCTCATCATAAACCTAACTCATGTGATTCAGCAATCATATGTGGAAACAGTTGGTCCCATCTTCAACATGGCTTCCGCATTTTGCACAATATAAACTTGCTTCAACATGACACAACATGACACAACATGACACTTGTGCTGAGTCAAGCTGAGTTCAAATCCACAGCAGCTCCACTTCCAAGTCTTCCAGGACTTCCAGTTCTTCAGCAGCCGACACACGGCTCTGCGAGACGAAGAGTTGGCAGTGCTTGCAGCGCTCGCATCATAGGCAGTGACGCCACCGTGGCACGGGAGTGAGGCATCTGCACCCCAGGACAGGAGCACCTTCTGAAAACGTCTCAGCCGCTGGTGTCAAAATGTTTCAACCACGAAAACTGATTGTATTATATAAATTATATAGTTGTCATTGACGGGGATCATCCCATCCCAAAGAAATCTGAGTAAAAACATGGAAAATCACCAGGGGTCCGTCCAATCTGTTCAATCCATGGCGAACCCATCCAACCTACTCAGATTCCATCAGTCGTCCATCCAAAACGGACCTGGATGGCTTCCAAATGACCTTCCACCGCAGCCAAGAAAAGCGGACTTTGGCCATATTCCTCAACTTTCACAAGTATTTCTTGTTCCAAAAGCATGGAAGTTCTTGCAATATCTTGCAATGTCTGGACACTTATGACATCTTGTGACACTTCCAAAAGCCATCAAAAGTTAGAGAAAAGCAGCGGCAGTGGAGCCAAGGCTCGTTGACGGCGTCCACGTCGACACCAGCCTCCAGCAGTGCCGATAAGCGCCGCGCGTCGCCCACTTCGGCGGCCACGCGCAAGCGCTCCAAGCGTGTGGCACGGCTTAAGCCCAGCTTCTCCCAGGCCACCTGGCTTGGCAAATGATAGGAGTGCAATTGAGACAATGAAGTCAATTGAGATAGAAAAAATATAGAGAACATTAAAGAACATTAAAGAACATTAAAGAACATATTTAAAAACCCATGAAAACCCAAGGGCTTTGTTGAGGCAAACGGTTTGTATCCCTTCAATCTACGCAAGTTCAATCAACACTACCGGACCCCACCAGTGCCTCATGTGGGCTCAATGCTCGAAACGCGCCGGCACGTTTGCCCTTCTGTTTAGCCGGCAGGTCTTGCTCCTTTAAGGTCAAATTGCCCGAGCCAATTCAAGGTCATTTTGAAATCCAGAGCTGAGGTTTCATGTGTGCCATAACTTTCCTTCACCGGCCATCAATGAAGTTGCGGGAACATGTTGAAACATCGAGACTGTCTTGATCTGATATTGCATACTGATGATTCTAGCTTGAATCACGGACCTCTGGCTTCTAGCTCCGAAATCAAGATCGAAGACAAGATCATCGCTGATGGCTTCTTCATACTTTCCTTTATTAAAAAAATCGGGAAAATTGTTGCTAAACTACACATTCCACGGCAGAACTGTCACCTTAAATTACCCCCCAACATCTCGGAATCTCGGCTCCTCCAAATCCTCTGGAAGTTCTTTCCAACGCTCCAGACTCTGCACCTTCCGTTGCCGGAGCCACGGATCCCACGACGGTCTCAACGGTGCAAAGCACGTCGCAAGGTGACCAGGTCTCGACGGTCTCAACCAATCGAAACACGAGAACTTCCAGAACTTCCAGGACTTCCATCCGATTTTCCATCCGACTCGTGGCTCTGAAGGTGTCCATCCACAGTTGATGCACTGGGTAGCTTGGGCAGCGTTCACGCAACCGCAACTGTGACAACTTTGACAGTTCGATTGAGATATCCAGGGAGGTGCCCGGTCACAGCGGATGATGCCGCGACGTTGCGCCAGGAATTCCATGGTATGATCTTCGAAGGTCAGATTACATCGTGGGCAAATCAGTTCCGGCAACCGACCAAAGTTGAAATTTTGAAACTGGCGCCACGGGCAACTAGCACAACAAACATGACTGCAAGGTGAAAAGAACGCAAGTGCTTTCTTCCCACAAACACATGTGGCATCTTCTGGCACATGTTTTCGTAGGCGAACAGCTGCTCTGGCCAACCATGCTGCATAAGCCCGTGGGAGTTTCTCCCAAACCGACATATCAACTTCTCCCTGAGAGGGATCTGCCCCAGCTGTCATCAAGGCACAAACGAAACTGTCACGACCACGCCATGCTGCAAAGTCCAACAGAGTCGTGCACAACGAGGAGCCTCCGAAACACCACGGTGCTCGATGGAGGTCGTTCAACTCCAACGATGCCAATCGACTGATGCCAAACTGTTGGACTTCTCCTTGGTCGATGGCCAAAAAAAGGGACTCTGCTTCAGCATCGGTCATTTGCCTCGCACAAATATCACAAATCAGCGTGTCAAAATTGTCAAACGACAAATTGACTTGAATATACTTGAATTTAATGGTGCAACGTCAAATTCAATGTCGCGTTCAATGTCAAGTTGCCATCCAATTGTCATTGTCTAACTTCTTGGATCAGCTTGAAAAAGTCGAACAGATGGAACATAGCATGAAAAGTCAGAAAGTGTCAAGTACGGAACAATGATGAACAAATGATGAACAATGTGTCAATTTCGATTTCGAAGCGCCATGCCTCGCCTTCTTTGGCTTTGACCACTCTGCACCAATTGCTTCGCTTTCCGTGCGTCCAATCGACGCTTTTGTTCACGCCCCATTTTGGAAGGCCCAAACAACCTCAGATACCTTTCTTGAATTCTTTAAACTAAAAGACGAACAGAAAACAAGTTAAACTGTTCGATGTGCAATCGAGAAGTGAGATTGAAAATCCGGTTGAACATTTGATCCCACTAAATCTCTTTGAAGACGCCTGTAAGTGCGTCTGTATGTGCGTGTAAGGCTGCTGCAACACCGTGTCTTTGCACGTTGTGGCAAGCCGAAAACTCACCCGGCCATTGGTCTGACAAATATCCTTTGGCAAAGATGCACTAGCATGCGGTTGCGAAAGACTAAGTCTGTTCACGTCAGATTGGTTCCATCCAACTTCAACTCCCGACATGTCACCATGTTGCCGAAACAAACCCGCACTGACTCCAAACATCAAACGACAGACCATTGGCAAGAATAGTGGATGTGGGAGAACAAAAATTCTCTTGCTGCACGCCGCAGAAAAATGAATATCAAATTGACCATTTCAATTTTGTTGGTTACCCACCACCATAAGCCGGCCGACCACGACCACGACCACGACCATGACCATGACGATGACCATGACGATGACGACTACTACGATGGTTACTACGACTACAACTACGACTACTTAAGGAAGCCCCCCGCATCTTGAAGAAGCCCCCCCTCAAAGACCCGCCCCCCTTTTAAAGCTCCTTCAAACAAGGCCCCCATGTTCTAAGCCCCCGCCCTTAAGAAGTCTGGCACCTCAAAAGGGGAGGTCTGGCCATGGCCCAAGATGGGCCAAAAATTGGCCTCAAAGGCGCTCGACCTCAACTGTTACGTTGCCTTTAAGTATTGGTTGGTAAATGTCCCGTTTTGATTTTGAACATCACCTTCAAGTATGTGAAGTATGTGTTGGAGATTATATCCTCAATATTGGGATGATGTTTTTCAGACATTCACTAACCACTGTATTCTTCTACCTCTGTGTATATATTGCAAAGAAGAGAATCAATGCCCGAGTGCGCTGATTGCAAGACGTTTTTCCTGGTGGCGTGTTCCTGTACAGTGTGAGCCATGCCACAGTGCAGCCTTTGGCTATCTGTGCAGCAAAACCTCATTGAAGCATCCCTCAACTGCATTTCGCAAATTGTGTGGGCAGAGAAGCTGCGCTTATGGTTTTGGAGCATTCCTTATTTTTCACTACGCCTTCAATGGATCTAATTGATTCAAGTTACATGTTTCAATGAATCTAAACCAACTTGCTAGTGCTGGCTGCCCTCAGAAGCGCCCGGAACCCTTCGCTTTTAAGCATTTGCTGGTGTGCATCTTTGCTCCTGGCCGCGAAAACAACATGTCTGGGTGATACAGTACTCATTGCTGTTGATTGGATGCGACATGATGGGACTATGGTCTGCTGTCAATTCCAACTCCTGAATCCTGAATCGCATGAAAGTTCTCCTTTTGTCGCTTCTGTCGGTCGCCATAAAACTTGTGTTCTGGCAAAATTCCAAATCTCTTACTCTGCAGTGGGACGAAATCTAGACTCTAGACTCTAGACCAAGCTCAGCGACCTTAGCCGCTCATTGATCCCATGTTCAGAGTGAATCTGTTCGCTTTTTGGTGCCGATCCTCCAACACTTCCTTGCAAATCTGCTCCAATTTGGATGGAGGAGCCACCTTTTTTCCGAGCCACCTCTCCTTCTTGCCCTTCAGGATTTCTTGGAGCTGTTTGGCCACATGTTTGTAGCTTTTTTTTGCTGAAGTCTGAATCTTTGCAGCTTGGCATTCTGAAGTCTCAGGACTGGGGACTGTGCGGTGAGCTTCAATCTTCTGCAAGATCTCATCCACTTTTTTGTTGAAGCCCTTCTTGACAAAATCACGAATTTTGGGGCAGTTCTTGTTGCAGGCATCCAGGAGGGCCTCCCATGAAGCCTTCTCTCCTCCTTCCCAGGTCCAGCCCCCCCAAAGATCTTTGCAGAAAAATGCCGCGCAAAGCACAAGACCAAGAGCGCCAACTCCGGTACCAACAAGCGCTGCAGCACCTGTGAAGTATGCTGCTGCGCCAGCTGCAAAGGCGGCCTCCCCAGCTGCAACCCCTGCACAGATTGCACCAGTTCCAAGACCACCGCCCACCAAATATTGCCAAAATGAAAACTCCAAGTGCTGCTTGAGATCCATATCTTTTGTTCCCATTTTCTTCCACAGGGTCACTTTGAATCTGTCAAGGGCATCGGCTTCATACTTGCTAAGGTCATCGGCGATCAGACTCAGTACCTGTTTGTTTGTTTCTTCCACAATGGCTCTCACTGCTTCACCTTTGTTCTCAACTTTGGGATTTCTCTCTTTATAGCTTTGGAAGACTTTACGAAACTCTGCAGGCATGCGACTGATGGCGCAGGTGTCTCGACTGAAGGGCTTTTGAGGTTCATATTGGAGGATGCCGCGGTCAGTCCACTGCACATGGAGATAGTTGTCCACATTTTCGGAAAAGTCCTGCTTGAGTTTCTCACCAAGCTTTTTCAGATCATCCAAGTCTTCTCCCTCCAAAAGCCGCTGTCCATCTTCCTGGTGGATCTCGTTGATGATGGTTTGAGTTGTTTGATTCTGAAGTTCCAGCAGCCTGCATTGGTGAAGTGGGGTTGCAATGCTCCTCCCCAAGCAAACCAAGGCCTTGAAGAACTCAGATAAACCATCCTGAGCTGCCTGGATCTCCTCTTTAAATTCAGGAAGTTCATCGAAGTCTCTGGAAGCCCATAGTGCATCGACATCGGCAAAAAATGGACAATGTGGGATGCCGGCTTCCTCCAGCTTGTCAAGCGTGAGATTCACCAAATCCTTCAGGCGCCCTGTCAAACCTCCCGGATTTGCCATCTTCCAAGTAGTCCCTCTGGATGTCTCTTCCAATTGTTTGAACTTTGTAAAAATGATGACCGGGGGAAACATCATCTCAACATTTCGGGTCAAGAACTGCAAAAGCTCAAAGCCGTGGTTGCCGAAGGGTGATGCGGACTCCACATTCACAATGAAGCAGTACAAGAAGCACTTCTCAGCGAGGATGGAGGCCAGATGTTCTTTGAGACCTGGCGAATCCAAGCCTGGTGTGTCCACAAGTACTTCAGAAGGGTGGATTCCAAAGATTTTTTCGTGTATTCCAGGGACCACGTTGAGCAGGTAAGGAATCTCAACCACGAGCCTTTTGAAGGCATCTTTCGTTCCAGTCAATTTGCGCAAGAGTGAAGGGATTTTCTCTTGCAGTTCTTTCATGGAACTCAATGTCATCGATGATGGATCAGCATGGCTCTCGTAGCTGGAAGCCTCCCCATCGGGGTGCCCTGTCAAGCGGACTGTGTCGATTCTTGCACGTATCTGTTCATGCATCTTTGCATTGTAGGCAAACATAGTCACCGCAGATGTGTTTTCAAGGGCTGCAGATGGGAGCATGTCTCCTTTCCATTCTTCGGGAACGGAATGAGCAAGGAGACTGTTTGCCAGAGTCGTCTTGCCGCTGGAAACCAAGCCTGCAATCACATAGTGCAAGTCCTTGTCGGTGAGAAGCCGTGCCCACTCCTTCTTGTAGGAAAAACTGATCTCGTTGAATCTGGCTTTGCGCCTCTCATCACCCTCCGTAACCAAAAGCAAAGAAAGTAACTCGGACAGACCGGCATGGAGCTGGGCCAAATGGCCTGCGGGTTCAAGTGGTCGAGAATTCAAGGGCAACCAGCCTTCCATGCGCCTTAAGTCCTCTGTTGGGACTGTGCACATGGTTCCATCAAGCAGGTCTACCTTCCAAAGTCCATTTTCGGTTCCAATGACTTTTCCAACTTTGCTGCGGCTGATAATCTCCACACAGTCATCCTCTTTCAGGTCAGATGAGGAAAGCGTGCATGGCGGATCTTCGTCAGAGGCTGATGTTGATGATGTTGATGTAGTTGGCGGACTTTTGTTTGAAGATGATAGCTTATCAAGCTTGACTCGAATTTCGGCAATGTGCTTCTGCCAATCCGTCCCACCGTTCTTGTCAAGGTGATTGACCACTTCATGGACTTGGTCAACAAAGAGCCTTTTCTTCTCTGCGAAGACAATGAGCATCTCAAGAACTGTTGACATGGCGGTCCCATTGACGCCATCTGACAAACAAGATGGGCCGTTCAAGCGGCAACCGCGCTTCACATAGGATCTCACCGCTTGGAATGCACTGCATTGGTGATCAATGTTCTTGGCATTTGTGAAGTTCTGGAGTAGAGAATGCATGCCATCAGAGCTAGCATGGACACAGGACGCCATCGTGTGAGAATTTATGGGGTCTTTAAGAAAGTTCAGGCCCAACAATTCTGATCCATGCGATGCTGATGGCTCTTGAAGTCAGAATGCATTTCAAATATTTCAATGCTGTGGTTTGCAGAAACTTGAAAGCTCTGAGATACACATGACTCTTGCAATCTCTGGCGCTTGTAAGTGCGTTTTGACAGAAATGGCTGTGGATCCAGGTGCTGCTGTCTCACATCACAAGTCTCAGAACCAACAACAAGGCAGGGACAAATGCATCTGCATAAGCTCAAGCAGCTCAACACAAACGTGAATAATGGCCTATCATGGCTTATCTTATGTGCCAAATAGTGACTCATAGTGTTCGAAAAGTCACTAAGATCGGACATAGGAGTCCTCTCCTGCAAGCAACGGTCATCATGGGCCATACACCCACACCTGTGCAACGGAGAGCAAACCGTCTTGGTTGATCGCATCGAAGACTCTCGCATGAAAGGCTCGAAATGGTTTCATCAATCATCAATGTTGCTCTTTGTTCATAAAATAAGTATTTCGCCGCAAGCCTGACACAAATTTGGCCCGTTCATAATCGATGGTCAGTTAGGAATCTGCAAAAGGGCACGACCTCAGCAAGTCGGCTTGGGGATGCTGGGAATTCACGCCTTCCGGTGCTTCCTGTATCTTCGCTGCTGTGCTGGGTTTTTGGCTCAACTTGTCTGGCCTCGCTTCGGTCTCAGGACCACATACCTCAGTCTGCAGAGAAAGAGTCGTGAGTCATACTGAGGTGATCGGAAGTGATGTGAGTGGTCGAAACTTTGAATGTGACTGAATATGGCATAGTGCGGCAGTGCGGCAGATAAATTTCTAGAATGGTGGTGCACCATGAATATCAACTTGTGAAAATCAAATCGGCAGCAGAGATTCACGTGGCATGTGAAGCTACATGAAGCTACTAATCTTTCCAGGTTAGCTTTCGCCCTTTTTTTGCGCAAATCAAACAAGCGCAGCCAGGGTCTGTGCACACGATATGGCTGCCACATGAGAAGTCCTGGGGCATTGCGACATGACTGCCGTCCAACAAGCTGCTTGTTCAGCCTTTGCATGTCTTTGCATGTCTTTGCATCAAGATCATCAAGATGGAGTTGTCTTTCTCAACATCTGCGGCATATGTTTCTTGATCACCGCATTCTTCCATTCTTTCACGTCTTCGAAATCATGCAGAAAATCCGAGACCTCTGAGTCATACTTGCGCGGGACTGTAAACTGGAAAACCTCATCAGAAGGTGACAATCCATTCACAGCAATGGCCATCACTATGTCAGCATATGAAAACTGGTCGCCAACCAAATACTGGCCCTTGCCACTTCGAAGGGCCCCTCGGATCTTTTGGACTGCTTCCAAAGCCACACTGCTTTTGCTCTGTTGGTTTTCATTCCGATACTTGAAAGCAAAGATTCTCACTGCCACCTTCATGATGATGGTGACCAAGAATGTGGGTAGTTTCTTCATCCAAGGTGGAGCCAATACATCGATGGCCGCCTGTACATCTGTCGTTGCCACCTTCACAAAAGCAGCTCGTCCAAACTCCAAGAGGACATCGCTCAAGGCATTCCAAGGCCGAAGCTTCGACATGTCCACGGCTTTGTCAGATGATTTAGATTCAGATGTTGATGTAGTCATGGCCCATTCTGCGATATCCAAAGAGTCCAACAAAATACGACTTGGCTGGTTGGGCGTGTTCAAGATGGCAATGGGAACTGTGAGCCGGCTCCAGAAACGACGATGCCATGGCCATAAGCCCAACTTATACCGAAGCCATACCTCATCAACCATAGGTTCAAAGGGTCGTCGATGAAATGGAATGCCACAATGATGCAGAATCCACAAGGCCTTTGCAGTCCATGGAGAGCCCAGCAAAGATATCAACTCAACTGTCGTTGAGATCGTTGGGTTCCCTTTCTCCATGTGGAAAACGTCAGCGAAGCGGAAAACACAGAAAGCTCTTTGGCCTTTTGAACTCTGATGGTTCGATGTTCACCATCCACACCTGGTTCTGAGCCAAATCTACTAGTCAAAGGAGTCAAACACGTGAGGTTTCGATAGCCGGCCTAGCGCTATGGCAGCAACAAGAGCGGTGATATGAAACTTCATCTCAAACACACTGCAATGCAATAACCACAGTATTAACCACAATAACTGCAGAATAACTGCAGAATAACATACGATAACTGTATAGATCTGTATAGTAACTGCAATCCTTTGAGTCTCTGAATGTCTCTGAGTCTCTGACCCACGAGGCCGTTGTGTCGTTCGGTTGTAGCGGCACAGGGACTCCACTAAGGTGTCCAACAAGACCTGGCGCAACCAGGTCAGGATCCGAAGGATGCGGTGAAGAGATGTGATTTCTGTGATTTCTCTAGCCCAAATGTGGATTTCCAATTTCTACAGATGTGGAATGATGTGGAATCAGTTTGGAGAAGACTGTAGGATACTGTAGCTGTGCAGAATTGTGCAGATGTCACCGAATGCAGATCGACTGTAGATATGCTGAGATCCCAGCCCAGTGCGGAGGTAGTCTCTGCTGATTTGTGTCCAAAATCAGCACATGGCCATTGCTCCAGCCTGCCAAAGGGCTCCAATGGCCACCGCCCAAACGAATGTAGTTCACCTCATTTAAGGCGAAGCTTTGTGGGTTGGCAAGCCATGCATCAAACGCCATGAGATGCCATGAGTATCTTGCAATGTCTTGCAGCTTTCCAGGTTCCCTTTTTTTCTTGGCTTCAAACCAGGATACAGATCGGCTCACCTGGCGACACACGACAAAAAAACACATCTCCAGCCCAAATCCCCAATAGCGTGTTTCCGTTCAGCCCGAAAGACGTGTTTCAGTCTGTTTCAATAGCGTGCCACATACCTTGCTCGAAGGCAGCTGCCAAGTCTTTCAGCAACTGCTCTGCAATCTGCACCTGGAGCACTGCAAAGCTTTCGACGGAAACGACAATTGCGGCTTTGGCTGCGGCTCAGTCGAATCATTTTTTGTTCGCCTCTGGTCAAATCTCAGCTTTACACACAGGGAGCATCGGCGCTGAACACGACTAATTTATCGGCATCTATCAGCATCTATCTGCATCAATCGGAATCTATGAGCAGCATCTAGGGGCCTGGACATGAGCCCACATGGGCCCACATGGTCCAGGCTTGGCGCAGGCCTCGCAAATCTTCACAGATCTTCACAGCTCTTCACCGTTCACAGGGTCCATGTCCACGTCATCACAGGGGTCCACCTTCTGTAGCTCCTGTCACCCTGTCAGCGTGTGCTTCCTACGTGTGACGTCCATCGGCGATTCCCAGCTCCCTGGTATCGTAGGACCATGTAAGACCCGTAGATCGTAGGCTTCACGTCACCAGCAGATTCCAAAATCGCTGCGTGCAAAGCACCGAGGCCACCACACCTAACACATCGCGTCAAAGAATTGATAGATCTTTCGATCATTGAAAGAGTCTGTCAGTGTCTGTCGCTTTATTTAGAATCGTAATGAATCATAAAAAAGATATGCGAAGGACTGCAAAGTGGAAAATGATGTTCATTTTGAAGTTGATTTCTTGCACTTCTGCAGGAATCGTGTGCCGTCAACAGAGGGCAGGACGCAAAGGTACTGCACTCTGGCTTGGAGTCTCATCCTTATCGCTGTTGTCCTCCAGGATTCTGGAAGCTCTTTATGAATCTAGATTGGCATATCTTGTAATGTCTTCTAATCAGCTCTAAGGTGTAATTTTCAAGTATGAACATATGAACTTAGGCGCTGATGCAAACAATGAAGATCTGCAAATGTAAATGTGGCGAATGTGATAGGATGTTCCGCCAAGTGCAGAAAAAACCTAAGCTGTCCTGCGGAGTCCCCAGAAGGAGCCTTGCTTCCCGCTCCTGGGCACCAACTCTGCTATTTTATATAATGTTGCTTGATAAATCTTGATAATCGTGATGTTTCTTGTTTCAAATGTACAATGGACAATGGTTTTAGACATTTTTAGACACTACATGATGCTACCAATGAAGTGCATGACATGCCAAAATATGCCAAAGTGCCGTCAAAGTATCCTCCAAGCTGCAGGCTTGATGAATGCCCAGACCAGACATTTGACACAAATCCGGTTGAGCTGACCAGAGTCGGATGTCGACGTTCACAGAGGGAGGGACTTGTGCCCGGACGTGGTTCACGATGACCCGGATGAGGTGCCCAGCATCATCGAACCACATGATGCGAGTGCAGAGTTGACAATGGGAGCCATCTGGTAGAACAAACATGCCACCTTCAACCCAGGGAGGTGGCAAGATGGGGAAGATGTCAGTGTCCACAGTGTCCACAGTGTCCACCCCACCGTCTTCGTCCTGAGTTGGCATTGTTGACAGATGTTGACAGCATGCTAGATAACTTTATGCTAAAATCAAAGGCACAATCAGGAAGTGGCAGAGCCAAATTCGCCCAGAACCCTGTGTCCATCTGTGCTCGTCATGGGTCTTGACATGTCTTGACACGCTTTTCCACATGCATCTTGTTTCGTTTCAGGGAAAGCGTCCTGCGCATCTTTGGGTTTTCCCAAGAAGTGTACCGTTGCTCCAAAGAATTGCGCAGCATCTTGCTCCCGCCGCGCAGCTTGCACAACATCTGCCAGTTGGATCACTTCGGATTTCTCCTGTTAACATCTGTTAACCAAGATTCTCATAGATTCTCGTCTTTGCATGGGCTTCAAATTCAAGATGCTTCAAGGATAGACTTTGACATCTGATGACATCTGAAACCTTCCCCCGCTCCTGTCCCGTCCGCCCTGTCCTGGAAGTGCCACGGTCTCTTGCAGCGAAGTGAATCCAGCGCCTGAGCGCAGTGTTTCAGCTCGCTGAGTTCCAAAGTCTCCACCAAACCTGGGGTCAGCTGCAAGCCTTGGACACGGTGCACGGACGGTATCATTCAAATATCATACCCGAGCCATCCCTATTTTAAGTCCATAAGTACATATTCATCTCGACGCTTCAAAACTTGATTATTGTGACAAGTTATTTGGGCGACGGGAGGAGGCGGGCGGCGGAATACGGAACCAAAAACAAAAACCCCACACAATGATGTGGGGAAATAGGGGAAAAATAGGGAAATAAAAAATAAGGAAATAAGTAGGGAAATAAATAGGGAAATAAATAGGGAAATAAGTAGGGAAATAAATAGGAAAAAAAATAGGGAAATAAATAGGGAAAAAATCGGGAAATAAATAGGGAAAAAATTACGTAAAAAATAGGGAAATAAATAGGGAAATGAATAGGGAAATAAATAGGGAAATAAATAGGGAAATAAATAGGAAAAAATAGGGAAAAAAATAGGGGAATAAATAGGGAAATAAATAGGGAAATAAATAGGGAAATAAATAGGGAAATAAATACGGGAATAAATAGGGAAATAAATAGGGAAATAAAGAGGGAAAAAATAGGGAAATAAATAGGGGAAAAATTACGTAAAAAATAGGGAAAAATAAAGGAATTATAATTAGGAAAAATAGTCAATAAATAGGGAAATAAATAGGAAATAAATAGGGAAATAAATAGGGAAATAAAGAGGGAAAAAATAGGGAAATAAATAGGGAAAAAATTACGTAAAAAATAGGGAAAAATAAAGGAATTATAATTAGGAAAAATAGTCAATAAATAGGGAAATGAATAGGGAAATAAATAGGGAAATAAATAGGGAAATAAATAGGGAAATAAATAGGGAAATAAATAGGGAAATAAATAGGGAAATAAATAGGGAATAAATAGGGAAATAAATAGGGAAATAAATAGGGAAATAAATAGGGAAATAAATAGGGAAATAAATACGGGAATAAATAGGGAAATAAATAGGGAAATAAAGAGGGAAATAAATAGGGAAATAAATAGGGGAAAAAATACGTAAAAAATAGGGAAAAATAAAGGAATTATAATTAGGAAAAATAGTCAATAAATAGGGAAATAAATAGGGAAATAAATAGGAAATAAATAGGGAAATAAATAGGGAAATAAATAGGGAAATAAATAGGGAAATAAATAGGGAAATAAATAGGGAAATAAATAGGGAAATAAATAGGGAAATAAATAGGGAAATAAATAGGGAAATAAATAGGGAAATAAATAGGGAACTAAATAGGGAAATACATAGGGAAATACATAGGGAAATAAATAGGGAAATAAATAGGGAAATAAATAGGGAAATAAATAGGGAAATAAATAGGGAAATAAATAGGGAAATAAATAGGGAAATAAATAGGGAAATAAATAGGGAAATAAAAAGGGAAATAAATAGGGAAATAAATAGGGAAATAAATAGGGAAATAAATAGGGAAATAAATAGGGAAATAAATAGGGAAATAAATGGAAAAAAAAATAGGGAAATAAATAGGAGAAAAATAGGGAAATAAATAGGGAAATAAATACGGGAAATAAATCGGGAAATAAATCGGGAAATAAATAGGGAAATAAATAGGGAAATAAATAGGGAAATAAATAGGGAAATAAATAGGGAAATAAATAGGGAAATAAATAGGGAAATAAATAGGGAAATAAATAGGGAAATAAATAGGGAAATAAATAGGGAAATAAATAGGGAATTAAATATGGAAATAAATAGGGAAATAAATAGGAAAATAAATAGGGAAATAAATAGGGAAATAAATAGGGAAATAAATAGGGAAATAAATAGGGAAATAAATAGGGAAATACATAGGGAAATAAATAGGGAAATAAATAGGGACAAAATAGGAAAATAAATAAGGAAATAAATAGGGAATAAATAGGGGAATAAATAGGGAAATAAATAGGGAAATAAATAGGGAAATAAATAGGGAAATAAATAGGGAAATAAATAGGGAAATAAATAGGGAAATAAATAGGGAAATAAATAGGGAAATACATAGGGAATAAATAGGGAAATAAATGGGGAAATAAATAGGGAAATAAATAGGGAAATAAATAGGGAAATAAATAGGGAAATAAATAGGGAAATAAATAGGGAAATAAATAGGGAAATAAATAGGGAAATAAATGGGAAAATAAATAGGGAAATAAATAGGGAAAATAAATAGGGAAATAAATAGAAATAAATAGGGAAAAAAAATAGGGAAATAAATTAGGGAAATAAATAGAGCGGAAAAATAAATAGGGAAATAAATAGGGAAATAAATAGGGAAATAAATAGGGAAATAAATAGGGAAATAAATAGGGAAATAAATAGGGAAATAAATAGGAAATAAATAGGGAAATACATAGGGAAAAAAAATAGGGGAAAAAAATAGGGAAAAAAATAGGGAAATAAATAGGGAAATAAATAGGGAAATAAATAGGGAAATAAATACGGAAATATTTAGAAATAAATAGGGAAAAAAAATAGGGAAATAGATAGGGAAATGAATAGGAAAATAAATAGGGAAATAAATAGGGAAATAAATAGGGAAATAAATAGGGAAATAGGGAAATAAATAGGGAAATAAATAGGGAAATAAATAGGGAAATAAATAGGGAAATAAATAGGGAAATAAATAGGGAAATAAATAGGGAAATAAATAGGGAAATAAATAGGAAAATAAATAGGGAAATAAATAGGGAAATAAATAGGGAAATAAATAGGGAAATAAATAGGGAAATAAATAGGGAATAAATAGGGAAATAAATAGGGAAATGAATAGGGAAATAAATAGGGAAATAAATAGGGAAATAAATACGGGAATAAATAGGGAAATAAATAGGGAAATAAAGAGGGAAAAAATAGGGAAATAAATAGGGAAATAAATAGGGAAATAAATAGGGAAATAAAGAGGGAAAAAATAGGGAAATAAATAGGGAAATAAATAGGGAAATAAATAGGGAAATAAATAGGGAAATAAATAGGGAAATAAATAGGGAAATAAATAGGGAAATAAATAGGGAAATAAATGGGAAAATAAATAGGGAAATAAATAAGGAAAAAAAATAGGGAAATAAATAGGGAAATAAATAGGGAAATAAATAGGGAAATAAATAGGGAAATAAATAGGGAAATGAATAGGGAAATAAATAGGGAAATAAATAGGGAAATAAATAGGGAAATAAATAGGGAAATAAATAGGGAAATAAATAGGGAAATAAATAGGGAAATAAATAGGGAAATAAATAGGGAAATAAATAGGGAAATAAATAGGGAAATAAATAGGGAAATAAATAGGGAAATAAATAGGGAAATAAATAGGGAAATAAATAGGGAAATAAATAGGGAAATAAATAGGGAAATAAATAGGGAAATAAATAGGGAAATAAATAGGGAAATAAATAGGGAAATAAATAGGGAAATAAGGGAAATAAATAGGGAAATAAATAGGGAAATAAATAGGGAAATAAATAGGGAAATAAATAGGGAAATAAATAGGGAAATAAATAGGGAAATAAATAGGGAAATAAATAGGGAAATAAATAGGGAAATAAATAGGGAAATAAATAGGGAAATATAAATAGGGAAATAAAAAGGGAAATAAATAGGGAAATAAATAGGGAAATAAATAGGGAAATAAATAGGGAAATAAATAGGGAAATAAATAGGGAAATAAATAGGGAAATAAATAGGGAAATAAATAGGGAAATAAATAGGGAAATAAATAGGGAAATAAATAGGGAAATAAATAGGGAAATAAATAGGGAAATAAATAGGGAAATAAATAGGGAAATAAATAGGGAAATAAATAGGGAAATAAATAGGGAAATAAATAGGGAAATAAATAGGGAAATAAATAGGGAAATAAATAGGGAAATAAATAGGGAAATAAATAGGGAAATAAATAGGGAAATAAATAGGGAAATAAATAGGGAAATAAATAGGGAAATAAATAGGGAAATAAATAGGGAAATAAATAGGGAAATAAATAGGGAAATAAATAGGGAAATAAATAGGGAAATAAATAGGGAAATAAATAGGGAAATAAATAGGGAAATAAATAGGAAATAAATAGGGAAATAAATAGGGAAATAAATAGGGAAATAAATAGGGAAATAAATAGGGAAATAAATAGGGAAATAAATAGGGAAATAAATAGGGAAATAAACAGGGAAATAAATAGGGAAATAAATAGGGAAATAAATAGGGAAATAATAGGAAATAGAATAAATAGGGAAATAATAGGGAAATAAATAGGGAAATAAATAGGGAAATAAATAGGGAAATAAATAGGGAAATAAATAGGGAAATAAATAGGAAAATAAATCGGGAAATAAATAGGGAAATAAATCGGGAAGTAAATCGGGAAATAAATCGGGAAATAAATAGGGAAATAAATTGGGAAATAAATTGGGAAATAAATAGGGAAATAAATAGGGAAATAAATCGGGAAATAAATAGGGAAATAAATAGGGAAATAAATAGGGAAATAAATCGGGAAATAAATCGGGAAATAAATCGGGAAATAAATAGGGATATATAGGGAAATAAACAGGGAAATAAATCGGGAAATAAATCGGGAAATAAATAGGGAAATAAATAGGGAAATAAATTGGGAAATAAATTGGGAAATAAATCGGGAAATAAATAGGGAAATAAATAGGGAAATAAATTGGGAAATAAATTGGGAAATAAATAAAACAAAAAAAAACCTGTCAGTCCCAAAATGGATTCCTCATACTTCGGAAAGACTTCGGAACTTCCACTGCGAAGCTCGATTCGAGGGTTTCCTCCACCACTTGAACTTTCAATGTCGACAATGAAATTTCTTTTGATGCCATGTGGCCATGAGATTTCAGCAACCGCAGACGCAAGCGCCAAAACAAAAGCCTCAGGCAGGCTGTGAGGGATGGCATACGAAACCAAATCATGTTTATATTGTATGCAGGATCACAATGTCTGGGCGCAAAGATAGTGAAACAATGTGAAACACCTGTCTTCCACCAGCTTGAACAAGTCGAAGCAGCTGTCCATTGCCTCGTGCCAGAGCAGATGACGAGCTATGAGCACAAAGCAATGCACAGAGAGAGGAAGCACATAGTGAGGCACCCAAGGGACCCTCAAGAAACAAATCTTGGCCTCGGCTTTCGCCATGTGTGTTGAAATGCACGGAGAACACATCAGAAAAATCTACGGCACGTCTTTTTTACATCCAAGCAGCCAAAGGTGTACTGTAAAATGTAAAAGTGAAGACAACAGCACTTTGCTCATGGGTTTGACGGTTTCATTTCAGCTGTGAACTAAATCCAAAATGTCTGGCAAGAAACACTGGTTGAGGAGCTGCAAAAGTCCGAATTGAGGCCTGGATTCACAGCACATCATATCACCATGTGGAAAAATGGATAGACTTGGCAAGCTTTCTCAGCTGGCAACACACATCATGGGATATACGTCATCTAGGGGCGTTGCACGAGCATCATTAGCATTTTACTAGATAATTACTGTCAACTTGGCAATAGTTGGTCCAAAATCAGTTTACAAATTGCAGACTCTGAAAACCTAAAATTACAAACAGGAAACCTGGATCTATGTTGAGGGCAAATCAGCTTTGATATCCACTTGCCACAAGAGCTGCACACTGCTGAGCTACGGTCTTTTCTCGAGGACATCCCGCCGATGCGCTTGCAGAGCTTGCTTGATGCGCTTGTGCGCACTGGTCTAGCAGAAGCACAAAACAAACTCATCCATAGAAATGTATCAAGTGTTTGCATGATGTATTGGATCAACAAAAACGGAACCAATATATCATAAATACGTATTGCAAATTGTGGGTTTAAGAAGCTACAAGACCAAGAAAAGCATGGTGACAATGCAAACTTGGACTAGGACCGAATGACTGGAATGACGGCACATTATTTCTTACACCATGGGATTTCTGCTTTACAAATATACTTTACAAGAAGGGCAGTGACGAACTGGCGGTAGAGACTCATTCTGTTCACCTGCAAACCACGTTGAAAAAAACTTCATTCAATGATCATTGGACGCCATTGTCTTCACGTTTCGAACCTTGCAGAGATGGCAGAATCGGCAGCTGTCCCCAGCTCTGCAAGTGCCAGTGCGCTCAAAGCGGCAGGGCGTCTTGCCATGGCTGCAGATGCTGAACATGTTTTTGAAATTTGCAAAAGCATGCAATTTCGGTATCTCAAATAGTTGACAGTAAGAAAAGATAAGAAAAGCATCTCAACGCAGCAGTTGCTTGTGAATGTATAAGCTGTATGGAGGTTGTGAGGGCACTCTGGTTTTATGTAACCTGTTTGAAGCCTCTGTCATCGAGAAGCGCCAAAATGCACTTCTGCGGCAATAAAAAGCCGCAGAAGCCATGCCGACCTAGTAAATAAAACCTTGAACCACAGCAAACCCAAAGTCCCATGACGTCACATATCGTCACATGTGCATTCCAGCCTTGGATGACTGTAGGCTACATTCAAATACATTCAAACAATAATTGATGGATGCAACATGCTATAACATGTTCCAGTGATGTTTCCATCGCAGACGACCAAACAGCAAACAGCAAACAGCTGGGGCGCCTCATCGAATGAGCTGCGCTCCAGAACCTCAAACCTTTCGCTCAGGGTCTTCAGCATGATGACACCGTTGGCAAAACTGAGACCTTCAAACAAGACGTGCGGCGCCTACGTGCGGCGCTTGCTTGCTGTCTACCTGCTGTCTATCAAGATGACTTATAGACTGTACAGATCTATGCGAATCATAAGTCTGAGAAAGGACAAATCCTCCGAGCACTGAGAAATACCAAGATGCCTTTGGTGAAGAGCTGCTTGGGACAAACGACCTGAGCAACTGCACCAAGGTCGGGTCGGATGTGGCAAACAACAGTAGGTGTATGGTCCGTATATGTCCGTATGGTGGCCAAACAGCAGTGACAAGATATGCCAAGTGCTGCCAAACAGCACCTCCTCATAGATCCTGCTCTGTGTCCAGGATTCCTCCAGCCTCAGCTCAGACAGGGAAAGTCATCACTGCCCCACTTTGAATGTTGGCCTCCGAAGAAGAGTCGCTGAGTAGAGCCATATAGAGCCATGATATGGAACGAAACGAAATGGCACACATTGACAAACCACCATGTTTATCGAAAGGCTTCGTGGTTGCAGCCGCGATGCCCTAAGAATCGAAGCGCTGCTAACGCTGAGGCTGGTCCGCCTGCCATGAATTGAAACAAAGCAGTGACGGCAGTGACAGCACTGATGCTCTTGGAACAAAGAAATCGTGCAACATTTCGAAGTGAAGCAATGCCAGGCAATGAGGTTCGAACAGAAACCACCATACAGTTGTGGTTCAAATACTTTGCACCAACGCTCAAAGGCCTGGAGTTTGACAAACCCTGGCGCTATGATCCACGATCCTGTGAGTTTGGATATGGGATATGTTTGGATTACGCAGGGTGGATCCTTTCAGCACATTTCAACACCACCTGGGTTCCTGACATTTTGACCTTCCAGCGTCATCCTGGGAGATGACAAAACCAGTCCCTCTACGTGGCATTCCCCGGCCACTCCCTGACTTTGTTCAAACATGTTCAAACAATATGTCATTTGTTGGTTGATTCAGGTACTACTAGAATTACTATAATATACTATATACTAATATCTGCTTATTGAAACATGTTTCTATACGTATAATTATTTAGATATACACAGGAAAACCACATGGACATGTTTTTCATACGGGTTTGAGCAGTTTTTGTTCGTTGCGTGTTTCTCCCATAAGGCGTCTTCCTCTGATCGACTTGTCCATGTGATTTTTTGCCGACAAATATGGATATATATATATATATGATTCCGACTTTATTAGGACAGTGTTGCGATTGCATTTGGAGCAGTATGTTGAAATATGGTGGTATTTTCTTTGGGTTGTTGATGAGATTGGGTCATCAGGACCCCCCGTGGGCTCCATGACTCAGAGATACTCAGAGGATGTCGGATAAGTATGCACCTACCTAAGTACCTTATGTATGTTATATATGTTAAATAATGGACGTTCTATACGCTTTATCCTGCACTCTTTGAACCATGATCTTCGATGCTCCTTTTCGTGACCCTATGGCGCTCGTTCGCACTTGCCAACAATCACGATCGATTTATGCACGACTAACACATTCGACATGTAATCTTGCATAAAATCACCTTGTAAGTGTCCTGCTTGATATCAGACTTTGTGTCCATAAACATAATTTACAGTACGTTATGCAAATCGGTCAGAAATGATATACAGAAGTTATATACAACATGTTTTTTGACATCACTTGTCATGCAAATTGAGAAACCCATTTGACTCGTCATTTCTGGAAAACAATGTTACCCATTCCATCCCATTCCAGCCCAATTTATCCAACCCACAAAATTTGAAAAAACTGTCTGCCACCCACCCGAACTTTGCCAAAGCCGCCTCCGAACGAGTTCTTGGCCTTGACGATCCGAGAGTGCCGCCACCTGTCGCAAATCTCCGATTCGAAGTCAGTCCTGCCATTTTGTCTCCTCAAACCTGGCCTTTTCGACCCTTCTATCACCTTCTATCACCTTGTTTGTTCCAGGATCGGCCCATAGTCAGCTTTACCTGGGAAGCCCTGCAGCTCCGGCATCGCGCAACCTGATGGGCTAACCCTGAAAAGTAAGACTTCATGCAGACTTCCACGAAGTTTACAGTTTACTAAGTCCTGCACTCTGAGCGAACTTGTGGATGAATCTCCTGAAAGTAAGAAGCATTGCATCTCTGATGAAAATCTGAAAACTAGAACCGCTGGGCCCTGTGTCTGAACTCCAATCTGACAATTGTGTGACAAACACTTGCCACTGATATCCATTCATCCATTCGGAGGGCGAAACGCCCTCATAACCCAATATATATATATATAACATGTATATATACAATATAATATAATATATATATATAGAGATTAGCTGATTCTATATTGGCCCTGCCCACCTCGTGGCTTCGCGCATCTAGCACTGTCATCTGTTGAAGCAACTTTTAGCTGTTCCGTTTTGGAAGGTCCTTTTGAATCTGGCTCTGACTGAAAAAAGGGGTGTGGAATGTGGACTTGGAGAGAGTTCAAAAAGGATTTCGATGGATTTCGGGACAGGATGTATGACACTTCAATGGCCAATACACCAAATAATTCCATGGACTCGTTGTGTCCTCTTGCAGTATGTTCTTTTAAGCTGGAGGTTGCAAGCACATCAAGATACACGTCCAGTTTGCTGCAACCTGAAAGCAAGCTCATGTTTGCGCAATTGCATCAACATCATATCCACATAGTATTCCCAGTTCTTTTTGGCCGCTTCGCTGCCATGCTTTGAGCAGCACCTCAGTTACGTTGCAAGATGAGATAAACACAAATGCTTCAAGTTAAAATGTGTTTAAATATTATATAAAGCGTGTCAGTGTGAGAAGCACTGAGCTGCACACCTCTCTTCAACGTAAAGTGCAGCCTTGGCAAATGCAAAGGCTGATTCTGGCTCTCCAGCAATTGTCAGTTGATGCCGTTCGTGTGAATGCAAGCAATCGAAGCAATACAAGAACAAATGGTGAACAAATAATGATCATGTTTGCAAACAGGTGACATATCCCGATCTTCCGAGATGTGCGCAGTAAGTGTCAAGACCTGTGAGGTCCATGGAGACATGTTTTGATTCACCCGCCAGGTTGCCATGAGTTGACCCATGAGTTTACACAGAAACCATTTGAGTTTCCCAAAAAGAATGGACCATATTGGACCAATATGGAGAATCATAAGACTTGACATTTCCTGGACAAACCCATCGGCACGGCATTTTTCCATGAAGTCCCATAGATGTGTTCCAAAAACTAATGCAAATTGCAACACTTTTATATTGTTGCCTATCATATCCATCTGCTTGTGGCTATCTGTCATGGCTGAGTCACGCCTCGCCGGCCTTGACCTGAAAGGGCCGAGGCTGGGAACCTGGAGCAACAGCTGGAGCAGCAGCTGGGTGGTTCTCAGATGTTCTCAGATGTTCTCCAAGAATTTTGGAGAATTTTGGAGATGATTACAGAATCTGTTAATATACTGTTAATGATGATGGTTAATGATGATGGTTAATCTATGGTTAATATACTGTTAATATGAACCATCATCATTAACCATCTCCAGTATATTAACATATATTAACCATAGATTAACCATCTCCAGTATCATTAATCCACCAGCTCAACCAGCTCCACCAGCTGACCGTTGACATCCGTTGAACACTGGTTGAAGCCGTGGCGGCTTTTCCTCCTTGAGCTGATGGAGATCCATCGAGCGAGTCGACAAGACCAGGGGATTCCTTTCTGGGCGATCCATGTACATCGTAAATATTCATAAATATTATAAATATATATATATAGTAATAATATAGTAATAATTGATTAATAATCATCATATATCATATATTAATTAATATATATTTTCATAATCATAATACAGTAATGAATCATCATGAAATCATTACATTAAATCATTGCATATATTGCATGAAATCATCCTCACTCTTCTTTCATGCCATGCTGTGACTTTCTATGCAAAAAAGAAATGCCCAAGAAGCCCCATGGCTGCTGAATTAATCCTCAAGAGCAACACCCTGAGGGTGAGAAAATCCGCCGACTGAGCAATGCTTGGCATCCACCCGGCAGGTGCCGATGTCTGCGTTTGTTGAGGTCGCACCAGGCAGCATCCGAAGCAAAAGATAAGATGTGGATAGAAATTGGCAAAACATTGATAAGAAATATCACAAATTCAAATATCACAAATATCACAACCAACATCCAATGGCCAAAACAAGTCGTATCAAGTTGCATAAGTTCCTAAAATTCAAAAAGATGACCAGTATTTACCAGTGCTGTTGCCATAGGAACTGGTGCCGTCCTGGTCTCTTCCGCGTCGACCCTGACAAAAAACATCAGCAGCCCTTGCTGTCGCTAAGGGACTTGCTGTCAACTTTACAGCCTGATGAGGCCTGACTCTGTGTAGGTGACATCCTTCAGTCGTGGCCATGCCTCTCCTTTTAAGGGAGACAGGGGAGACCTGAGCTCATAGCAAATCATTTCGACACGGGACATATGAAGATATATGAAGAACATGCACAAAAGGATACAAATCGAAAACAGAATATATACTATATTATTATTATATATATATATTATAATATTGAATATATACTTTCAAAATCTTTCTTAAATATAGTTCACGTATAGTCAACGTTTTGATATGTGACTCAAAAAGTGCAGCATGAAATTCTTCCGCGGGACGCTTCTCCATTTCCAGAAACCAGGCTCTTGTTGCTCTTCTTCTTTGCAGGTGGATGGTCGAGCTGAATGCCTGGGCACAGTCCAAGCAGTCCAATCAAGCATCAACGTCCCCAAGATGTCTCCAAGTACATCCAAGTACATCCAAGTACTTCTGTACTGTAATTAGATGTAATTAGTACTGTTTGCTGTTGTTGAACTACATGGCCCAACATGATCCCCACAACATACCAGAATGTCTTGCCATGTCTTGCCTTCCAGCATCCAACTTTGAACAGCGTTCCAAAGAGACAGACTGAAACCTTTGCTTCGCACCTGTTATGCGATAGATATCACAAAAATCACAACAGTTTTCATCAGTTTTTCAACTGTTTACAACCATTCCCTGTGGTTCTTGCGCCAAGTCACATTCATCTACCTCATCATCGCCTTCTTTGATCGTCGCAGGAGATGCGCGAGTGTAGGAGCCCTTTGTGGTTATGACAACAGTACCTGAGAAAAGTCAAGCAGTCACAGCTAAAACAACAGTAGATAAGCAACACAAACATGAGAGCAGTGTGAGGTGCCATAGCAAGAGATTCTGAAGTACAGTGTGATAATATGTCATAATAGTGTCATATCTGCGGGTGTAATTGGAGAACCCATTTTAAAAAAAAAAAAACATTGGTTTCCCGGTTTCCCCATGGTTTCCCTGGCAGAACAATGTTCCCGTCGAATTTTCGGGTACCATTCTCGATATCCTCCGAGCTGATGGCCCTTAGCCTTACTCCTCTGTAACCACCGTCCTGCGCGAAGGCGACAGGAAGCGACACGAAGCGACACGAAGCGACAATATTTTCAGGGACCTCCCTGGACCTCCCTGGCACCCTGATAAAGCCGTGTATAGGAATTGTGTCAGATTTGCGACTTCGGAATAGAACATGTTGGATTTGATATGATTTGATTCTGTCTTTATTAAAGTTGCAAAAACAAAGATCACACATCGCAAAATTGTCAATCAACCGACTCACCCCCAGAGTGATGGGGTACCCTTTCTAACTTCGAACCCGGGTTCCAGATCACCCTCCCAGGTCATACATGGTCATTCTCAACCAGTCAACATGCCCTTCACATCTCTTCACATCTCTTCACAACTCTTCACATTTCTTCATGCCGTGTTCCCAGTGCCCACAGTGCCCCTTCCGCTGGTCCGATGCAATGGACGTCGTGGGACTGGGTGGCAGGTTCGCAAGCACAGAGCGTCTGCCCTGGGGCGAAGGTGGAACTGCTGGAGTGGCATTTCCTTCGCCCTTCTTCGGCTCCAGCGAAATGCCTGGACACATCACATCTGCACACGGAGTGAAAATCAATGAAATCAATGAAATCCATTAACATGCATAAAATATATTAAAATATCATAAAATCATAACTTCATAACTTCAAAAAAACGGCAGGATGTGTCCATGACAATATGACATGGATATCCTGCCACCGGAATCCAACTCTCACAACAGAGGCAAAAGTCTGCTGGACAGAGGTGCTAAAAGTTGCTAAAGGATCCGGAAACATGTCATACTCCATGCCGAGATACTCGCACTGCCGCTGAGCAAAGAGCTCTTGCTACTCGCTTCACCCTTGAAAACCACCACCATACCTTGGGAGGCAATGAATATGCACTAGGCACTAGATTCACTAGATCGTTCAACTTGCTTGATGTTCTTCGACGTTCTTCATGTTCTTCGTATTTTCAAAGTGGCTACAAACGGGTGGAACGGCGGAGAGCATGGCGGAGCTGCAAACGTCCGAGTTGCCTAAGATCACCACCATGACGGACAAGGAATACAATCCGATCCTCCAACCCGGCAAGTCGTAGACGTCACGCAAGACGATGGCGCCAGAAAGGCTGGCTGATAAGATCATAGAACCTGCGTTGAAATCTCCAAGAAACAGCGAAACATGTCATGGAACACATCATGGAAACATACACTAACATATAGTGAACAATATAGTAACATATTGTGGACACATGTATGGAAACAAATAGAAACAAACAATCAAAATCACTGATAAAATCTGATGAACATAAATCATGTGCATGAAGAGCCAACCGCATGCAAAACCGCTGCAAAACCGCTGCAAAATGCTGCAAAATCTCTTTGTTGCTCTTTTGGCATCTCAGCTTGATGTTTATCGGTTCTCAATTTGAAGCAAGAAGAAACAGGCATCTATATTTTACATTATTTTTCGATCTTTCTCAATCTGATCTAATGAGACGAAGACTATATAAATGAAGGCAAGCCAATACGCCTGACTCTCAACCACTCTATTCTTGGAACAACACATGTCGTGTGAGTGGTGTACTGCTAACTTCTCTATGCAAACGTTGACTGCATGATAATTGGGATCTTGCAGAACGCCATTGAAAAGGTTTGCAGTTGTGCTCTGTCAAAAAGCAGGAACGAAATGCGATGTGTTAGAAGAAACCTTAGTGGTTGACTCTAAGACCGTTCATTTGTGCCAGAAACGGCCGCATGACAAAGCGATACAAAGCGCACCTTCGACAGTTGTGATCATGAAGAAGGCTTCGTAATGCTGGAGCCCACGAGTCAAAAAGAACGCATTGACGATGGCAAAAAAGGCAGCTCCAAGCCTAATGACAAAGGAATGACACAGAGTCTCCAACTGGCTGCGCGAAAGGTCAAGGTTGATTGGTAATTCCAAGAGAAAAAAAGAGCATATTTTTTTTGACAAGGAACAGTGCACAATATGGAATCCACGTCTTCCAGGGTTCTGCGTCTCTTTGAATTATTGAGGTCTGAACCAGCTCCTTAGAACAATGAAACAATGAAAATCGACAGAAGGCGAAAGCGTACCGCTTTCAACGACCAAAGTAAGATCGAAGGAATATTATGGTTCGAATACTTACAATATCGTACAATACTTACTAAGAAGTGCCAAATGAAAGTGTCGCCTTCTGCGATGCCTTGTAATACCAAACAATAGTTGCAAGATGTTGCAAGATGTTGCAAGATGTTGCAAGTGCTGAAGTCAAATCAGGTGTGCTGAGGTTTGCACAATCGCCAGCTTTGTGCACCACATGTTACCTTAGCTGCCGGCGGCTGCCGCTTAGCCCGGCTTGGCCCGGCTTAGCCGCTTACGAATGATTCCGAATGTGTCCGCTGAATGCGTCGAGGTGCCAGCCAACGAACCAGCAGTCCAGCCATATGACAAACCCTTGATCAAGCTTCCAATGGGCCAGCGCATGAGAAAGAACTGGTTGAAGGAATACCTGAGATAGAACTGACAAGAATGGATTCAAAGCAAACTTAGACTGTCAAGCAGTTCTTGAAATCGAAGGCTGAAGCACAACAGAACTTGCAATTCAACTCACATATGGCCCTCTTCCTTGCCGTGGTGGCTCACTTCCCAAATGGACCCAGCTGGTTTTTGGAGTCAAGTTCAAGTGACCAAGCTCGGAAACTCACGGTTCACAGAAGAAATCACATCACCAAATTTGGGAAGGTCCCATAACTTACCACACTTGGACACAAAGATGACAACTTTGGAGGGTATTGCTCAAAGGAAAATGATGTCTGTGCAAGGGTATGACATAACTTAACCTTCAAAGGGGGTATCGCTATTTGGGAAGGTCCCATTGCTTACTTCTGTGAATGCAATATCCGAAAAAAAAAAAACAGACATTGCTACATGTTTCCTCCTCCCGATGTTTTTCCGGTGGTTGTTTCAGCAGCTCAGATGGTCCCTGCCAAGGTGCCACACTAAAAAACAAGAAAAGTAGATCAGCACGCGCCAGCTAAAGAGGGTTGCTTCGATGTACTCGATGGTATATAGTGGGTCCTGAAAAGGACGATTTGTGCTTTATGATGACTTTTGAGGTGCTCCGGAAAGTGGCTTTTCCTTGTACGATATCATTTGACCATTTGATGTAGCCCTACCGGTTGCAAAAGATTGCAGCCCTACCGAAGGATTTCGCATGATTTCGCACTCCTCCTGACTTCCGAAGCAGGCTGAGCCAATGCTGCCTGTCATCACTAATATGCTCCCAACTAGACGGTGCCTTAGCCGAAAGTGCGGGGATGATCTGTTCACTGTCGATGTTTTCTCGTGTAACAGTTTGAAATCTGAGTGCTTTGAGGCATGTGGCCACATCGTGACTTTTCAGCTTTGAAGGCCAAGTGCCTGGCCTTGTTAACTTCTCTTTGAGAATGAAAGGCGCCAAAAGAGCGTTCCAGACCACATCAAGACCTTGCTCAATGCTTCTCCCATGTGCCAAGTTCTTTCAAAAGACAAACGGCAAAAGACTCTGTGAACCTGTGAGATTGTACCGTATGGAAAGGAATCAAATCCAATCGCAGTGCATCACGTTCACTGACAAGGAAGGACACAGATCGACACAGATCAACACAGAATGAGACAGAACGACACAGAACGACACAGAACGACACAGACACCAGGGAAAGGTTTGCCATTATTTGCCACGAGACCCCCAAAAGGTGCTACCAATGACTGTGGTGCAAAGCTGTAGGCCGCGACGTCGATCAATGGGCCCACAGCTGTGTTGGTTACAAGTCCAACGCGAAACCTTAGATTTCCAGAGATCTCCAGAGGCATATAGAGGCATCAAACCAAAGAGAGAAGCAAAACATGCGAAAACAAAACGCCTTTGATCACGTTTGGTTGCTCCAGTTGCTCCTGCAAATGTCTGATTTGGCTGACAAGAAAAGAGAAGTTGAAAAGGCTTGATTTTGGCAAGTAACAGCAGTCTGGACAGCATGGGGTGCTTCGTCTTCTGAAGGCTTGAAAGCCGGACGAAGATCTTTCCGGCAGTGCCGCACATGCTGGAGAAAATCTGCAGACCTACCAAGATCTTTCCAAGATCTTCTCAAAGAACACTGGCCACTTGAACGAATACAAACGGAAAAAATGTTGGGTCGCACACAAGATCGAATCAACTCAGAAAACAACATCAACCGCAACCGCATCAACCGCAACCGCATCAACCGCATCAACCGCAACCGCATAGTGACCAGCCTATGCCAACATACCACAGACTCGGCAGTGGTTCCGGTGTCGTAGTGGTTGTCGTCGTATCGGTGGAATTCATGGCGCTGTGCCACGGTACCGGGCGTGGTTGCAAACTCCCAAACCCGGCCCAAACCCTATGTGACAACATGTGACAACGTGGCCACATGCAAATCCATGCAGTGTGAGGTGTGCATAGATATGGATATATGATGATATATGCATATATAGATGATGTGAAGTGCGATCGGTTTGGTTCGCCATTTGGCTTCAGGAAATGCCTTGTCAAACGACCACAGCCAGGGGACCCCAAGGACCTCTGGGCCAGCTTGGGGTTCCCCTTCGGCTTTGAGCCATCTACCAGAGATTAAGACGTGTAGTTGCGCGCGTTTGCTGTCAGATCTTCAAAGTTTTTCGTGTTTCAACTTGTCAAGGTGGAAATGTGAGCAAAGCTGATGCACATTATATACAGTGCATAATACTGCATATTTACGTATGCAGTACCAGTAGTGCCGCACAAGGCGGTGGCGGAAGTTTCAAAAATATAGGAAACCTATAGGAGCGGCTGGTTGTTGTGAACCACAGATGGCAGAGCAAAGCCACTGATGGACCGAAAGGTGCTTGAGGTCTCCTCTCTTTCTCTCTCTCTCTCTCTCTTCTTTGATTACCTACCTACCTACCTACCTACCTATCTATCTATGTATCTATCTATCTATCTATCTATCCATCTATCTATCTCTCTCTCTCTCTATCTATCTATCTATCTATCTATCTATCTATCCATCTATCTATCTATCTATCTCTCTATCTCTCTCTCTCTCTATCTATCTATCTATCTATCCATCCATCTATCTATCTATCTATCCATCTATCTATCTATCTATCTGCCTATCTATCTATCTATCTATCGATCAATCGATCGATCGATCTATCGATCTATCGATCTATCGATCTATCTATCTTTATCTATCTATCGATTGATCGATGGATCGATAGATCTATCTATCTATCTATCTAGCTAGCTATCTATCTAGCTATCTATCTATCTATCTATCTATATCTATCTATCTCTCTTTCATCTGATTACATATCTTTCTATCTGTCTATCTGTCTATCTGTCTATCTATCTATCTATCTATCGATCGATCGATCTATCGATCTATCGATCTATCGATCTATCGATCTATCGATCTATCTGTCTATCTATCTATCTCTCTCTGTCTTTCATCTAACTACCTGCCTATCTATCTGTCTATCTATCTGTCTATCTATCTATCGATCTATCCATCTATCTATCTATCTATCTACCTAGCTACCTCTATCCATCTATCTATTCATCCATCCATCGATTTATTTATTTTTGCACTTGACGACATCAAAAACGAAACAATTCTGCGAGACTTCCTCATTTTTCGAAATTGACAACAAAAACGAAACAATTCGGCGAGATTTCCTTCAAAAATGGAAAGTTGAATGCAGAGCTGACGGCCTCGTACCAATACGTTTTGCTTTTTTTTGATTCTGTATCCCGGGTCGCCTCCCTCCCGCCTCCCGCCTCCCGCCTGTCACACACCATCTTTGTCAAACTTTCTGACACACCATCTTTCACACACCATCTGTCACATACCATCTTTGTCACATACCATCTTTCACATACAACTTTGTCACATACCATCTTTCACACACCATCTTTCACACCCATCTTTGTCACATACCATCTTGCACATACAACTTTGTCACACACCATCACGCACCATCTTTCACACCCATCTTTGTCACATACCATCTTTCACATACAACTTTCTGACACACCATCTTTCACACACCCGTGGCACTTGGTGACATCCACCTTCATTTCGCGTGGCAGGCGTGGCGCAATCTCACATCCACCTTCGTTTCACGTGGCAGGCGTGGCACTCATGGCACTGGGTGGCGCGCTTGGGCCCGCTTGGTCGCGCGTGACGCCGCGGCACTTTGCGTGGCAAGCGTGGCACTTGCTGACATCCACCTTAGTTTCACGTGGCAGGCGTGGAACAATCTCACATCCACGGTCGTTTTGCGTGGCAGGCGTGGCAGGCGTGGCACTCATGGCACTGGGTGGCGCGCTTGGGCCCGCTTGGTCGCGCGTGACGCCGCGGCACTTTGCGTGGCAGGCGTGGCACTTGGTGACATCCACCTTAGTTTCACGTGGCAGGCGTGGCACAATCTCACATCCACGGTCGTTTTGCGTGGCAGGCGTGGCACTCATGGCACTGGGTGGCGCGCTTGGGCCCGCTTGGTCGCGCCTGACGCCCGGCACTTTGCGTGGCAGGCGTGGCACTTGGTGACATCCACCTTGGTTTCATGTGGCAGGCGTGGCGCAATCTCGGTCGTTTTGCGTGGCAGGCGTGGCACTCATGGCACTGGGCGGCGCGCTTGGGCCCGCTTGGTCGCGTGTGACGCCGCGGCACTTTGCGTGGCAGGCGTGGCACTTGGTGACATCCACCTTGGTTTCACATGGCAGGCGTGGCACAATCTCACATCCACGGTCGTTTTGCGTGGCAGGCGTGGCACTCATGGCACTGGGTGGCGCGCTTGGGCCCGCTTGGTCGCGCGTGACGCCGCGGCACTTTGCGCGGCAGGCGTGGCACTTGGTGACATCGACCTTGGTTTCAAGTGGCAGGCGTGGCACTTGGAGACATCCACCTTCGTTTTGCGTGGCAGGCGTGGCCCTTATGGCATTGGGCTGGCTGTGGTGTCACACGCCATCTTTGTCACACACCATCTTTCACACACTCTGTCACACACCATCTTTCACACACCATCTTTGATACACCCTCTTTCAAGACTCTTTCACACACCATCTTCGTCACACAACATCTTTCACACACCCTCTTTCACACCCAACTTTGTCACACACCATCTTTGACACACCATCTTTCACACACCACATTGTCACCCACCATCTTTGTCACACCATCTTTCACACACAACTTTGTCACCCTCCATCTTTCACACACGGCTTTGTCACACACCATCTTTGACACACCCTCTTTCACACACCATCTTTGTCACACACACACACACCATCTTTCACACTTTGTCACGCACCATCTTTCAACTTTGTCACACACTATCTTTCACACACAACTTTGTCACACGCCATCTTTCACACACCATCCTTGACACACCATCTTTCACACCACTTTGTCACACACCATTCTTCACACACCACTTTGTCACACACCATCTTTCACCACACCATCTTTCACACACAACTTTGTCGCACACCTTCTTTCACCACACCATCTTTCACACGCAACTTTGTCGCACACCATCTTCCGCCACACCATCTTTCACACACCACTTTGCCACACACCATCTTTCACACACAACTTTGTCACCCACCATCTTTGACACACCATCTTTCACACAACTTTGTCACACACAACTTTGTCACACTCACCATCTGTCTTTGTCACACACCATCTTTCACATACAACTTTGTCACACACAACTTTGTTTTACTTCTCGGTCCTCCACCACCTCCTTTGCCTTTCCTTATTGGCAGAAGTTGTCTTGTGGGGTTATCCGGTCCTTTAATTTCCACTCCACCTGTCAAAGGTACTGCGCCTGCCACGAAAAAGTGATGCCAGGTCATACGAAGTGATGCACCTGTCACGCAAAATCATCTCAGCAAACCTGAAGATTTGATGCTCCAAAATGCAACCCCTCTCAGGAAATCAGCGCCCTGACCTCCTAGCAGCTCTGATGAAGATGTCTCTTGTACTGCACCTGCCACGGAAAATGCACCTTTGCAGACCCTCTTCAAATGTCCCACGCCTGCCATTGTTTTTGGAAATACTACAAGACCCACGTTTTGCTCATTTCTGACAAGGTGCACAATCCCTTGCGCCTGCCACGCGAAGCGACATCTGAACGTCAAAAAATGGTCGGAGCATGCTGTGCTTTCAACATTTTGACTTCGACATGTGCTTCGCGCCACAACGACGTGCACTTTTTCGACATCGCAACTTCCAAAAGTGGTCCACCCCTGGTGTGCTTTGTACATTTTGACTTCAAAATGTGCTTCGCGCCACAACGGCGTGCACTTTTTCGACATCGCAACTTCCAAAAGTGGTCCACACCTGGTGTGCTTTGTACATTTTGACTTCAAAATGTGCTTCGCGCCACAACGGCGTGCACTTTTTCGACATCGCAACTTCCAAAAGTGGTCCGAACCTGGTGTGTTTTGTACATTTTGACCTGGAAATGTGCTTCGCGCCACAACGGCGTGCAATTTTTTTCATCTCTCATCTGGCCAGATGGCTCCGCACCCGCCGCTTTAGCGAGGATACTTTTCTACCCTCCGGAGCCTCAAATCATTGGAAAAACACAGTGTTTCGCGACTTTCCTACCTTTTCGCGCACCTGGATCTTCTTTCTTCTGAGACTTTCTCTTTTTTGGTCTTCTTTCTTCTTCTCTTCTCTTCTCTGACTCTTCCCACCTCTGCTTTTCATCTGTCCATATTGTCGGAAGTTTGACTTCTAAACTTCCTTCGAAACTTCCGTTGATAAACTGTTAAAATTATCTTGCTATCAGAAAATGATGATAGTTGGGCACAAAAACTGGATTCCTAGACACGGTCAGTTTACAGTATGTATTTTTTCTACCCATGATTGCTGTAGTTAGAGCCCCATGTTCGAATGTGCGCATAGAACCATGGCTGTCTGGTATATCCTGTTTGGTTGCATACACATGTGAACGCTTACAAATATAAATACACCGTATACAATATATGTTACACACATATTTGTATATATAGTATTGGATACATCTATTATTAATACCATACCATTATACATCGATAAATGGGGGAACCTTAGATTACCCCAGGCAGCTCCAGCTTTTGACCCTCTGATCGAACAGGGCTCTGCGGCGACGGCGCGCAGGATCACCCGTTTGGGTGAGCTGCCGTACCGGCCGCACACGCACATCTCAATTGACAGCTGATGTTCATTGATTTTTTTCAATGTTCCAGCCGTGTTTCCCAGAGTGTCCTGCATATCTGCATATCATTTCTTAAGAGCAAAAAAGGATCGGGCAGCCCTGCAGCATCGAGACTGCTGGGACAGCAGAAACCTTCCCCAACGGAAATTTCCAAGGAACGCAAGGAAGTTGAACATAGGGAAAGGATGTCTGTCATTTTCAGTCAGGGAAAGCCTCTCCTCCACGGGGTCCCCAACAAGACCCCATGGGATAGCTTAGCAAACCACACCTCGATCAGAGACGGCCTGTTCGGCAACGCCCCTGTTGGCGGACTGCCAACTGCCAACCTTCGGAAAGCCTCATTTCTGACAGATGCCTTAGTCAATTCAAAAGACTTGCAGGTGCACAATATTTGGGCAACCCCAAGTTCATCAACCTTCCACTGGAGATTGAAGGCTATGAGGGTTGTGAAGCTTCATTCTTGTCCGACTAAGCACCGAAGGGCCACAAAACTTTGAACCTCCGCGATCTGGAGACTTCCTGAGACAATCGTCAAACGAGTCAAACCCTAAGCTCGCGGCGATCTGTCAATGAAGCTCGCGGCTGGCAACGACGCACTGTGAATACCTCCAGGTGAACAGCACATCTTGACCCCTGAAAAATCCAACGGTGGCCTATCAAACTAACAGAAATAAAACACTCAAAAATCCAACAGTGAATAACAATGACCTTCTGGCAGATTCTATCTGCTTTTTGCCAAAACACATGTCCATCTCTCCGATGATGTACCAGTGCAAGTACGGGTGTTGCGGTGCCAAGTTTTTCAGGGCCAGGCGCAACGCTTGGTGGTCCTCTAGTTTTTGTCTTGCAGAAATCAGACAAAACCTCGGATGTTTATTCAGCGAATGGCGACTGTTCTAAAGCAGCGTTTGTAATCTAACTTCGATGGGGACAACTAACATTATTTTTGGTCGTCCGAACTGATTGGAAACCACCTGTTGTTTGTCTCCATCGTGCCCATGGTACAACGAAGTGGAATCAGAAACAGCATTCACCTAGTTTGTTTGTTTTTCAGGAACGTTCACAAGCCTTCACTGCATCCACTCATGAGAATCCAGAACATCTTGGCCTATGAAATTTCAGTAGCACATGTGACAGCTGGAACATGCTGGAACAGTGTACAGCTCCCCCTCAACACCGGGGGACGGGGCAAAACCCTGACTAATAGATGGGCCAGCTTACATAGTCGTATTCACCCGATGGCTGATTGAAACTATCGATTGACCAGTGCCATTTCCAGAGCCATATCAGCCCAAATTCAACATGCCACCTGAAAAGTTCACCATTTTGGGAGAGTTCCCCTGGAAAAAGCCATCAATGCCATCATTTCAAGATCTTTCGTTTGGATTCGTTTGGCTTGTCACGTCCTCCATCTGAAAGACCGTCTGCACCGCCGCTTTGAACCCATTCCGCAGCCACTTTTCCGGTCGCTGCTTCGGAGGAGGTTGATGAGCCAAGTGGCAAAAACTGCATTTGGCATCCGGGCATCCATGAACGCTCGCAAAAAACACCTGGGTTTGGCTGAGTCACTAACACATCTGGTCATGGCATGTCATGGCAACATGAACCAGTGAGGTCGTCATATCTCATCGAGGCTGCTGATCTGCTGATTGCCAGCTAAACCTTCAGACTTTTCTTGAACATTTTGAGTAAATTCGCCGCTATTCTCTGAGCAACCAAAAAATAAAGCCTTGTATGACTGTATGACTCTAAACAATTCTAAACAATCACCCAGACACGCATGGTTTGCATCTACCAGCGCGATGTTTTGCCAGCGTCTTGCTAGGGCTTTGATCTTCATCGTGGATCTCTGGCAGATTCTGGGTAACCTTCTGGGAAACCTCCTGGGAAACCTTCTGGGAAACCTCCTGTCCATTTGCGACCTTGGAGAAACCGAGGATGAATCCCGTGGGATCCGCCGTATCCCCCGAACTCCAGGATTTTCTCCGAATCGGGGGAACGTCCTCAACAAGGCACAGGTTGCCAAGTCGCGATTGTCTCGGCCCAAAGAAATAAAGGAGCTTCATCGAATTTCATACAGCACTCTGCAATCTCTTGGTTGTCTTACAGATTCGTGATAGATATCCTACGTATTCTTCCGATAGATTCTAAGAATCTAACAGTAAAGACATCAGATCTTCAGAATGACACTTGCTACATCCCGTCCTCGACGGGGCGAACGTCAAGGAAAGTATTCTTCACCGAAAAGTGCAGAATCACTTGCTCCATCATCAGCACAGCCGGGCACAGTCGAGCCAGGTTTGAGCTCCAAAATGGCTAAAATTGGATGGCACCCATGACAAGGGTCGCCACGGGCATCAAGTCGTATCCGAAAAAACAGGAATCACAGTTGGAGGGCGTTGGAGGCATGTTTCTATGCAGAGATGGCGAGAATACAGATCGAAACCATCAACCAGCATATGGAGATTTCTTAAAATGGGGGGTACCCTTAGTTATCATCCCATTTTATCTTCGGATTTTCCATGAAGTAAACCATCCATTTTTGGGGGTCCCCCATATATATATATATGTGGAACCACCCATCTTGATGGGATATAACATGATCTAGCCCCCGACAGGTTTCAGCTCCATCCCTTCCGGCTGGCGAATATATATATATATATATATCATCCACAAAGTGAAGCATAGAAGTTTGTTGGAGAAAAGGAGGGTCATGGTCCAATGGTCATGGATGAAGTTTGGGGACTTCAAAGTCAGCCATGGACCTTCAATGGCACATGGTGAATTCAGCAACAAAATCATTGGGGAAAGAATGACACTGCAGAGACAACGATGACGGGCACCAAGAATGAGACCTAACAAACGACAATGGGTAAAGTAGATATACATGTACAATATATATATATATATTGCGCATATGTATGTATACTTTATATATAACATCTATACATATGTATCTCTCTCTCTCTCGATAATATATATATATATGTACGGATTATACATAGTATTTAAATCATGTACACATCCCTATCTATATTAAAATGGCATGTGTATATATATATATACGTATAATATATATATATACATACACATTTACAGTCGTATATGGGGATGGGTCAAAACCTTGTAATTACCCCTTCTGTTCACATCGAAATAATTGGTATAGCTGGATGTTCATCCATCAAAAAATGGCATATATAGGTATTGATCCATGGCCATATATAAATGTATACACTTGTATAATATACCCTTTGGTAAACGTTTTTCAAAAAACTATGGACAATCAACATGCTATTACTGGGTAAATCACCTATTTCGCACAGTGTTTGAAAGTTGTCAGACAAGACAAACACGTTGGCATGCAACGAACAAAGCCGACTTACGGATACGGATGCAACATCTGGCCGTGATAAACATGGGATGCATTAGCATGCAAAGAATTAAAGATGCTGCGGCACCGTAGTGCCGTCGGAAAATGGCATATCTATCTATCTATCTATCTATCTGTCTATCTGTCTATCTATCTATCTATCTATCTGTCTACCTGTCTATCTGTGGTGCAGTGTCATTCAGTGTAATGTAGTGTAGTGTAATGTAGTGTGGTGTAGTGGAGTGTGGCGGAATGCAGTGTAGTGTAGTGTAATGTAGTGTAGTGGAGTGTGGCGGAATGTAGTGTAGTGTAGTGTAGTGTAATGTAGTGTAGTGTAGTGTAATTTAGTGTAGTGGAGTGTAGTGGAGTGTAATTTAGTGTACTTGTAGTTGTAGTTTAGTGTAATGGAGTGTAGTGTAGTGTAGTGTAAGGTAGTGAAGTGTAGTGGAAGATAGTGTAGTATAGTGTAGTGTAATGTAGTGTAGTGGAGTGTAGTGTAGTGTAATGTGATGTAGTGTAGTGTAGTGTAGTGGAGCGTAGTGTGGTGTAATGTAGTGTGGTGTAGTGTAATTTAGTGTAGTGGAGTGTACTAGGGTGTACTGTAGTGTAATGTAGTGTACTGGAGTGTAGTGTAGTGTAATGTCCTGTAGTGTAGTGTACTGGAGTGTAGTGTAGTGTCATGTAGTGTAGTGTAGTGAAGCGAAGCGACATCTGAACCTCCAACATTTTGACTTCGAAATGTGCTTCGCGCCACAACGGCGTGCACTTTTGCGACATCTCAACCTCCAAAAGTGGTCCAAACCCCTCGTGTTTCCAACATTTTGACTTGGAAATGTGCTTCGCGCCACAACGGCGTGCACTTTTTCAACATCTCAACCTCCAAAAGTGGTCCGAACACCTAGTGTTTTATAGATTTTGACTTGGAAATGTGCTTCGCGACACAACGCCGTGCACTTTTTGGACATCTCAACTGCCAAAAGTGGTCCGCACCCCTAGTGTTTTGTACATTTTGACTTCCAAATGTGCTTCTCGCCACAACGCCTTGCACTTTTTCGACATCTCAACGTCCAAAAGTCGTCCGACGCTGAGGTGTTTTGTACATTTTGACTTGGAAATGTGCTTCGCGCCACAGCGGCGTGCACTTTTTTGACATCTCAACTTCCAAAAGTGGTCCGAGAATGGTGTGTTTTGTACATTTTGACTTCGAAATGTGCTTCGCGCCACAACGGCGTGCACTTTTTCGACATCGCAACTTCTAAAAGTGCTCCGAAGCTGAGGTGTTTTGCACATTTTGACTTGGAAATGTGCTTCGCGCCACAACGGCGTGCAATTTTTCATCTCTCATCTGGCCAGCTGGCTCCGCACCCGCCGCTTTAGCGAGCCTACTTTTCGACCCTCCGGAGCCCCAAATCATTGCAAAAACACCGTGTTTCGCGACTTTCCTACCTTTTCTCGCATCTGCATCTTCTTTCTTCTTACTCTTCTTTCTTCTAATCTTTCTCTTCTCTCTGCCTCTTCCCTGCTCTGCTTTTCATCTGTCCATATTGTCGGAAGTTTGACTTCTAAACTTCCTTCGATTGTGCACTAGATATAGTATACATGTATTTATACATATGCTAGATTGCAGCTTTGTATAGAATTGTATAGATATGTATCATAGAGATCTTTACTATATGGGCTTGAAACTCGATATATATACATAAACAGATTTGGTACTTCGACGAAAACGAAAAACTTGATCGGTGCCTTCCTCCAGCAACAACTGCAATCCCTGACCAAAGACCACCTGCCAGTGCTGCACATCGCTGTCTTCGAATCAGGTCGAGGCATCTTAAGGCCCGGGCATCATTGATGAAACCCCATGCTTCCTCTCGGGTCTCCTCAGAATGATGTATGATGTGTTTTCATGTGTTAGAATATTTAGAATAGTGTTTCTGCGTGTTTTTAGATATTAGATGATATTAGATGCTCGTCATTGGCTCATTGGCTCGTCATTGCCTTGTCATTGTTACACGATGTTACACGTCCTCAGCGTGTGTGGCAAAGCGGTGCTTCCGGTCAGGCCCTGCCCATACCTCACAGAGCTGTCGCTGATCAAAATAAAGCATTCGGAGAGAAACTCTCACCCTGAACACACTACGGTAACAAGAGAAAGCACGAAAAGGTTTGCTTGAAGTCAAGACATCTGAATATCTCTGAATTTCTCTGCCACATGGTCATCTTGAGTCATCTTGTAGTTCTTGTAGCAGTCCATGAACATCTGATTCCATGATATTCCATGATATTCCATGCCCCATTTGGATCCACTTGGATCCACTTGGATCATTTCAATGCCTCCCAAGAGGTGACCACCGCATCGACGTAGCCATCATGGAGGCACGTCACGTCCACAGATCGCTTCCGCGGAATGTGCTTCCGTTGAAGCTCGTGAAAGTTCAACTCGAAAAGTTGGACTCTGCTTGACATCAGCACCAAATCTGGCAAGGAGTTCCAACGGAATCCTTTCTTCCTGGATGACATCAGGCTGATAGAGTCCACGAGCCTCAAGGATCGGAATCACAGAGCAACATGCTGCAGTTATTTCATATTATTTCCATCCATTTCCGACAAACAAAAAACAAAGCAGCAACATGAAGATTAGGGGCGAATTTTGTAGACTATGATTTAATAATCATTCCCCGAGGCGCGGTGCCAAGTTCTGCAAGGACACGGAGTTCTCCGAGTTCGCAAAGCCTCGAATTCCCAGCTCTGAAGACATCAGCAGCCGGACGAACTGTGCTCCTCCGGAGGGGATGATCTCCACATTGGCCACCGCCAACCGCTGCCGTGCGTCGATGAGGTAATCCAAACTGCCAGAAGCGGAATCACCTCTCAGCTCGGAAAGATTGAACATGATTGATCACGATTGAAAACGATTGGAAACGATTGAATGATTCTGGATTTCATTGGATTTCACATGATTTCAATATGTCTATCTTAGTCTGGCTCACTCTACTACAAATAGATCTTCTCGGCTCTATTATAATCATTGGTCGGACTCTCCCGATTTCAGGTAGAGAACTAGAATACAGAGGAATCAAGTAGACACAAAGGCTATGGTATGCCATGGGCTATGGTACACGACAAACCTCAGAGCCAAAGCTCTAACCAGAAAGGTATCTCTAAAGTGAAGGACTTTAAAAATGAGCTGATCACTGAGCCAGCCAAATGCAACCTGCCATCTCCATCTAAGAGGGGGCCCGAAAGAGGGTTGTGAATTGTTGTGAATGGAGAGATTTCCGTCGAAATCCGCCTGTGAGAAAAATGTCGTAAGGTTCACACAGAACCACATCCACCGCATCGTTCTCGGACAACTCGACGCAGCAACTCAGGGCGTGCTGCACCTGCACCGCGTCAGCATAGCCAGCACCGTTCAGGGTCTCTTTGGCCATGCCACAGAACTCACTGCAGGCTTCCAACGCTAAGACTTTTGCATTGGGCAATGCTTGAAGAGCGAAAAGTGACAACTGCCCGGCACCCGCACCCAAATCCAACACATGAAGACATCGTCCAGAAGTTTTCTCTGCCAAGCTTTGGAGAGCAGAACGGAAGAAGTTCAAGCGGCCCTGATGATTCAGAAAGGCAAAGTAGTCGTCATTCAACGTCTGCACCACGATGCTACGACAAGTCTTCAGAAATTCATCACAAACGAAATTTGCCGGACGGTCATCGCCACAGAGTTGTCGGTCACATTCTGCTGCCACCTGTGACGGTTTCGAACATTTTGCTGCATTTCTACAACTCTTCCAAAGAGAAAAGGAATAAAACGGATTATGAAAAGAAAACGTCGAGAGAGATAATCCATGGTAATCCATGGGTAATCCATGATAATCCGTGAAACATAGATTATTAATGACCATCAATAAAAGTTAAATCACCTAAACACAGCCAAGTTAGGGACTTAATAAGCACGACAGAACGGCTGCCAAGACGCGTGTTTTGACAGCACTTGAGCCAAAGTAAGTCGGGACACACCCAAAATGAGCTAAGACAACATGTGCATTAGACGATGTCATAAGTGCATGGTTTTGCACTCAAATTAACAACCCCCCCTCATGATATACATGCACATGTGCCCTATATACAATTTCAGGGGCCAATATGGCTGACATCTGGCCAATTTCGTTGGGTGAATTCTAGCGATCTACAACTACCGAGGCCTAAGGCAAAGCTGCTCTAGCGCTTGTTGACATTCTGCCGGAGTGATGATCTCTGTGAGTTGTGTGGATGTCTCACAATATCTCAAAGTGAAGATTTATTGGAGGACTTCGGCAATGTTGATGTCCTCACCTTTAGCACGAGCTCGCTTGCGAAGCTCAGCAACAGGGATTACGGTTGAATCATTCCAAGTTCCATTGGCTCTCAAACCTTAGGCTTCCGCTTTGATGGCTTTGATTGCCTTTTCGTCCTTGGACCATTGTGACTTTGTCGGGTTCAAGGTCACAAGTGCAGAGGAAGTGCTGAGATCTGGAACATGTTGAAACCATTTTTGAGGATACCATGCTTCGACGATAACCGATGCGAACTGTCTTGTGTAGAATCCTGTTTGCTTGGCATGACTACCCACGGCGGGTTCATGCTGGTGCGAATGATCGCACTGATAGGCAGCCAGGATTGTAAGGATTCGTTCATCACATGAAGACACGCACCATTGTTTACGAATGGGGCATTCTTTACCATGAACACCTAACATACTTCCATCAAAGTAAACTCTTCTGAATGCATGCTCTCTTTCAACCTCTTTGACTTCATCTAGGTCCCACCATCCAGAGCTTGCCGCCATCCGATGGCAATACGACCACCTTCGGCTAAGATTTTCTTCACGAACCTCTTTTGAGGGAACATTTTCCTAGCCTGCTTTATTCTCTTTTCCAACTTCTGTTGAAAACCCATCCATGTCTATGCGCATTCATGTGCTGCCACGGTGTGAAATCGGTACATGAGAGGCTGGCCGAGGCATCTGCAGATTTGCGGTCATCAGGTTGGGTGATCAATTGAGAAACTTGTCCTTCATCCTGCAAAGCGATCACATTACGGGATAACCTGATTCCTTCAACACCGACTTCATCACAAACTCCACCCATGGTTGAATTTTCATCACATGCATATTCAGCGAGGGTATTAGAACCTGATGATTGATACATTCTTCGATATTTTCTTCTGTCTGCATTTTGAAGAAAGATTTCATCAAAGTCCGTATTTGTTTTGGCTGGCATTGCGCTTTCTGGATGGTCTGGTGGGATACCTGCACTAAAAGGCAATTCGGATGGATCAGCATCAGGCACGGCTTCAACAGATTCGTCAAGCACTGGCATTGGCATGCTTGGCGCTTCTGCTTCTGGGACCGGAGTCAAAGCAGCTAGTGTGCGAGGAGTGCGTCCAACACGGTCGGCTCTGATCAATGCATCGAATCGAGCTCTGCATGCAGGTGTGTGTCTTCCGGATGAAGACGCCGTGAAACATGCACGGCATACGAGTACCTGGTGAAACATCACTGGGCAGTTCAGCCAATTACTCTGGGTTTGGATTCTTGAAGATAGCAAGTGCTTCATCTGCTGCTTTCAATGGCAAAACTGGTAAACCTTCTGGCACATAAACCTCTTCACAAGGTATTGCTGTGGCAATGGAGTAACCAGGTTTCTGGCTCCTAACACTTTCGTAATCGAGCACGTAGCACACGTTCTCGAATGACAATGGTCCTGAATCGAACTGCCATCCAGCACAAAGCTGGCGCTGCGGCGGCATCAAATTTTTGGCGTTCAAGGGGACCTTTGCGAACATAAACCAGTTGTCCAAGTAAAAGTTCTCTCCCATCAAACTCATTGCCAGTCGCTCGAACAAAGCGGTTGGATGGTTCTCCCTCAGCAGTGCCTTTCAAAGGATGATATTGATTAATCACCACACCAGCATATGCAACCGAGTGCTTCCAAAGGTCTTTGACAACATGGAAACCTGCAAATAGATGGACTGATCTTGCTATCTCCTCTAAGGACCGGATGTCCCTTTATAATTGTGCGTTGTGTGGCCACCTGCGGTCCAATGTTGGTTCATGAAAAAACCCTAGGACATTGCAAATCGGAACTCCTTTGCGTTATCTGACTTGCACATGATAACGGGGTTTGTGTGATATGATGGGCCAAGAAAACCCAAAAGGTTACGAGCGACTGTCTCAGTGTCATGTTTTGTTGACGGGAATGCAGCCAAAAAACTTGAATGCTCATCTCTGATGACTTGCACAAATGACTCTTTGGTACCATCACTTGATATATTTTACTATTGTGAAATCACTTGCTAATCTTTCGCCAAACTTAGACACAGGTTCTAAGTGCCCAGGAGATTCCAAAGGGTCATGACGAAGTTTTATGGTCTTGGATTTGTACATCCCAGCCCTCCGACAAACCTCACAAAATGGATTCTTTGGCATATGGCACATCCTGCGACGAAGGCTCATCGCCTCTCGCATCAGGGCCTCAACCCCCTGATCCTCATCCACAAACCTGTCACCATCAGCTTGGATGGAACTTCAGCTTCATCTGCGAATCTTTAAATTTGAAGCCAGTTGCGGGTGTAGCCCAACTCCCTTCAGATTTCTCTGAAAATCGGCACAAAATCCTCAACCCTTTGGGCATGACGGGGTTGGCTTTCATCTGCAGCGATCTGTACGTCATCACTAGGACTAGAATTGTCCAAAAATGGTAATTCACCTGGCATCCAAACAAATGGCTTTCCGGAGGACCACTGCACTCATCACTTTGAAGGTGCACACGTGCAAATCACAAAGTGACCGTGATGTGTCCTTTGGGGGGGCTCAGCCAGAACATGCGGAGAAGCTTGTGTCGATCTGCTTGACCTCATGCCGGCAAACAGGCCAATCGGGCATCAAAGTGACACCAAGTCACCAGTAATCGCTTTGAATCCGCTCAAATGCAGCAAAGACACACAGCCACCGCCATGTTGTAGGGGACAGGGCAGTGCGGTCTGTGGCAGTGGCCTCGGCGCCAAAGTCAGCAATGTGCAGGAAGTACCTTTTCATGGAGCGTGGTTGGAGCCAGCCCTAAGGAGCCGGCAGACGATGCCACCTTGAAGCCTCCGGCACGCCAAAACCCCACCGCATCTGCGTCGGGGAGGCTTTGCAGGACGATGCAACTGCAGCCATTGTCTGCAGCAATGCCTGGAGAAGGCGACCGTTCCTGGGACCTGCGGAAAGCCCCGCCTTGGAGGCGCAGTTGAAGGGCTCGTCCTGCTCCAACCCTTCCGCAGCACTCCAGCAAATCTACCTGAGTGCGAACAAGTCTGAGACAGCTGAAGACCTTATTGCCAAATGAAATAGTGCCATGTACTTGCGGGCAGGGTGGACACCCCCGCCCTCCATGAACTTGTAGGTTGCCGCCCCGCAAGGCAAGGCGGCCACGAGGAGCTGGGTGTTGGCCCGCCACGCAGCAAATAGGACTCTGTTGAAGCCGCTATCACCCAGGCGGTGTGACATGACCAAGGGCTCCTTGGGAGCTGTACCCTCGAATTGGTCGAGCATGACAGCTTCGGCTGCTGCACGCAAGCCCGCTGGCGCCTGGACAAAACTTGTTCGCACAAACTTTTGATACAAAGTGTACTCATGGTATTCACTCACGCACTGGTGCACGTGTTTTCATATGTTTTCAATATCTGCGGCCTCATCCTGCGACAGTGCCAAAACGTGTGCACCGCGCAAGTCACGGAGCCTCAGGAACACCGAGGGGTGAAAGGAGCAAAGGAAAAAGCCAACCAAAATTGACAAAAGCACACAAAAGAAGGAACAAACTTTACAAAACGGAAAATTTTATAAGTCTTTGCTGTTTCTTCCATGCTGCATCCCTCCATCCTTGATCCTTTCTGGCAGTGCCCGCAAGGGCGGCGCGAAGCTGCCGCCAGTCCCTGAGCCTTTTGCCTGTCTTCAGCTTGTTCAGCCCTGCGCTCCACACGCCTGTGCCTGGGCCATGGATTCGACTGGCACAAGCCAAAAGGAACAACGACTGGCCAGTCAAAAGGAACAATGACTGGCAGACTGGGGCACTCCATCTGCAGAGTCCACAGCTGACGTCGAAGTCTCTCCTGGCCACGGCATGCCCAGCTGCACATGCACATTATGAGCACATCACCAGCAAAACTGACGCAAAATTTGCACAACCTGAAACACATCTGCACATCTGCCCTGAAGCAAGACACAGCTGTGCAGATTCCAACCTCTGGGGAGGGGGTGAAGTCCTGAGCCTCCAGATCCAAATCCACACCTCTTCTGCGTGCCAGGTGAGGTGGGCAATGGGCAGCTGAACAACTCTGAACAACCCGCCTGGAATGGGAGCCTGCAAGAGGCCAACCTCACAAAAGAATTCAAATGAATTCAGAACAAATACATGCCGATGAAAATGCATGCAAATGCATGCGCATGCATTTGTCGCATCTAGAAGTGAAATCAATTGAATACATAGACTGGATTGATTCAGAGATAGATGACAGGTAGGTAGATAGATTTGACAGGTAGATTCGATAGATTAGATTGATTGAACTGATTAGATCGATTGGGCAAGCAGGTAGACAAACAAACGGGTAGATAGATAGGCGGCCAAATAGATCCGATATGATCAGATCGATAGAGAGTCAGACATCGTTGGATCGCATTGAAATCACAAAATCAAGTCTTAAGACGTTTCACGTCTTCTGTAGGCTTCATGTCTTGAAAACTTCGGCCACCGCCTCGTGCGGTACCTATGTTGCGATAGAACTGCAGGCTTCAGGCATGAGTTGAAAAATTGCTAGCTGAACTGCTGGATTTACCCGGGACTCTACCACATTAAACCACATTAAACCTGAAGGGTGTAACATTTGATGGATTTCGTTTCTGGCCAACCCTGGCCTCCAAGTCAATCTCGGGGCTCTCGGGGCTCGGGGCAAGTGAAGCCAAGGATGGCCCCGAAGACCAAGGCCAAGTTTCAAGCACCACATGTTGAAAGTCAAAAGAGCCAAACTTGAGAAAGTCAAAAGTCCACCACTTTGAGCACTTCAGAGGTGGGGGTCTCACAAACTATGAGCCTGCCAGGCGGTCACCTGTCATTTTCAGGTCTTGGTGGCTAAGTCCTGAAGTGTGCCCCCGAAAAGTCAACACCGGCCGCACAAAAACAGCATGTGCCGCGAAAACAAAGTCAAATGCAGGTTCCGCCTGTCCACCGTGTGTAAGTTCCAATGCAACTGACCAAAATCATGCGGGTCATTGTTTGCCCGGGCCTTCGGCACCAGCCAAATGGACAAACAAAAAGCGGTTGCAAGCAGCTGCAGTGCTGACAGCCTCGTTCCTGTTGATTGTTGGCATGGAGCGGGTGGATGTGGATGCAGTCGACCAACATGGTGGAATCATGTAGAATCCTCCATGCCAAAGTGACACCTCTAGCGATCTCATAGCCTCATAGCTGATTCGATCACAGCGCAGCTCACGCTATCCCCAAGACACCGGCAACGAAGGCTTCACGCATCCCTGCATTGTAGCCCTGGCGCAGGGTGCTGTGCCGCGGTCCGTGCGGATGACAAGCTGCTGCATCAAAGGTCCAGGTGGGCATTTCCTGCCGGTGAGGGGGCCGTTTGGCCTTAGTTTGGGGTTGGTGAATGTGTCCCCTTCCGTTTCGATTTCTAATTGAGTTCCGGGAAGCTGAGGTTGCCACAAGGCCATGGGTCCAGGGATCAACCATGCCATGACAAAACGAAGCTAGTCAACGAAGCTGGGCAACGAAGCTTACAAAAGCAAAAGATGCAAAATGAGCCGAAATGAGCTCCAATTTCCGGCAATCAGCCCCAAGCGAGCATCAAACAAACAATGTCACATTGATGCCGGTCATCAAAACATGGAATACTTCAAGTATCTTCAAATGCAACTGCAGAATGAGTAAAATGCAAATTCCCAGACGCAGACATAAAACCCACTTCACATGGTGCTAAGTCAGCCCAGTCCATACTAGAGTCCAAGACTATGTTTCTCAAGAGGAGGATGTAACAATTTTAGATGCTCTGCTGTGTTATGCTGCGTCTATCTTCCCAGTTTCTCAGTCCGGTTTGATCTAATTTGGGTTCCCAGCTGCTTCGGCGCTTCCAGAGATGCGGTAACTTGAAGGCAAAAAGCCTCACTGCACCATCTTCTTCTTCATCATCTGCTCCTCATCATCAAGCGGATTTGATTTTGAGGTTACAAATCGTCACATCATCGTCCTCCTCCTTATCCTCATCATCTGCACCACCCTCTTCTTCATCATCTGCATCATCCTCATCATCAAGCGGATTTGAGTTTGAGGTTACAAATCGTCACATCATCGTCCTCCTCCTTATCCTCCTTATCCTCATCATCTGCACCATCGTCTGCTTCATCATCTGCACCATCCTCATCATCAAGCGGATTCGAGTTTGAGGTTACAAATCGTCACATCATCGTCCTCCTCCTTATCCTCATCATCTGCACCAACCTCTTCTTCATCATCTGCTCCTCATCCTCATGAAGCAGATTTGAGTTTGAGGTTGCAAATCGTCACATCATCGTCCTCCTCCTTATCCTCATCATCTGCAGCATCCTTTTCTTCATCATCTGCATCATCCTCTGCTTCATCCTCATCATCAAGCGGATTTGAGTTTGAGGTTACAAATCGTCACATCACCGTCCTCCTCCTTATCCTCATCGTCTGCATCATCCTCTTCTTCACCATCTGCATCATGCTCATCATCAAGCGAATTTGAGTTTGAGGTTACAAATCGTCACATCATCGTCCTTCTCCTTATCCTCATCATCTGCAGCATCCTTTTCTTCATCATCTGCATCATCCTCTGCTTCATCCTCATCATCAAGCGGATTTGAGTTTGAGGTTACAAATCGTCACATCATCGTCCTCCTCCTTATCCTCATCATCTGCACCATCGTCTGCTTCATCATCTGCACCATCCTCTGCTTCATCCTCATCATCAAGCGGATTTGAGTTTGAGGTTGCAAATCGTCACATCATCGTCCTCCTCCTTTTCCTCATCATCTGCACCATCCTCTTCTTCATCATCTGCATCATCCTCATCATCAAGCGGATTTGAGTTTGAGGTTGCAAATCGTCACATCATCGTCCTCCTCCTTATCCTCATCATCTGCACCATCCTCTTCCTCATCATCAAGCGGATTTGAGTTTGAGGTTGCAAATCGTTACATCAACTTCCTCCTCCTTATCCTCATCATCTGCACCATCCTCGTCTCCATCATCTGAATCATCCTCATCATGAAGCGGGTTTGAGCTTGAGGTTACAAATCGTTACATCATCGTCCTCCTCCCTGCTTATCTTCATCATCTGCACCATCCTCTTCTTCATCATCTGCATCATCCTCATCAAGCGGATTTGAGTTTGAGGTTACAAATCGTCACATCATCGTCCTCCTCCTTATCCTCATCATCTGCAGCATCCTCTTCTTCATCATCTGCTCCTCATCAGTAAGCGGGTTTGTGCTTGAGGTTACAAATCGTTGCATCATCGTCCTCCTCCCTGCTTATCTTCATCATCTGCACCATCCTCTTCTTCATCATCTGCATCATCTTCATCAGCAGGCGGATTTGGGTTTGAAATTACAAATCGTCACATCATCGTTCTCCTCCTTATCCTCATCATCTGCACCATCCTCTTCTTCATCATCTGCATCATCCTCATCATCAAGCCGATTTGAGTTTGAGGTTGCAAACCGTCACATCGTCGTCCTCCTCCTTATCCACATCATCTGCACCATCCTCTTCTTCCTCATTTGCATCATGATATAAATCGTCACATCATCGTCCTCCTCCTTATCCTCATCATCTGCACCATCCTCTTCTTCATCATCTGCATCATCCTCATCATCAAGCCGATTTGAGTTTGAGGTTGCAAACCGTCACATCGTCGTCCTCCTCCTTATCCTCATCATCTGCACCATCCTCTTCTTCATCATCTGCATCATCCCCATCATCAAGCAGATTTGAGTTTGAGGTTACAAATCGTCACATCATCGTCCTCCTCCTTATCCTCGTCATCTGCACCATCCTCTTCTTCATCATCTGCTCCTCATCATCAAGCCGATTTGAGTTTGAGGTTACAAATCGTCACATCATCGTCCTCCTCCTTATCCTCATCATCTGCACCACCCTCTTCTTCATCATCTGCATCATCCTCATCATCAAGCGGATTTGAGTTTGAGGTTACAAATCGTCACATCATCGTCCTCCTCCTTATCCTCATCATCTGCACCATCCTCTTCCTCATCATCTGCATCATGCCATAAATCCCCACATCATCGTCCTCCTCCTTATCCTCATCATCTGCACCATCCTCTTCTTCATCATCTGCTCCTCATACCAAAAGGATTTGAGTTTGAGGTTGCAAATTTTTACAGCATGGTCACATCATTGTCCTCCTCCTCCTTATCCTCATCATCTGCACCATCCTCTTCTTCATCATCTGCTCCTCATCATTAAGAGAACACTGCGGGTTTGCAAATTTATGCTTTGGAAAGATCTGTTCCCCAGTTTCTCCCGAGTAAAGATGAAATCCTTGATTCTTCGCGTAAGTCCAGTCAATGAATTCTAGTGGCAGTCCAACTGGGGGACGAGGTGTACGTTTCGGAGTGGCTTTCGGCCTGGCTCCCGAGGACGTCGATGATGATGTCCACACTCCCCTGAGCTCGTCGTCGGCTACCTCGGGAATGTGTGCCTCGTGCTCGTCGTCCGTAATGTACACTGGATCTATAATCACACTCAATTTCGTCGCTTGACTCTGGGTCTGACAGCGGCGGCAAGACAGGTCGATCCCTCCGAGGTAAGCCTGTCCTATCAAGAAGCTCAACTGACGAACTCTTTGATTTGCTCGAGTGTGTGATCTGATTTCAGAATTGAAGGCAGGGTGCTGGACAATTCTTTCGAACAAAGATAACAAGTATTCTGGAAGAGTCAACACCGCGCTTTTCCACCGTCTTTTTCTTCAATGCTTGCCGGCTCTCCGTTCCCCGGCGATCTTCGACAGACGTCCTCTGAGTCTTCCTCCCACAGATGATCGCGAACGATTTCTACGCATCCAAGGCCGAGTGATGCGATTCTCAGCCTATGCCCGCTGTGTCCCTTTTGATTTGAGCAAAAGCACAACGATGGTTTGATGTGCCACCCACTGGATTGAGTGAATTTCGGGTAGGGCGTACTGAGTGAACGGATGGAAACCCTTCTGACAAACACTTTTGCTATTCGAATATGTTTCATGGACACGAAAACAACGCAAAAGCAACAATCCTTTTGGATGGTCGGACGCAATGCAGTTCACAAGGAAATTGGATAAGGTCCTGCAACTATTAAGTGAGGTCTACTTATCCCTGCCCTTCTTTAGTAGGTTCGAAATTTGGCAAGTCAATGTTGCAATATGGATGGCAACGCCCCGACAGATAGTTGGGCTTTATGGGCAAAAGATCACGCTCTTATTGCTAAAGGACCACTCTACCCGGCTTATGGATATTGATCTTCAGGTGGTGTTGCACGTATGCAAACCCCCACCGGCAGCGCAACTATGGTCCTTTCCGAGAAGTCTGCTCGGCTTTTGTGAACGTCCAAGGGGAAATTGTTCCTGGACGTTGCGATGGCAAGACACACACACACAACACTGGCGGCAACCCGGAATGGCACTGGTTGGGATGTGGTGTCAAGGGATTATAAATGCGGACGCTTAACTCAGGGGGCGCAAGCCTAAGGTAAGCTGGATACGATTTCTGAGGCTGTTAACCAGTTAAATCACCTAACCACAGCCAAGTTAGGGATTTCAGAAGCATGACAGTGAACGGCTGCCAAGACGCTTGTTTTGACAGCACTTGAGCCAAAGTAAGTCGGGACACACCCAAAATGAGATAAGACAACATGTGCATTAGATCATTAGAGGATGTCATAAGTGCATGGTTTGCAAACTAAAAACTATAGACTATAAACATTAACATATCATAACATATCAATCCATTTGGATGATCCTCTGCCTCCGCAGTGTCGCACAGCATGGGAATGGCGGCATCCTCAAACCACAGGCACTCGAAGGGCTCTACCTGCGCCACGGCGACGGCTGCTGCAGCGTCACTGATGGCCTGGCCACTGCGACTTCAGCTCTGGAAATCAGATGAAAATAGAAAAAATCAGAAAAATCATATTGAAATATGATGAATATGATGAATATGATGAATATGATGAATATGATGAAATCAGTTGCAAAAACACTGCGAAAGCACAATTCGGAAGAAACATGGCCTGGCTTTGGGCCTTGCTTTGGGGCAGACTGAATTGGCAGAGACTGCCATCTGAAGTCCAACCTTTTGCAGATCAAGGGAGTTCCGACTCTCATGCTATCGTGCCATTGCGATTGTCTGTTGCAGACACAACTGGCCAGAAATTGAACTTCTACGGTTGAGCTGAGCTTCTAGGCTTCGTCGAAAAAATGGATCAGAATCTCAATTCACATCACAAAGTATCAACACACATATAGTAGTAAACCTTGTTTCTCCTCATCTTTCGTCCACATGTTCTTTTGCCAAGCAACGAACTGTGAGTCGCAGCTCCTCTCCGGCTGTGACGTAGCGGTTGTCCAGGAACTGGCGCAGCAAGTTCGACCGCAGTGGCCGATGTCCGGTCAAAGCCGCACCTGAAAGCCTTGTCCCCAATGAGCATCGCGAGCAAAGCCCCATGGTTGATCCTGAAATCAGGATAAATCAAGTGTGATACAATAATATATATATATATAATATGATGTAATTGTGAGATTGCAATAACTGAAGGTGATCGAAAAAAACAAATGACCCGAGAAAATCAGAGAAAGAAAATGACGAAAATGACGAAATCTGAAAATCAGAGATCTTGAAAGAAATGAAAAAATCACCAGCTGACGAGAGCTCCGATCAGCCGAATCAGCTCCTTGGTGTCCTCCGCGTGAGTGGTCAACTTTTGGGTCTTTTCCTGGTCGGCCCACACCTCCCAGGAAGTCACCAACCACCTCAAAGGCACGTTGAAGGCACGTTGCATGCTGCATGCTCTGCAGATTCTGCAGTTGTAGCGGAAATGAATGCATCACAAGACTTTGAGGGAAGACTTGGATATAGAAGTTGGATGATTCTGCATGATCATCATGATATACATCATTAATCATCATTATACATCATGAAGAGTTGCAGTTTGCAAGGGCTAGGCCGGCTAGGCCGGCTAGGCCGGCTAGGCCGGCTAGGCCGGCTAGGGCCCAGGCCGCATCAAGATAACCATCTTGCAGGGCATGGACTACAAACTCTCCTGATGGGCTCGATCATTGGGCCTGCTGCAATCACAAGGCATTGTTTTCATCAACAGTTATGCAAGTTATGTATCAGTAGATATCAGTAGTAAACCAATAGTATCTAATGATATCTACTGTACAGCTGGTGATCCAACCCTAAATCATCTCAGTCTCCTCCAACCCTGGTAATATCTAGTAATTCTAGATTCCTACTGGTGGCATGTGGTGAGGGTTGGTCTCAAACTATCCACAGTAAAACAGCTAGGGCACTGGATGCAGGTATCTCAGTCGACGAAGTGAAATCCACCTGCCAAGGCTGCCAGTTGTGAAAGTTGTGCAAATCACTTGGCAATGGCCCAATATTTACCTGATATCTCCAACATGTCGAACATGTCCAATATGTCTAATTGATTCCAATTCTGTGTTTGTCATTGTGTGTCCATGGCATGGCATCTATGGATGGCTTCTATGCCTCCAGAATGCTGATGCGCTCGGACATCCATGAAGCATCCGGCAGGGCATTTACCTCAGCTGCGACCATCTGTAGCTATGTAGGGAGCCTAGGGAGCCAAATAGATCAAATAGGTCAGATCTCGGCATGCTATGATTGCTATGTCGCCATGTCTGGTCAGGTGAGTGCCAGAAGCTGAGACCTCTGATGGATTCGTTTTTGTTGAGTCAATTGATATCAATTGATGTCAATTGTAATGCCAATCCAACAACCTGTTGATACATGTTGATACCTGTTCTGCGAGCAGCGTCACCAGCGAATTTCCCTGCAAAGGTGCACAGAAGCCACCAGGCGCAGAGAAATTGACTCGTCCTGACCAAAATCTGGGTGAGAAAATAAGTGTTCAGCGAGTTCAGCGTCTTCTTCCTCTTTTGCATTTCCAAGCTCACTCCGGAAGCAAGACATGGCGACTTCACTTTTTCAGACTTGTTCTTTGTTTTTGCTCTTCTTGGTCCCAGTTTAAGAACTACCCCATATAAGAGCGAAAGGTGCAGGAGGTGAACAAGTTGACCATTCACCAAGTCCATCCAAGTCCATCCAAGTCCTGTATCTCTCCAGCGGGCCAAATGTTTCATTTCCTCCGGCAGACGCCCTCCAGTGGCGTCTCTCAATGCGGTGGAGCTCAAGAGTCGCAGCATTTGGGCGCCGCCCCAAGGCACGCAACGCAGGGAATCTCCGCCAGGTCGAGTCGGTCGGAGCAGCTGCTGATTGGCATGGGCCAAGGAGCCAAGGCAACCCTCCTGACCGGTGAGAGAGGCGAGAGGAGGGTAACCAGGAGGGTAACCAGGTAAGGCATAAGACGCATCGTAAGACCATGAGCCAAATTGGATAAAATTGGATCAAATTGGGCAGAATAGTGCAGAATTGTGTTCATTTGTCTGCATTTCATTTCGAAGCGTGGCTTATCCTGACATGTTATACTTTCTGACATCATCTGAAATCTCTATTGGTCGTCAAATTCTGTCGCCAAGTTCCTCAAGGCCCTTTGTCAGACTTTGTTGGGTCCTGCAGTAGCAGCACACCGAAAGTCTCAGACACGATGACCTCAGCCTTTTCCTCTTCCGAGAAGCTCAACTTGGTGCTGTAACCCTCTTTGGCCTCGATCGACTCCTCGGGGAAGTCAGCTTCACATTTCACCCTGATCTTGTGGGCACTCCGTGACATACTATGATAGGTGCTTTCTCAAATTCATCATTCTACAATGTTCTACAATGTTCTACAATGTTCTACAATGTTCTACATGTATACTACCAGATTAATCAGATTATGCCGCATTTCTGGCTGTAACTTTTCGGCATCCTCCAGGCCGTTGTGCTGAGCGCTTTCCCGCACCAGCTGCAGCATGTCCGCGCTCTCCTCGATGCTGACGACGGAGGCGCCCCGGTGCGCCGCCATCAACGACAGGAGGCCCGTCCCAGCACCGATGTCCAGGACACGACGGCCACGGACATTGGCCAAAGCGTGCCAGTAGAAGTCGTTGCGGTGCTGATCTCGGAGCATTGCAAAGTAATCCTCCAAAAATCTTCGAAAACTTGAATAAATTCAATAAAGCTTTTGGAGGACTGGTTTGGGATGTGTTGGGATACATGCACAATCTGAAGCTATTCACCTCTCATCTCCTTCCAAAATCATCGCTTGGAAGAACAGAGTCAGTCATTCGTGTCAGTTACTTGATGTAGAGAAATCTGATGGATGTGCTTACTCCATTTTACCCTAGATTTCATTCTCTAGATTCAATGAATTCAATCATCATTCAACCATCATTCAGCCATCAATGATCTGCACATCCCAAGTCGGACCTCATTGACCTTCTGCACCAGACTTCGCTTCATTCCCCGCAGCCGCTTTGGACAAAGCTTGGGATCTGGAAGCAACTGCTGCATCTCCACCGCCTCCTTATCGGAGGCATCGGAATCCAACTCCAATGGCCGTTTCTGCGCCATGGGCACCCAAAGGGCACTCCAAAGGGGGATAAAAAAAGATAACAAAAAAAGTAAGTAATACAAAAGTATCAAAAATCTGATAAATCGGGAAGTTCTGGCAGAAATCGGCAAATATCAGCAACAAAAACATGTAAAAATGGGCCCAGGACTCGAACTGGGTGATCTCCGTTGGATGCTGCAAAACAAAGTGAGCTGCAACTCCAGTGAAGGATACAGTTTGAGGTGCCGGTTCCGTGCCGGTTCCAACGGTTCCAACTTTCAATGGTTTGATATGGTTTGTATGTTTGATCTTGTTTTCTTTAGAGCGTTGCCGGATGCACGATTCCAGCTGAAGCCGAAAATACACGTTGCAGTTTGCTGAACTTTTTCAATGTGGAGATGGTGACCTGATGTGGCCGATCTATACCGGTCTGTCAAGAGATGAAGAAATTTCTTGAAATGCCCAGGTTTCAAGAGGTTTCCTACCTGGATCTCCAAAGGTCGGATTTTTTAGCATCTTTTTCCGGCGCGTGGTCCTGGACCATGGGGTCCTGGACGTGTCGGAGCGGTCGGTTCCTACTCCGAAGAGGACGACGAGTCGGAGCTGTCAGAGCTGTCCGAGTCGTCGGAGTCGGAGTCCGAGTCGGAGCTGTCCGACGAGTCCGACGACGAGGACGACGAGGACTCCTCCTGAGTTGGCAACGGTGCAGTATGGTGCAGTATGGTGCAGTTGAAGCTTTGGCCTCTGAAACCACCCAGCCATACCCCAGATCTGGCCTCCACCGCCCTCTCTTCTGCAGCCTCCACACAGCGAATTCAGGATGTGCAGAACTTGAACCAGTCATACTCTTTTGGACTAATTCTATATCTCATTAAGATTCATTAAGTGGATATATATGTGTAGAATTTTTGAACCATGACTTGACAATTGGGAATTGGCTACAACGAAAAGAAAACGACACGAATCTCAGGGAAGCGCCCTCTGAGCATCTTCTGCAGCTTGTGCATTCGCTTGCTCTAGGAAGGTGCGGAGGTCCTGTAACCATCCGATGCTCATGGGTTTTTCAATATCTGATTGATATGATCATATGATCATCCTGATTTGGATATGATGATTTCGAGTGTTTCAGTGTTTCAATATGTTTTTGATGCCATGTTCTGCGGTTTGTGATGTTCAACAACCGCTCCTCTGTGAGAACTCCAAGACCGATGGCCGTGAAGTAGTTGATGGCGAAGCGCACATTCTTTGGATGGTCCTGTGGGCAGATCGTCTCACAGCTGGCGTTTCCAGAAAGGCCGTTCTGCAGACCTTGGGGAAAAGTCCAACAAAGAAAGGCTTCAGCTCATCTTCACGCAAGCGATCCACCAGCTTCTTGACCCCCCACCTGAGGGCGTTGTCATGCGTGGTCCAAGGCTTTCAAAGCAGTTTCTTTGTGTTCAAAATTTATAATGCCCATAGGTCTGAACACTGCACAAATCACTGTGTCAGTATGGCAAAATAAAAACTGAAAGGTCATCGAGGAATCTCCATATCTTTATTTTCCTCTCAGCACTATTTCAAAGCTAGAGATGTCCAACGATGTCCAACGTTTTTTTCTGTCGGAAAGCTCTCTGATCCTCTGTCTGAAAACGTCCGACTCGGTTGCGGACTGTTCTGAGAGCTCCTGAAAGATCACCTGGGTCATGTGTCACGTCACCACGGAACCCTCTGCAGTCGTCAACAAGTCCCAACCCGACCACGCTGTCCACGCCTTGATGAAGATACGTGAACTCGACGTCGTTGTCTCTTCACTAATCTTCACCTGGCAGGGCAGTGGGAACCAGTGGGAACCAGTGGGAACCAGTGGGAACCAGTGGGAACCAGTGGGAACCAGTGGGAACCAGTGGGAACCAGTGGGAACCAGTGGGAACCAGTGGGAACCAGTGGGACCAGTGTGGGAGCCGGTGGGAGCCGGTGGGAGTGGGAACCAGTGGGAGCCGGTGGGAACCAGTGGGAACCAGTGGGAACCAGTGGGAACCAGTGGGAGTGGGAGCCACCGGTGGGAACCAGTGGGAAACCAGTGGGAACCGGTGGGAACCAGTGGGAACCAGTGGGAACCAGTGGGAACCAGTGGGAACCAGTGGGAACCAGTGGGAGCCGGTGGGAACCAGCCGGTGGGAGCCGGTGGGAGCCGGTGGGAGCCGGTGGGACCAGTGGGAGCCGGTGGGAACCAACCAGTGGGAACCAGTGGGTGGGAACCAGTGGGAGTGGGAACCAGTGGGAACCAGTGGGAAGCCGGTGGGAGCCGGTGGGAGCCATTGGGAGCCGGTGGGAACCAGTGGGAACCAGTGGGAGCCGGTGGGAACCAGTGGGAACCGGTGGGAACCAGTGGGAACCAGTGAAAACCAGTGGGATCCAGTGGGAACCAGTGGGAACCAGTGGGAGCCGGTGGGAGCCGGTGGGAGCCGGTGGGAGCCGGTGGGAACCAGTGGGAACCGGTGGGAACCGGTGGGGAACCAGTGGGAACCAGTGCGAACCAGTGGGAACCAGTGGGAACCAGTGGGAACAATAACGGTCTGCCCTTGGTGCGGAAGCGTCAACCACTCCCTGTGACTCTGAAATTTCTGAATGTGGCCTGCGCCCAAATGCTCCATGGGATGGCATCCTGCAATGACATGTGGACATGTTTTGACATGTTTTCACTGCATGTTGGCTCTAGATATGAAGCACTCATGCCGTTTGATGGGGAATGGCTGGGGAAATGCTAAGTGCTCAAAAAGTCCAACAGATCCAACAGCACGATACCCACTTAAGAAACAAATCTTTGTCCGGACTCAACGTCGTTTTGTGTTTCACCCAGCAACTTCAGTATCTTCAGTCCGTGTAGAGAAGATGAGCGAAGAACTTCCCGATGTTCCTGAGCTTGTTCGTCTCTAACCTGCAACGCGTCAACTGAACATCTGCGAAAACTAGTGGAACATTGAGGTGTCGTGACTGCAATGGAGCAACTTTAGGCATTAGACATGTGTTTCAAATATGTGTGGCCAGAGAGTGCATTCTTGAACAATTGACCCAAAACGAAACCTTTTCAGTCCGTGCGAATGTCCACATTGCATGGGGATTGCCATGAATCATCTTGTAATATGCTCTTGCAATGTGGTTGGCAAACAAGCTGTGCACAATGACATAACAGGAGAGATAGGCATTTCATGGCATTTCACAATACTTCAACCTGTGTTCCAACGCTCACCATCAAGTAGATTCTACCGCCGCCTGTGCACAGTGTTGAATTGAACTCCGAAACTCTCGGTGAAGTTGTCCTTTCACCAGCTCTTGGTGCTGACAATTTGATGCGGTGAACGTTACACTTGGCTCGACTCCTGGTATACAGGATTCAGGCGACAAAGTCGCTCTGCCTGGTAGTGAAGGCACTGAAATGGGCATGTCACCATCAGCTCTGATGCTCCAAGGCGAAAAAGGTGACTTGAAGAAAAGGAGCTCAATTGCTTTGCAATCTCTCCAATCTCTATTGCTTTGCCGTCCATGCCTGCAGTACGAAGAACCTGCGCATAACAATGAGGACTCAAAGAATGCAAAAGGTCGGCAAGAAACCGAATAGAGATGAATAGTGTTGTAATGAGTGGATCAATCTGAAACCATCTGCAAGAGTCTGTGAAATTATCGAAAGCCCCACCATCAAAACTGCACGGCCTATTGAACATCTTCTCCATTGCACAACAGTCAATGAGCATGGTACACACCTGGCAAGTTTGCAGGTTCCTTTTTGGAAATGATCATCTGTTCTTGATCAGAGAAGATTTAGGCAAAGTCGCAAAGTCGCAAAATCAATACGTACTACATTTTTGAATTTAATTGTTTGAATTTAATTAATATTGTTTGTTATCCCATAGTTGGCGGATAAACACCCATGACTCGAAGACTAACAAGACAAGCTGGAAAACTCATGTCAAGGCTACAATCATCGTGTTTTGAGCAGAAATATCAGAAATAAACAAAAACAATCACAATAAAACACGATAAACATCGATACCAATGATACAATGATACCATCAATAAACAAAAACGATCACACGAATCACCCGAAATTTGGCCTCTTTCTCCTGACCCTCGGCAATGTTGAGCTTCAGGATTTTGTGAACACACTCCTGGAGTCCATCTGTGACTCCATGGACGAAGACAAAACGACACCGTCCGACACCACTAAGCGGACTAAGCGCAAAACATATCAAAAAACGGGTTTTTCAGGAATGAAGCTGCGTGGATGAAGGGTGGAGTTCGCAAAACTAGAAGAAACCGACACGTTCATCACTTTTTATTCTTTTTGCCGGCCTCGTAATGTACGGAGGACATGATGACGAGGTAGATCTGCCTTTCCGGTTCTGAATGTAAACGATATGGACATGTCGCTGGGTACCACGACGTGCCTCCTCAAGTTCACCAGGTCCTGCTCAGTGAAATCCAAGATCTTCTCCTGGACAGGTCAGGTGGTACAAATACTGCCGTGATATATCACAATGTACGTATATTATTGGTATATTGTGGATATTTGTGGATATTTGTGGATATTTGTGATGGTATCTTATAAGATATATTATATCAACAAACATCCAAATGCACGACTGGAAGGCTCCGGTTCAATCATCTGGTAAGAAGATCCCAAATCATCTATCATCATTCATTCATCATCATTAATCCTACCAGGTCCTACCAGGTCCTACCAAGCCCCAGCCCCGTGTCTCCGGTGTCTCCGGTGTCTCCTGAGCTCGACGGTCCGCTGCAGCATCAGCTTCCTCATCCGAGTCCTCGCTGCTGTCGCTGCCATCATCCTGCTCCAAACCCAAGATCTCACTGGAGATCAGCTTCCACTTGGCCTCAGAAAAAAGACTTCAATCAGGTGTCTCAGGAAGTTGACATGGAAGACAAGGTGTAGAGATGTGTAGAGATGTGTAGAGATGTGTAGAGTGCAAAGGATGCTCTGTCCAATGATTATCCACTATGGTCCACTATCTCAATCTATCCGAATCTATCCCATACTAATCTGGCCACTATCCCGGTCGGATCCCCATGTGCCTCCTCGGCCGCATAGTTCTCTGGCGCAATTGCCTGGCCGTGCACGGCCAAGATAAGGAACTCGTAACCGTCGTAATCAACGAGACATCAACGAGACATCAACGAGACATCAACATTCCGTATATCAAAGATTATCAAAAAGATTATCAAAGTATCAGGAATCCAATAACCATCTGCTGCTGTCGTTGCTGTTCATCAAATATAATCTAACCAGTTGTTCCATATTTTTCCTTTGCCATCAGATCCCAACAAATGATGAAATTCTGTCGAAAATCACATGCATGTCTTGGTTAGTACCGACTGCCTTGAAGATGTTGAGAGTCTCCTCTCCTTTGATGGTATCATCAAGCAAATCCACCTGCTCAAATCAGCAATTGAAATGTCATGAGTCAACTTGTTCCAATCAACTCTTCCAAAAAGGAAGTTGGTGGAAATCTGTACATGTGATATTACGCATATTTATAGTTCCATGTATCTATATATGAAAACGGTGAAGTGGTCCTGTTTTACTACTTTCTGCTACTTTCCTTTGCCTCATGTGTGATCTGCTCCTCATCTTCCACAAGGTCCAACTCATCCATGACCTCAGCTTAGCTGATCGCTGCGACATGTCCAAAGAACATATAATGAATACCATCGAGATATTTACCATATATAATATAATTATATAATATTACATAATATAATATAGATATACATACCATAGTAACATGTTGATGTTTGAATACGTTTCAATATGTTTCACATTTTTTCACCATATATCATAGTAAGCGTAGAGCCAAAGATCAAGTAAAGAAATACCATGAAATACACAGCTGAACGTTAACAGCAGCTAAAGACTCTTCATCCAAGCTGCCATGGGGTGGTCGCTAAACTTCTTCCTTCGCGTCTCGAAGAGCCCTTCGATAACGTATTGGACTCGCCTGAAACGAACATCGAAGAGCCCAAGCATCCAAAACCCTCCAAAAATGGGAAGAATGTGAAGCATTTTATGAAGCATTTTATGAAGCATATCTCTATTGTGATCCATTTCCTCTTCAAAATGTGAGTCAATGGTTGCTTCGTTACAGAGAAACCACTAAGACTTGTCGGGACTTTCTAGGTCGCCAACTTGTCGATCTCGCCCTCGTGCAAGATGGTGCGAAACCTTGTCATCCGTCGGAATCCGGATGACCATTGCACTGCAAATTCACAAATTCACCACTTTTCGAAGCACGACTGTTAGAGCCCTGGCCGTTCGAAGATGGCTTGGCAGCCAGCTTTGGACAGGTCCTCTAGGGCCTGTCCCACTTCCTGCGACATTTCGACATGTTCATCCAAAATCCTACAAAAATCTTCAGGTTTTTTCTTTTTTTTTCCGGATACTGTTATTTCTGAGATGCTACTTCTGAGAAGGTTGTCATGTCACGTCTCTGAAGCAACCGGTTGCGAGTCCTGTAGGAAGCTAACGCAAACCTCGATCGAGTCCTGGCAAGGCGAAGCAGGCGAAGTGTCAGGAAACCAGGATTTGTTTTTGGGCAAAACTGCGATGATCCAAACATATCTTGATCATCATGATCATGTTTGAATCATGACAATTGTGACGATATGAGATGATAAATGACAACAAGTACGACTCACATTCAAACGCCAACATAGATAACATAGATAACATAGATAACATAGATAACATAGTTACTTAATGATTAAACATATTAATTATATTCAACATCTCTGGTAGAAATTGGAGATGTCAAATGCCCGGAATGAAATGTGGCGACTCAGAAACGGTGTCGGACCTCGGTGACACGCTCCAAGAGCAGGGTCGCCACATGCAAGGCCAGCAGCTCGGATACAATCTGCAACGAGAGTCATGGAAAAAACGAATGGAAAAAACGATGGAAAAAACGATGGAAAAACAAATGGAAAACATGCCTCACGATGACTTCAAGATGATCCAAGAAGTCCAAAATATTCCAAAATCATCAATGTGACAATGTGTTTTAATTCTGCATCATCTTGCCCAGCTCGCCGCCTTCTGATTCACCAAGTGCGCCATGAATTTGATCGCCGCAGTCGTGACGATCTTGTCATTCCTCACAGCCCGGAATTGTAAAAAGCACTGAAATTCACAGGTGAATCTGTGTCTCAAGTCAACAGAGTCACCAAACATATCATCATCATCTGTGTTTTCATCATTTTTCATCATCAACATGGATGGTCCAAGCACCTTAACCATCCAAAAAACCACCGCCACCTGGCACCGGCCTCTTGTAGGCTCTGCGGAACTGCAAAATCACGCGCCGGATCAGCAAGTCGCCCACCTCGGGCCTTGGGCGAGATCAGTGCACTCAGTGGACGACACTGTCGTGTGTGAATCAGGGAAAATTCCACAATAATACTGATGGAACGATATGAAAATATATGAAAATAGATGAAAAATAATATGAAGTATACCAGAGTTATCCAGAGTTACTACAGACTGCGGAGAAACAGTAGAAACTCAGAAGCTTCTCTGTACATTATTGCCAGTGTGTAGATCGGTGCGCGCCATCCGTTCTACTGCAAAGTCCTGAGACCACACACAGCTTCGAGTTGATGACCGCCAGCAGCGCTGCAAAAACCTGCACCGGTCACATCTGTTTAAGGAGGTGACACGGCACAGAGAATCTGATATAGCAATTTGATGTAATTTCTATATGGGCCCCAAAAGGACAGAAGAGTATTTCCAGCATGATAGCATGATATTATATGTAGATGATCCTTTCCCCATAAATTCATAGAAATTCCAGGTTTCCAACTTTCCTGTCTCTTTTGGGGAGTTGCAAATATTCCAATGCTGTGAAGAGACGTGGGTAAAGCCAGGTGAAGCCATCTGCGCACGGATCAATGCACCTAAAATCCAGGGACTCAATGGCCAACGACCAGAATCAATGATGAAATCTGTTGGATTTAGAAAATCTCTGAAAATCTCTATATTACATACTACATATTACTACATCCTAAAGGTATCTAAACCTTAGGGCGTTTGAGGTCGCTGCTTAAAGTGATTTGTACAAATTAAATATCAACAAGAGATATGAGTCCGAAAATGTGGTATACCCAAAATACCCAAAATAGCAATCTGTTGCTATTTGAAGAGGACCTGAAAAATGGGAAAGTGATATCTGATACCATGTGATACCCATAGGATTTTTTATGGGTTCTCCATTTTCAAACGAAAAGCCAGAAGAAATCCCCACCGAGCTCCCAACGCACCAGGAGACCACGACCTCGCACCAAATTCTCTTGGAAGAGCTCCTGTGACACATCAGCTGAAACAAACTCAACGGATATGGATTAATCATGATTAACCAATATGAATCATGTGCCTATAACGATTCGTAAGCTATTCTATGACAGGATCAAGGGACTAGACAGGTGCTCTGCGCAAGCGGAAAAAATGGGAAGCGCCAGCGCTGATCTGCTGTCCTCCACGATGTTTTTGATGTTTCCCACCTTGGCAGATCACATTTGTTCAGAGTTTGCGAAGCTTTTTGAAGCTTTTTGAAGCTTTTTGAAGCTTCAGAAACACAGTGAAGCCAAGGAGCGTTAACTTTGTTCACCAAACCGTTGATACTCTTTCTGAGCGCCTGCGGTTCTCTGGGACCAAGAGGTCCCCATCATGAAAGGAAAAGAAAAAAGTTCGTAGGAATGGTTTCAGCCAGTGTTCAGCCTGTTTTCAGCCAGTTTCAGCAGAGCATTTAAAAAATTGAAAAATTCTCTGTCAACCCGGCCTCCCAAGTTTGTCGTTGGTATTCTGCGCTGGTCTTATCTTCGATCTCCTTCTGCATACGTGCCAGCCTAGGACAGCTTTAGCACTGTTGAGAAACTCGGAAAAACGCTATGGCGGCTTTTCTCTATGATATGAAGAAAACTTATTATTCATGACTTTGACATTATTCTATATCGAATGGACTACCGATGTGAAAGCCAAGGCACTTGAAGGGAGGGACATATACCTGAGCAAGGTTCAGCAAGCTAGCTAGACGAAAATTACTGTTGCACTGTGCCCCTCCCAACCGTCTAAAAGAAAGCATCAAATTCTCATCTTGGAGCGCTTCAGAATGGTTGCTCAATATGCATCAATATGCTATCTATATCTATTTATGCTATTGACAGTATCGATATTGATTCAGTCATGATTATACATGCGTCCACCAGCACTCTGAAAAGCTTTAGCTCAGTTGCACCACCGCTTCGGCCCAGATTTTCGAGGTCCGCAATCTTCCGTTTCCTTGGCGGTGGATCCGTGGATATTTTGAACATCTTACGGTTCGCTGTGAAGTGTCGTTAACAAACGTGACACCAACACTCACTTGAACACCACCCCACCTGCCTATTCAAAATCCTGTTGCTGTATGGCATCTTTTCGAGTTCACAGTGCGGACTTGAGGCCACAGTGTACGAAAGCGGGCACAGAGCATTGGAAGAGCTGTGAAGTTCGAAGGTTTGGAAAATTTGGACACGTACGAGTAGCTGCGTAGCTGTTAAATCAGGTCACGACCCAGCCATGTGAGGTAACGCTAAGGTGTGACAAGTATGTGCAACAAAAGGGGACAATACTGGACAGCACTGGACAGAAGAATGCGCAATCATTTGGGAACAGTAGTCCGCATTGGGGTGTCAAACATGTTGCTGGCAGATTGTAGCTGCACACCAGGTGCTGCGAAGCACCGTGACACTCCATTGTTCTATGTGTTTGGTCTGCAACCGGAGGCTAAGTATCAATGCAAAGGGCTGATGTGCATGGGAAACTGCATGTGTTATCAGTGTTATCTACAAGCATTGCTGCAAGACTGGCTGAAACGGATGGAAATGGCTCCCTGGCGCTACAGGTGGATCTATTTTTGCCTGCCACATCTGCCACGTATTGATTTCATGTTCAACAACAGGAGGCCACAAAAGACTTGACGCATGTGGGAGAGTCGCCTGCCTTGTTCAACAATGTTTGCTACTGTGAGTTGAAAACGCCGTGATTCTGTTGCCATGTTCGGAGAAAAATACATCTGCCATGTTTTGGAGGGATATAATATAGCGGTGAAAGTTTCCAGCTAGCAGAAACAAGCTTTATCAAGCTTTCATACTAAAGTTCAACTGAACCTCGTGTACTGTTCGATACCTCTCCAGTGTGATCCAAGGATATCCAGTGTCCAAGGGGCTTGTAACTTTCGATATCTTCCTCCTTCACCTCAAAGGATGAATCGATCAATTGATCATGATCTGACGATCTGTGTCTTTGTTCAACGTGGGCGGCATGAGACATCATGAGACATCATGAGACATGTGGTCCCTGACGCGTTTCGCAGCGATGAAAATATCTATCCGATAAGAAAACTGACTCCATCCGAGATCATCCGAGTGGCATTTTCCTTTTCAGCCTGGAGTTCGCAGGTTGTGGCAGTTTGCAGAGCTTTCTTACCTTTCAACTTTGTAGACCTCTTTACGTTGCATGTTACATGTTCAGACTCCTGGAAAGCCCTTTAACAAAATAATATATATATATATTAAATTCAGTGTCCTGCATCTGACAGCGGGCTGAAAGCATCAACTCTGAGGTATGAAATTGTCAGTCTTGGACCAGTAAGATTCAGATGGTTATGGCATGAACCCAGCCCCCAATATGTGGACTTGTTAGCCTGAAGTAGCTTGTGCATTGCCACCGGCTCTGAACAGAACAACATTGACATGGCCAAAGGATGCAGCAATCTTCGTGATAAATTGTGGTAATGTCTTGGCTACCTCGCTTTGACCCAAAAACATTTGAAAATAATGAAAACTAATATATAATAATTATACGGAACGCCTTCAGATCCTTCACTATCCTGTCCAAGGTAGGTCAAGAATCTTGAGCTATGCCCATCCCAAAAAGAAGCATGCCATCTCATGCCAAGTCATGCTATGTCAATGTGTTCTGTTTATGTTCTAAGTGCCTCGTCCTTTTTCTCCTTCTTGTCTTTTTTGCTGCCCGACGGCATGGCGACTTTCTGCAAGGGGGAACTGTGTTCTGTCAATATTTTGTATATTTTGTTGGCTGATGAGTGTTACTATGCGAGACTCCGGTCTTTGCGAGCTGCAGAGTTTCAAGGAGTTGGTTGAAGTTCTATTTCAGCTTGGACAAACCTGAGTTGGATTCGCATGTGGTTAAGTGCATGATTGGCCAGTGCACTGTAGTATCTGTAGTCTGCAAACGTCGATGCTGTAGTATGATCATGAACACCATTCACTGCCTGAGGCATCGGGTTCAGAGGGGAATATGACAAGTGACAAGTAGAGGCAAGCTGGACAGAGATCCAAGTTCCGCAAGAGAGAATCTCAAACGTTTGGAGCAGTCCTTGGTGCGACAGGAATTGTTACATTGAATTGTAGAAACTCTCTTGCATCAAAAACTTTCAAAATGCATAATAGTTATTATACGCATATTATATCATATTATTATATGTTATTGTCATTTTCAACCGCCTGGCTCGATTGGTGGCTTCCTACTGAGATTCTGCCTTTGGCAAATCGACTAAAAGGTGAAACTTGAGGGACTCGGAGTCTCGGAGGGGCTCCATTTTCATCCCTTTAAAACATGGCCTGGGAGGGCCGAGGGCCTGAGTCCGACTCCAGGTTTTTTTTGAAAAATGATGCACTTTGGCAATGTCAGGCTGACATGATCTGACATGATCTGACATGGCGGCTCATGGCAGCTCATGTCTTAGCCACGCTTCGCACTGTGGCATGCTGTGGCTTACCACGGCTCGGCCTCCAAAAGGCACTTCCTGTCAAGAACAAACCCAACTGCATCGCAACAGGAACGCTAGAGGATTTCTGACATGGCATGACACATGGCGTTCCAGTGGCACTCGACATGAGCAAAAAGGGTGGATCTAAGCAGAAAACTCGACATTCCAAAGGGAACCAACTGGAACCTGGAACCAAAGGATACCAACAGGGAATGCCAAGCAATTGCTTGACTTGCCCCAGCCGAACTCGTCCGGTCCTTTGGGGACCTCCAAGCTTCTGCCGTCGCCTCAAACGTGCCTCAGCCAACTTGAGAGTTTAAGCCTTGCTTTGAGGCTTGGAGGCTGTTTTTCAGATGTCTTCATCTAGAATCTACTGATCAATATCGATCAATATTGGTCAATATTGGTCAATATTGGTCAAATGCTTCACAGAGATTCGATATATTCAGTTGCTTTTGCATAGCCCAGATCTTTCCAGTCCGCTTCGGAAGGTCCTACCGGATCCCCACTGAATATCACTGGGCACCAGCGACGTCCAGCATTTTGTTGTGCCGTCGCAATGTCGAAGGGCTGGAATCGATTTTCTGGCAGCCAGCTGGTTTTCCATGTTCAACTTTGAATCAAGTTCACAAATGCAACACGCTTTGTCACAAATGAGGTGCCCACAACATCCCGTAACATCCCACAACATACCAGTAACATGTGCCATCCAAGGAGTTCCAGTTATCCACCAGGTTCCAAGTCCGAGTCACCGAGGAGTCCACCACATCCCCAAAGGTCTCAAAGGGCAACAGCGGCCGATCTTGGAGATGAAATGGGCGCCTCAGCCATCCAGCAGAATGTTACTTGAATGCTAACCACGCTTTTAAAAATGTACTTCATTGACACAGTTGCTATGAACATTATGACATCATTATGAACATTGTGAACTTTCCAGCCACTTCGGATTTGGATCTGCAAAATGCCGGGCGAACAAATCGACGGAATGACTTGAGCAACGAGTGGCCTGTAGCGCGCCGGCGGTGACCAGTAGTCGTGCCACGCCACAATTTCCCCACTCAGCAAATCTCTCATGGAGCCACCAGGGCTGTGCCGCTGCGGTAGCGTCATGGGGGATCCACCCTCGGTGGACAGGGACTTGGGGAAGAGTTTGCACGGCGGTGCCGATGCCGGCGGATTGTAGTGTGCCTGCCGATTTTCAAAGATCTGAAAAAACATCTGCCAACATCTGTCCACAAACCAAAGTGTGGAGGAAACGCTGTAAATTCAGAGAGATACTTGGATATTATATATGATTATATGTACAGGTATGTAGACACAATGTATATATAAAATATATATGTATATATATAATATATTAAAATATAACATACCATAATGCATTGATCCAATATTGATCCATCCATATGATGCCAACAAATCCAGAGTTGTTTGATTTTTGTTGATGTTTGTTTGATGTTTGTTTGATGTTTGTTGTTCATCAGATTTCATCAGCCTCCAAATGCCTTTTGAAGGTGGATCCATAGTGTGCCTCCCAAAAGCGTTTCAGCTCTGGCATGGACTGTTGCCTGGAGAAATATTCTCTGAGCCCTGCTGGACGAGAGTCGTTGACATGGCCAGGATTCACGCCACAGTTGAAGCGTTGATTCCACCGGGGTCGTGTTTGGGTCAGTTCGATGCCGAGACCACCGAGACTACCAGAACTGGTGGGACTGGTTGGAATGGTCGCCTTTGGTGCCGCACTGTGTGCTTGGCACTCAGGCGCCTGTTGACGGATCACGGGATTCTCAGAGCTTTGGAGCCATCGGATATAGCTCCGTTGATCGGCAAACTCACCAGCTGCACCTGGTGATGTCAGAGGATTGGGCTGCACTAGTCGATCCCATTCCTTCTCAAAATCCTCCAAGGTTGGCAGATGTCCCAACAAAAATGCGTATAGTTCTCGGAACTCATTGCGGCTCACGAAGTGATTCTCATCCAAATCGAAGAGGGCGAAGGCCAAATTTGCGCTATACCGCGCCATGCGAGGCTCGCGGAGGCAGCGCATGAGACTTCGGAACTCTTTGAAGGATAACTTCGCATCCTGAACACTTCAAGATACTTCAAGCAACAGCAGAAAGCGAAAAGATGCGAAAGCATATGATGAAAGAATAAAGATGATGTTAAAATGTGTTATAATGTGATACAATGTGTTAAACGCTTCACAATCTTCACTTAAAGTTTCTTTTTTGGGGGCTGAGTTCGCAGAACTGAACAACAGAACTGAACAACAACAATACAACAGCCCCATCCTTGTTGACATCAGCCTTCCGTAGACACATCTCGATGGCACCGTCCACGTTCACTTGGGTCCTGGCTTAGCTTCAACGCTTCAACGCTTCGTCCGATGTCCAAAGCTCTTTTGGTGTGAAAAAGTGAAACATCAACGAATGGAAAACAAACAAAAGGAGGGAAAAACGGATTGAAACAAATTTGTTTTACCATTATATGTTTTAATATGTTTTAATAATGGTATAATATTGAAACCACTACAATGGTCTTAAAAACATATTGAAACCACTATAATGGTATATAAATAATGGTATAAACCATTGATGTTTCGTATCCAAGTTGTACGTGCTTCACGGCAGCCTGGAATAGGCGGCACCACCGGTACTGAGTCCACTTTGAGGTGCCACGGCTGCCCGGATGATGTTGTGAAATTCCTGCTCCAACGGGATAGCAATTCGTTAATGGGGGATATCTCAATGATACTGATTTATGAATGGGATGATATGGGATGTAATATGATGTAATTATTTAGGATGTACTAATGTGTCAATATTGTGTCAATATTGTGTCAATATTGTGTCAATATTGTGTCAATATTGTGTCAATATTGTGTCAATATTGTATCAATATTGTGTCAATATATGTCAATGTACCACCCAAAACAATGTGAAAGAATCTGACTCATTTCATGACTTTTCAACTTTTCTTCTGGCCTCACAGTCCAATTCTTTTCGCGTCAAGTAGCCGTTCCGATCTCGATCCATACCTGGCTCGACGTTTCGGTGATGACCAATAGGGCCACTTGAACATCCAAAGCTTGGGTGAGTCAGTTCTGTCTGCGTTGAATCTGGGCACGGCTCCATAGACGTGCCACCCATGCATCTGTCCCCTGCGAGTCAAAGTGTGTGACCCTTGCGAGCACTTCATTAGTTTGAAGATGTTTGAATCTCAAGGGTTTCACATTCACATCCGTCAATTCTGCAAATCCATCTAAATCTACTCAATTCTACTCAGCACAAACTATTGAAGCTTTGCGAATTCCTGCTCCCACGTTCGAACAAGATTTCAAAGACAACCTTCTCAATCTTCTCATTCAGAAGATATACGTATAGAATCTGCAAAGATATCAGAAGATCAAGATGATCAAGACATGTTTCGAGATGTTTCGACATGTTTGTGGCACCTCAGAAGGTTTGGCCAAACTCCAGGCGCGTTTTTTGGAGTTCACCAGGCCCTTTTCCACGTGCGTCCAGTCGTCCAAGGGCTCCATGAGTGATTCGAGGGATCTGTGGAGCTAAAACATCGAATTGTAAATTCAGTGACTTTTGGAGCCATCGAATTTGGGCCCATAGTTGGATCATGTTGGACCCACAGTTGGATCATGTTGGATCATGTTCCACGATGTTCGCACTGAGTAGTTTTTTGAAGCTTCGAATCTTGAAACGCAATGTTGGTTCGTAAAAATCAAAGATATCAAAGTCCGAACGCGCCTAAAAACTGGAGCCCAGAAGCACAGCAGCTGTGACTTTTGAGTGAAAAACTGAACCCAAACAAGGAAGAAATGGAAGAAACTTGTTGGTTCCAAATGGTCCCCACAAGCCAGGCACAAAACCCAGAAAAAATTGCCGTTGGACCAAATTGTTCAAGTTGAATTTGAGAATAGTTATATATTGATGATATATTGATGATATATTGATGATATATGATGATATGGATGTGACCTGCTTGAAACCTTTCAAATACAGAATTCAAATAGAGCATCACGGCATCACGTCGCACGCCATTTCGCTGTTTTACCAAAGGCACCGGTCAGCAGCCCCTGGCTGAGCATCTGCAGCTCATCAAGCAGGTCCTCCGAAATGGTGGGAACGTTGGGAAAGGATCGATTTTCAGCCCTGGAACTGATCCAATATGCAGATTGCAGATTTGGCGCCTTAGATTCCTTCTGATTCCTTCTGATTCTTAGGAATCATGGATCATGTATAACGGCAACTGAAGCTGTTCAACTGATGTTATTTCTAAGCTAGGATCCAAAATCCAAACAGTCAATGGAAGTCATCTCATGTGAGGCTGGGCCCAGCTCCTGCGAAGCAATACCTGGGGCCGACTCCGACAACGCGGGAAAAAGAAAAAGAACGCGGCGTTTGCCTCGAGAAATACATAGAAATGCTGGAAGGATCTGGAAGGAATGACAAATTATGACAAATTCATCAGATCAACTATTGCGAGATGGGAATGGTACCAAGACAAGAACATGACAAGAACTTCTCCCTTTGTCGCAGAGTTCATCCACGAAACACTGTTGCGGAACTTGTCCTCCAGTGTCTCCTAAAATGCCTAAATCAGAGAGCTCACTTTGGAGCTGCTGAGATCTGTTCAATCTCTTCAAATCTCTTCAAATTCTGTTCGAACTGTGTTTCTTTTGTTTCTTCTATTTTCTCTTAATTTTGCATATGAATATCTGGATCCCATCGGAATCCCAGGCCACCGGCCACAAAAACTCCTTCCCCGCGATCCGCCGACATCAGCAGATTTTGGGTCACCACCGTGGGAAGTTGCCACGTTTTGGGCGGCAACGGTCCCGGTCGTGGCGACTTCACGGTGGTGCGATGCAAAATGCGCAGGCCTTGTTTCGACTGATCCAGATGGGCTTCAGGGGAAGCTCGATGGGCAATGGCCCAGTTGTCAATGAAGATACAATCACCTTGTTTATAGGGATAGCTCATACCATAGCGTCCACCATTTTCCACTAAGCCAGCATTCAAAAGCGCGTTGTAACTGCGGAAGACATCCAGAAGTTCGTCGTGTTCCAAGAGACGCAAGTCGTTCAAGTCGTCAGTTTTCTCAAAGATGCCACCGGTCATTCCCAGATGAAGGTAGACAGAGCGTCGACCAGAGATGGGATGATCCTGAACCATCGGATGTAAGACTCCAGAGGTGGCATTAATCGTCACCAATCGAGACCAATATTCCTGTTTCTCCTTGGGCAGTGCATCAAATGCTGCTCCTTGATGTACAAATTGAGTATCACCTCCTTGTTCCGGGACTCGAATGATATGATATCCCACATGTGAGAAGATGCTGCTTTCAAAGGAGCCATCATTATGCCACTGTGGTCCAACTCCAGTGATCCCCACTGAGCTATCGTTGCTAAGGCGAAAGATGTGTCGATTGGGCGCCCTAGGATGAACTCCATGGGTGCTGTGCATCTCTCGTGCGCCCCAAAACTCGCTGCAGTGCACCTGTTCGTCGCCACTCAAAATCCCTTGATCCGTGAAGACCAGGAAACCACGACTTGCCATCTCTGCCTCGAAAATTCATGAAACATCATGAAATCTATGGCTATATAATGCTATATATAGCGGCTATAGTGGCTATATGGAATGGTATCTTTCAAAATTAGGGATGGGGGATGTGATCGGCCCAGAAAATGGGGCAGCTTTTTGTGTATTCTTTTGGGGGTTCAACAATTTCCATACCCACGTTGCATCAAACTGCATCGGCAATAGGTCTCATCTCCTTCTGATTTCAAAGGGCAAAAATTGATATGTAGTGTTGCCACTGACCCCTCAATGATGAAGTGAGTTGAACGAAGGGGTGAAGAACATGTCCAACCTGACCAAAAACTGCCACACAAGACTGGAATATGATGACTAAGACTAAGACTATGGAAATCTTCAAATGCCCATCTAAATCATTCATCATGATTCATGAACTTCAGCAGATTTTGGTTTCAATCTGTTTGAATATGTTTGATGTTTTAATCATCGGTTGCAAGTTGAATTTTTGAAGGTTTTTGGTATTTTTTGGTTCATGTTTGCAACTCATTTCCGTTGACTCCGGGGCCCATCCGGGGCCCATCCGGGGCCTCCAAGGCGCCGAGCACCTCAGGGCTAGGCGGCGCGGCTCGGAGGTCGAGGCCCGAGACGCGTGCGCCCAAGGGATCGATGGCCACCACGTGGATGCCGTGCTGCGCCAAGAAATCCACCGTGGAAGGCGACAAATCAGGCACTGCCATGGCGGATCGGTGGATCGGTGCGGATCTAAGGTGGATCTAAGGTGCACCTAAGGTGGTTCAAGGCAATGAAGGGAATGACTATAGTGACTAGTGGAATGACTAGTGATGACAAAGAACATGTAATGACTTGACTATGATAGAGTCTGCTCTGGATTTGCTTGAGACAAGGATTGTAGAGCAATGGATGTTGATTCATATTGATGATATTTATGGTATTGCCAGTTTCTGTCTGATGCCATAAACTGGGCTGCAAGTCATCCAGGTCGAGACCATGCAACACCTTTACGCATGAAGAATCTCTTGTTCCCGTAGAATTTGAGTGCAATCAAGATACTACCGAGGCCTTCCGCAGCAGTGATTGCAACAGCAAGAACCTCTGACATGGACGACATGGACGACATGGACGACATGGACATTGTCAACGAGAAACACTCTGCCAAAGTAAAAGGGCCCCAGGGGCTTGTGGTATCCAGTCTTCTTACACTATATTTTTGATGCTTAAAATCTGTGTTGCTTGTATTTGTATGCTTTAAAGGCATCGCACCATATCTACCAGCACTCTCCATATTAGCGTCAACCGTACAACACCGCACCCCTTTGCGTGGCACCTCGGGATCTATCAATGCATCTTCCAAACGCACGGCTGTTAACGCCTCAGCACTGAACTTGAGATCTTCCGTGCTTGAGTCATGTTGCAATTATGATTCATCATGTATCATATGAAGAATGATGAAGATGGAACCAAAATCTCGCGGGGAACACTTTGTTCACTTTGTTCCCACGAAAGTCGGGAATGCACACAAAACCAAACAGCACTATGCCACCTACACCATGTCGCACCATGACATCACGTCCATATTAAGACATGTAATGTGGCACATTGCTGATTAATATTGATTAATTGCTGATCTCTAGGGCGGTTGCCCGTTGCCATTGACCTGCTCGTTGGCAGGCATTGGTGATGCCACTGCTGGTGGCCAGTTCACGGGGGATGCCTCCATTCCTGGATCGAATGGATCGAATGGATCGAATGGTCGTGCCATGTGCCATAATCGAACGGTCGTGCCTCATCAGTTCCACCAGCTTCAAAGGCTCCCTCCACAAAGCGATTGTGGCAAAGGAACTCAAAGCGGCATTGGCACCAACCTCAGGATATGGAGAGAGAGCTATAGATGCAGATGTTGGATGTTGGATGTTGGATGATGGTTATCTTTGGTCATTTTTGGTGATACCCTTTCGTTGTACCAAAGTGGTCTCAACTTAGCACGTTGAAACCGCCACAAATGAGGTGTGAGCTGCATCTAGCCGGAGCTGCTTTTCCCTGACCGGCAACTGTTTAACCGCGCTGGCCAAATGGGGAAGTGAACTGCAGATCTCTTGACGAAAAGATATACAATTTCGAATGGCAAAGCTCCACTAACTTTCTTCAAAGTTGCTCATCAGTCAATCTCGGTCAATCTCAGTCACACCTTTCTGGGCCATCCGGGCCTCATAGACGCCAGCAACTCCACCACATCGCTGGAGCGATGGCAGGCGCCCAAAGCCAAGTTGAAACTCACCACATCCGTCTGCCTAGCCACCGGATGCAGTTAAGATAGGTATAGAAATAACATGAAATAACTAGTTAAATATGGTTAAATCTGGTGAAATATGGTTCAGCATAGTGTCGGCAGAACTCGCTGTGAGAACTGGGGCGAAGCACTTCATGCTGTGAAAGACCTGCAAGGTCCGTGTCCACCTCACCAATTTTGGCAAGCGAAAATGCGACACCAAAAAGTCGGAAGCTGCCGCTGTGTCTTGTGAGAACTCTACTTATTCCCCTGTGTTGGAGTATGGAGGCCATGAAAAGAGAATTGAGCAGTCAATGACAGTCAGCTTTGGCTAAAGGATGAACCAAAATAGCTAGACGATCACGTTGGAGCTGGACGATCCTTTGCATCAGCAAACACTTTATAGTGAACTGTGAACTAGTTTTCGGATTTCTGGCCAGCTGAGGTCTCCCTGCTGGTCGCCCCAGTTGTAGATCGTGGCCAACACATTGGCAGATCGAACCTTAGATCTGTGGTCTGTGGAGATTTTCCATAAGTTTCTTATCGATAAAAAACTGTCTTACAACAAATCTGGCCATATAAAAAACTGTTCTGAAAATGTAGAAGGATTTGGTTGAGATGGAAGATCTCAGACACCGCTTTGCAAGATTGGACCGGGGCTCAAACTCTTAAGTCTTGAGCGGCAGGAACTACCTTGGACATGATGCTGGGGTGAAAAAAAACATTAGAAATGGTGAGCTAGAGGATAAAACCAATGACTGGACTTGTTCAAAAAGAATACCAGAGGCCTCAAACTCAGGAAGAAATGGAAGAATGAGAACTGTGAGAACAAAGCGAAATTTCAAAAGCTGAAGCTTGCTGCAGCATGAGATCACTGCAAAGCCAAGCTTGCGTGCAATTGCCTCGCTTTTGTCGTATTTCTCACCACTGGCTTTGGGGTGGTATCCGCCAAATCGGATCAATATGATCAAGCACCAGGGGATCTCAGAGTTCTGCCTGCGGATTGCACCAATTCTGCACAATCTGCACCAGCAGCCCAGTGCGCCCCTTGCGCCCATGGTTGGACACACCAAATCATTCCGACTCACGGGGTCCGATAGGTTCCAGGCAAGCGGCGCTCACCTCACAGCTGATCACATGACATCGACAGGCAGCACCCAGCACCCAGCACCGCCTGGTCGATGGTTTTGGTGGCGTCCACCTCTCTCACATGGCGTTTGGAAAAGAATTGCCGGAGCAGCTTGGAATCCTCAGCGCAATGCCGGCAGCCATGCAGCTGTGCCGCAGGTCACTTCCACGATACAAATGCGGGGGATTTGGTCCACAAACCTAGAGATGAGTGGAGTATTTGGAGCACGGTGGAAAGTCCACTTCAGCGTTCTTGACCCTTTATGACCCTTTGATCCCTTTTGATCTCTTTGCTCATCTCCTTTGCGCTTCCGTCTAAATGTGTCGAGAAACTTTTTGGTAGCGCTCGACTTGCGCTTTGAACTTGGATTCCTGGCGAGAACATAGTGGAAGGATTTAACGTATTTAACAAATTGTCTATTGGCATTGTTCATTGATGTCCATTGATGTCCATTGATGTCCATTGATGTCCATTGATGTCCATTGATGTCCATTGATGTCCATTGGCATTCCATTTGTGTGACTTTTTTGCCTGTGATCACCGACGTCCTCGAAGGGTGGTCGAACCAATGGATTTCCAGTGAAGTCGTCTACCCCTTTCTCCAAGGGAATTCTGTGTGCATCGTGGTACAAGCGTCCTGGGAAAACCAAGAAAGCGAAACTGCAAAATGGTCAAAATGACATCGGGCAAATCACCCTCAGTCAGCTCTCAGCTGTCAACAGGTCTCAACTTGTCTCAACAAGTGACTCCACTGTGTCGATATTTCGGAGGACAGACACTGTTCAAGGACTTCGAAGGTCGACAGCATTCGAACCTACGGGCCTGAAGCTTCATGTAAAAGGCGCCCTTGACACCTTTCTACAAGAACGTCCTGCCAGCTTTCATGATTCCATGTGAGATATATGAGAGTGATACGCAAAAAAGGCATCACTCATCAGTTGATTCATCTCATGCTGAGGGAGCTTCTGTTTATTTCTGTTTCCATATGATTTCATTGAATTTCCAAGGGAAATTTTGCAAAACGTGCCTCAGGTGCGTCCAGGAAGATCGCTGCGTCGAGCGTTTTTTTCTGCTTCGCCAGTTCCTCATCGAGCCGTGCAGCCTCGACTTCGGTGGATTCCGCATCTCATCAGTCTAGGTGAATCCTATGAGAAATTTATTAGAACTTGGGAGAACATGTGAAACTGTATGAAAATGTCATAATATGTCATAGAACTTCACTGCAACTGGATTACACAACCAGTAAAATCATTCAAAATCATATCAAAATCAGATCAAATCATCAAGCTCGTAGAAATCCTCATTCTTGGCGGTTTTAGGATGTTTTAGGCATACGTTGACGTGCCTGAGCCACAGTTGTGGGAAAACCATCCAGAACGAAGCCGCGGCGGCACTCATTGCGTTGCAGCAAAGTCCCCAGAGTGCGCCTTGGAAAAATTTGGAAAATCTGTGTCGTTTGTCAAATGGAAGCTGAAAGGCTGACGATAGGAGTAACTTCAGTGACTCAACTGTGATTCCAACATATTCAAAAAGTCGTTGTTGAAGTTTGAAAAAAGACCTGAAAAAACTGTTTCAACTTGCCAAATCTTGCCAAGATGCACTGCTTCCTCATCGGAGCTTGAGGCACCTGGGCGGCTCCCCAAATCAGGCGACTCGGCAGGTGTGAACTGTGTGACATGGGAGGCGCGAAGCGAATTGACCAAGTTGACCAAGGAACTCATCAGTTCCTTGGCAGAGATCCGGCATACACCGAAGGCTCGTCTTAAAGCATCCGCCTGTGTGTGTTTTCCTCGGGGTCAGAAAGTGTACTCCAAGGTTTGACACGAAGGTTTGGACAAGAAGTGAAACCCTGGTCATCGAGTCATCTTCAAGACTTTATCATGTCCATGCTAAAGCTGCTTGCCCAGATACCAACACATGGTGGACCCAAAACAGCCACGTTCGCAGGCGTTCGGCTCAGCAATTGATGTCTGCACAAACGGAACAGTCAGTTTCCAACATGTTGCTACATACAAATCAGGAGTATCTCATTTGCATTGCACTTTGTCACATGTCCACATGTCCACATGGACTTATCGTGACTTATCGGTTCTTGCTCCATTGAACATATTGAACCAATCACGTCTGTGTCGAATTTCTCAAACTGGAATTCATTGGAATTCCATCCAGCTGAGTCCAGATGAGTTTTCCGAGCGGTTTCCTGCGCTTCAGCTCGGAGAGGAGCTCGGCCGTGGGCACAGTCTCCAGATCCTCCGGCGACACGCGGCCTGGCGCATTCCGGGGGCTGTGCAAGACCAAAGCGTGACGCATCGTGACACGTCGTGACCCACCTGCTGGGCCTCCCATTGCGAAGGTTTGCCAAGCTAAATGATGAAATCTGACAATCGTCTTTTCAAATCTTCAAATGGTCCTGGCTTTGAGTCCATGGAATCTTTTGGACAAACTTACTTAACTTACTTATGAAGTGAGCAATCTGAACAAATCATGGTTTTTTCTTTGGTTTTGATTGGTGTATCCGTCTGTTGCCGTGCTCGGTGACCTGTGGATTCGTGGTTAAATCAGAACAGCAGCGTTGCGCCGCTGGAAAAGCTCGAGCCGGCAGAAAGGGCGACCCAACTCGCTGCCAATCCATGAACGCATCATCTAATGGATAACGCATCATTTTTTCATCCTACGTCAAATCTCATGTATCATAAGCCATCAAAACATGTTATATATAATATATCAATAGAATTTAATAAATGACAATCTGTCATTCATTTAGTATAGACTCTATAATGTGGAAAACCCATAAATCATCCCCAAATTCACCACAAATGGGTAATTCATATGAACCCTTCAGAATTGGAGGTATTTATTGGGCTTACCACATCATACCTCCTCGATCGTTTCCTTTCATGGCTTTGGGGGCTGGGCTGCCGTGCCAGACTTTGTGCCAGTTCCCATCTTCGTCCTTGGCCCTGAGCCAACATCAACGCCTGCGACGCTGACAACAAGTTTGATTGCATAATAATTTGCATGAAAATGGTAAGAATAATCCTATATAATCCCTGTGATAAAAATGAAGAGACTCGGCTAGAACCCTCAAAAACCATGGCAACATGCAAGACCTTTCACCCGGTGTCAACTGACCAAAACTGACCACTTCTCACCGTCGATTCCGCGATTCGACTAAATCAATGCGCTGCATGCTGCACCTCCCAGCAGACCGCATCTGGCTGGATTCCACGATGCAATGTGCTGACCAGCACCTCCTGACCAAAGTCAAAGTGGGCAGATTGGGCAATGTGCAAAAATTTGAACGAAAAATCGGAAGAATCTGAGGGATTTACATGGGTTTACATGGGTTTACATGGGTTTACATGGGTTTACCTGGGTTTACCAGTTACCAAACGATTCTCCAAGGGTCATAAGGGTGTGTATGGTGTGTAAAATGATTAAAATGTGCTCCTTCCGGTTTTCGGGCCTGAACATTCTCCCAAGAGCGCGTGGATGTCAAACTCGCACCAACGATCATGACCTTAAAAATTTTAAAACACTTGTCATGGCCATCCGGTCACCACACTGAGGCACAACTGGCATGGCACCATGGCACCACGGCACCACAGCACCGCGGCACCGCGGCACCGCTGTCCAAGTGAGGGCAAGTAACGTTTCGCTCAAGGGTCCAGTCATCCATGGCGTGAAGCAGCTGAGAAACCTGGCCAGAATTGATTTCCGATGAAAAATGTTAGATGTTAGAAATGTTAGAAGACCATCTGCAATTCATCAGAAACCAGAGTGGTGGTTGCTTCCGAATCACTCTGTGCTCTGTGTTCCGCAGTCGTGTTTTTGTTTCATCTTTTTTCATCCTTTGTTCATCTTCGAATCGAGGAAATCCGCCACTTTCTGCGAAATCAAATTGGCAGCTGCAGGCTCAGGAGCAGGAGCCCAAGCACCTACTGCGCCGAGCCTGGAATCGTTGCAGCAGCGCTGACGGATGTCACAAGATATCACAGGGATTATATTCTGCGAAATAAGGTGTAAAATGGTGTGAATGTGAATTTTGATAAATTGTAAGTATCCACGTCTGCATCTGTTGATTTGTGTGTATCGTGTCACGTCTACGTGCGTTTTTTGTCACTGCGCAAGGCTGGGCAATGTGTTCAAGAACGCAAAACCAGAGTATGGCATGAAAATATGATGCAAAAATATGAATATATTCTCTTAGCATACCCCGGTCCAAAAAACAAAGGACGCCTACACTGGACTGCATGGTTCCACCAGTGCATTTTGTCAATGCATGACAGAGTTCTCTTGTGGGGGTGTTGTCTGTGTCTATTGGCCCCAGGCAGCGTTTCCGTGAAAAGAAAATGTGAGAGAAAGCAGCCATGTTTTTCCCCACCGAGCTTCCTAAACCTTCTCATTCTCAATTTCTATAACTTCTCAATCCAAAGTTGATTGCAAGGGTCTTGGACTCACCGGGACACAGGTTTGCCGTGTCAAGCAACAAGCTTTGCCACGATTCCACCACCTGCGGATTCAGCAGGTTGAAATGAGTCACGCCAGCGGGGTAGAAGCTCTCTGCCCCTGGTCGGAGTCTGCGCACCGTGTCTTGCACCTCGAACAAAAAAAAGACAGCGCCAAATCACCAAAGACCAGAAAACAAATGAAGACAGTATCCAACAAATCAACACATTCGAAACATTTAAAAAACCGTGGATACTCAAGAAAAGTAGAACAAAGGTTGCTGAGTTCTATTGCATCCACGCAGCATAGTCCATCGACAATGGAGGGCGAGTACAAATCTCGTCTTCGGCACCACAAATGATCAGCATGGGTCCTTCCGCTCCTTTTCTGAATGTATCTTCAGGATCGACTGGAGGTGGTTGAAATCCAGCGATGTTCACCTCAAATCCGAATGGGGTGAATGGGGTCTCTAAACTCCGCCAAAACCATCGCCTTCAGAATCCAAGTCATCCAAGTGACTCGGCAAAAGTCCCCTTCCAACTGGGAGATGGTGACGCCACCGCGCGAATGGCCCACCAAACCAACATCTTTGGCACCGTGTTGCCGTAACCAATCCACACAGTCCTCTTGGCGCACGGTCACTCTGAGAAGAGCTACCATAAGAAGCTTGCAGCATCTGGAATACATAGAAATCATCGAATGGATCGATCGAAGCACTCGAAGACATGTTTCAAGATCGATATCAAATTTATGTTTCAAGATGTCCGAATTGTAACACAAATGGATCCCAAGGTTGATATGTTTTCTGCTCTCCCATGGGTCCTGTAGGACTTGGAGCCGTCGTTCTTCCGCCTCTTCTCGTGCCAACAGCGAACCCACAAAGCCACCCGGCACCACGCCATCCTCCTGAAACATGGTGACGTACAGCGAAGCGTACAGGGAAGGTAGTTGTGACTCTTGATCCAAACTGAGCCAAACTAAATGCGAAAGAATATGAATATATTCAGAAATACGCATGAAGCATAATGAAGCATGAAGCACAGCTCCCAGAATTGTCATTTTGGGAGAGCTTTACATTTGGCAACAAAAAACTATTCCCTATTGATTTTCCGTAAATAGCAAATATGCCCTCGAACAGCCCTAGTATGAATCATTTGGTTTGGGCGCTGACAAATGCCACACGGAACTTTATTGCAGCTGGGTCTCGTGACTGACGGAATCGTCCATTTCCTTGGTCCAAAAGGTGGACAAAGTTGTTCAGCATCTGTCAGCTGCATGGCGGAAAGTGGATACTGCAGTAACATGCAGTAATTCTTCCCCGAAACTTGCTGTTCAGTCCACTTTTTGCAGCTCTGGAAGGCGCAAGTTGAATCCTTTGAGAAAACCAGGCAAGCTGGGCATAAGTTCAAGTCTAGCCGCTTAGCCCTCATGACCTTTTGCTGAAGTCTTCATGAGCCCCACAAGAGAATCCCATGGTGATTTGGCATTCCTGTTCTGCGGTAACTGTGTAAACGTCCGTGTCTTTACTATCTGCGTTTCGGATCCAAATAGACAACAAGATCTGCTTTGCAAAGAAACTTTGGAGATGGTCCGCCTTATCCCAATTCTTTCCCAATTTTCTATGTGACTCAAGGCATCTCAAGGCATCTCAAGGCATCTCAAGGCGTTTCAAGGCGTTTCAAGGCGTTTCAAGGCATGAGTTTCCCGTGGTTGAAGCGATTCACGTCGTTAGCTGTGCACCAAGTTGCTGGCGCCAAAACGGTGAATCCCCGCAGCACCAACTCCTCCGCAAAGTGTGCCATGTCCAAACGGGAGCAGAGCAGACCGTGGACCAAGACCACAGCACCTTCAATCGCTCAGCTGAAAAATGTCGACAATACAGAGAAAAATGTTGAACTTGTTTTGAATTAATATGAAAATAGGTTTGAATTAGTCTTGAATTAGTTTTGAAAAACTGGAATTGATGGATAACGAAGCGTTTCTCATGTCACTCATTTGCATGGACAATGGATGACATAGTGGCACTATGTGGCACTCATGCATCAGTGCTGCCAAACTTGGCCGAGCAACGAGACTGCACCACAGGCACCTGGCGTTTTGGAATGTCGACCGCGGTCGACCATCTCTATAGACTCAATACATCTCTATAGTCTCTATATGTCTCTATACGTTTTGTTGAAACGAAAAAATTGATGCTGAGCACTGAGCACCTCCATATTGAGCAATTCGCGTGGGAGTTCGATCTCCAACTTAGAGCCCAGTGGAAAGCCTCCCATGTCAGAGTGCAGGCATCGAGAAATCACGTCGAATATTCCCAAATAGATCAGGATATGTCAGGATATCTGGTGTCACTTGATGTGAGACAACTACCCTGGCCCACAGAAGATTTGGGTCCGAGGCTCCCAACGTGCTGAGAGCCAATTTGCGAGTGCTGAAGGTATAACGATACGAGGACCTCGTACAACAAACCTTATCATTTCCCGAAAAAAAAGAACCTGCCATGATTTCCTGTTTCTATACCTGCAGTTGGAATTTGGGGACTCCAAATGTTCAAATTGTATCAAAAAATAATGTTGAAACCTTGCACATGCGAATGCTGCGAAAACTTCATATGCCCAAACGATGAAACGGCGATGAAACGAGAAACTCACTTGGAATCCTGGTGATCTCTGCGGTTCAGCGGCAGTTCTTCTCCACCACTGCCAGGAGACCACAAAGAAGCTGGCCGCCCACCCATTGAGAGACGATCACCTGAGCAACAAAAACGACAGCGACCGCCTATGAAAACGGATGTGGCACTGGAATGTGCCAGATGTGGATGCCATAGACGGTCCAGCTATTTTTATCTAATATTGAATGGTTAAAAAAAACACGAAAATATGATATAATAGAGCAAAAAATCATTTGCCTAGTATACCACACTATATTTTAATATTCTTCAAAATAAATGGTTATAATCTCAAAAAATACAACACTAGCATAAAAGAATGCCATGTAACATAAATGGTAGAAAATATGACAATAGTAAAACAATATGGCATAGCAAAGTATAGTATGGCATGGTATGGTATGGTACGGCACAGTAAACCATGGCATGGTATTGTATAATTTGCTACTATAAAAAGAAAATCTAATGTAAAATACCAAAGCATATTGGCAAAAGTGTTCAAGAATGATTCAATATATAATACTCAAAATAGACAATAGTGTGTGGTTTAAAAATTAAACTCGATATTGTGTGATGTAATGTAACGTAATGAATTGGAATGTAAAGCAAGATGTAGTATAAAACATAATGTAATATAGTATAATACAAATACTTCGAAATAGAAACGATGATTTAACATCATATACCATGCTTTAATATAATACAATATTCGTTCATCTACTCGAGTTGAACGTAATTTAGAATATTATCATAAATACAACATAGTATACATGGCCCAATCCCTATGTACCGTGTCGTGCATGGTTATGTACCATTCGGCTCAACATAGCTCCACAATGGTCCCAGACTTGGGGCCAAGTTGGGGAAATTCTGGAGCTCGTGAAGTCAAGCTGATGCTTTGTTGGGTGGCGTTGGCCCAGGTTGAGCCATGGGGCTATCTGGGCTATCTTGGGCCTCGTTATTTTGGGGCCATGTTGAGCCATGAGGCCAGCTGGGGCCATGTTGGGGGCATGCTGGGTGTTCTTGAAGGGGAAGCAGATCACCAAGTTACAGGGAAAGAAATTTCCTTTTTCAGGGCTGAAATGCACGGTGTCAGATGTGAAGTTTGTGGAACAATGGTGAAGGGATGTCAAGAAAAGGGAAAGAGATTTCAAGGCATGTCAGGAGACAGGCGTGGCAAGAGAAAGACCTGTTCAGAGAAACGGGTCTGCTAGACTGCAGTGTCATGGGAAAGCTATGTCAAGTGCAAGAGCTTACAAGCAGAGGTGTCAAGAGAAAGGCATGGCAAGAAAAGAGATGTGAAGATTGTGAAGATGCACAGAAATCGGCGAGCAGAGAAAGCAAGGATGTCAAGGAGGGATGTAAAAATGAACGGCTACCATGGCACCTCCCAAACAGGCGTGTCTCCCCTGGACTTAGCCGCGAACGAATTTATTTAGATGTGTTTGGCATAAAGAAGAAAAGGATAGATTTTGATAGATCACAAATTATATAATACTAATACTATATATATATGTGTGTGTATGAACTGTATATGATTGTATATGTATATATGTAATTATATGTAAATAGAAACATTGGCTTGTGTATATTGAATGTGTACGTAGAAGACACACAGTTCAACTTCTTCGTTTTAACCGACCATGGACATAATGCACCTCCCTGCTCTACGCCAATGATAGGTGGACCACCAGTAAAAGAGCTGAAACAAATCATCTTAGAGGCGACGCGCTTTAGTCTACCTGTATCTCAAGCATTTATTCCTAAAGCATCAAGTTCAGCTGTGTTTGACACATGAAGGCACCACCTGGCGTGTTGGCGGCAATTGTTTATCTTCATCTGTGTAAGGCCAAGCTTCTGTACTGAACACCTCGCATCGCTATAGGTTTTCGCTTGCCTTAGCCGCTTCAGCGACATTGTCGGCAACCAGGTCAAGTCAGAAGATGAAGACAACCGAGGACCGCCACGTTGCCGTCACCACCCAAATGCCCAAACACAGGAAAAGAAAAGAGAGAAAAAAAGAAAGAAAAAAAAAAGGAAACGTTGCCACGTTGCCACTACAGCCTCCAACAGCAGGCAACTTCAATCTTGTAAATTCTCAACTGAGCCAAGCGGCCGCAAGACCTTAAAGACACCACAGCTGCAACTCCTGCTACTCCTGGCATCCCCGGATGTGAAGGCCAGAGGACCAACTCAAATGTGTTCTTTTTCTCAAAGCTTAAAACAAGATCAACGTTCTAAGGGACTTGTCACTGGTGCCAGCGCTGCCCTTTTCTCCTGGCAGCCCGGTGTTCATGCGCAGTGACGGATGGTTCGTCATGGCACTTCCCGGCGCTAGCTTTGGAAATGGAAGCGCGGGAAAACGCCATGGCGAAGCGACATCCATGACGTTCGGCCTTGGTTTCCAGAACTTCGAGGTTGCGAAGCTGTGAAGTTTCAAAACATGTGGCAGTGCAAAATCACAGCAAGGGCAACAAAAAAAGGGCAAGACAGATTTAGTGCTTAATACTAAGATCTGTTTGAAAAAAAACATGAAAACACCATAATTAAGCATCCATAAGCATTCACAATCGCACTGTATGCTGCTTCCCTCGCGGATTTAGGTTTCAATGTGCTTCCAATGATTTTTCCAATGATTTTTGTTGATCAAGCTGACAAGCTGTGAGGGTGCAGGCTTGGAGCTCATGCAGGATTACAAGTCACATGACAGCATCTTCGAGCATCTTTTAGGTTGTACACAAGGAGTTGAACGTAATCTACTCAGGCTCACCACTACAGAAATCATGCTGCTAGTTGTGTGCCATCCCCAGGAACAGCATTTGTCCTCCCAACTACTCTTGAGACCACACTCAGTCTCCAGCGTTACACATCTGCCCGGCTCTTCCCTTTACGCAGCGCCTTTTCTGCACTCTCCGCTGACACAAGACGGATGCAAAGGACTTAAGCGTGCATGGACTCGGATCAAGCAGGCAAAGGGCACCAAGGGCACCAAGGGCACCAAGGGTACCAAGGGCACGATGTAATTTCAGCATAGATCCTTTGGCAGGAATCCAACTGGGAATCCATTTCAACATTCTCAACTGGCACGGTTGCTGCAACTTCTCAATAGTTTTTCTGTGCATCCCGTGACAAGTTGGATATCATCTCAACCAAGAAGATGGGTTGCCAACAAAGAGGGAAATGGGTTGGCAATATTGGGGGAGCAGATTCAAACAGTTGAATCATGGGAAGCCGCTGCCACTGTGATTGTGAGGTGATGACCGCCGCTGCCACAAGCACCATGACCATAGGGCAGTTTGGATTTCAAAGTACAGCCCTGAGCTTCAACAAAAACTGTTCGCATCATTTAAAACCAACGGGCATGCGCAATTGTGTCTGGTACCAAAAAGAAACACGGGTCTGCAAATACGACCTTGAAAAGGATTGAAATTGAAACCCTTGAGCCATTGGAAATTCAAATAGTGTTCGCAAAACATGCCTCTGCCTGGGTTTCACCTGTTTGGGTTCCGTTTCAAGTCTCTCAGCCCAGACCAAAGGTTGGGCCTACAAGAACAACAAGTGGAAAATCATCTGCTGAACTCAATCTTTGCAAGTTTTGTACGCCAGGAGTTTTGAGACGGTTCTCTTCGCATACCTGGCATACCTCATACTGTCCCTGGCTTTCCAGCACACCCCTGCGTCTTTGTTGTCCCTTCTGCCAACCTTGGACCTGTCAACCGAAAGCCCTTCACAGCAAGGCTGAAAGTTCTACAAGATTCCTACAAGGATCTACACCATGACTTGAGCACAGTGCTGCAGCTTCACTTTTGCAGCAGGGGGTCTTGACTTCAAGGGTAGGGAAGTCCTTCAACACAAGGTTTATGATGACTCCATCACACTGGCCACATGGATGCAAAGCAAAGACTGGAAGCTGCGAAACTACTAGCGAAATTACTACCGTTCCTCGTTGTCGTCTCAGGGAAGAAACGCATCTACGATGAGCGCGGCCACTTCGCATCAGGGCCAAACTTCTCAGATTAGGCAGCTACAGCGTCCCAATCTCACCGCAAAGCGTACATGTTGGAGGGAGGCACTGGAATACTTAGCACCTCTTAACTTTTCGGCCTCAAACCCTTGCTGGAGGGTCTTCTCCTCACAAAATATCCTGGGGGACAGGAACTTGCAAAGGGACCCACAGAAGCGTCAACCCTGTAGCCATTGCCCAAGATCTGTGAAACTTGTACATCAATGAGCCATACCTTCCAGGCACCCATGGAACAGGAAGACAACGAAGCTGAAGTCATGGAAGGACGCTGTGAGAAATCAAAGGGATAAATTCACAACAAGGTGTAAAAAGTCAGAGGATGAAGTGCCTGTCTGGGGTCTTCCAAGCATAAGTTCCAGTGCTGGATGCATGTCACTTTGATGTCGAAAGCATACGCACGAATGACCAAGGCACTAAATGACTCAACGCCAAGGTTGCCTTCAATTCCAGTGCGGCTGGGACTTTCACGATCTCTACCATGTTTTTTGTTGGGGATTGGTGGGGATCAGGACATGGCAGCCTAAACAATATGAGGAATGGCAGGAATAGCAGGAATAGTTCAAGCTTCAATTGCCTGACCTGGTCATGGACTCTACCAAGTTGAATGGTGATGCCTAGGGGTGGCCTCAGATTGTTTTCGGACTTGGAACTAGAGGCGTTTGACACCGCAGTGGCAGCTTCGCAACATGGTTGCCGGACGCGGCAGACTTGCACCATGGTGACCATGATGAACCTGGCGTGGGAAGACATGACGCGTCACATTGGATCCCTGGCCCTGCGAAGCCGCGCTCAAAGCTCACATGCTCCATACTCCAGCTACTGGAACTTTTGGCGAACAAAAGCAAAATCTCTCACACATGTTCATGCAGATGTTTTTGACCCTGGCGCGGACTTTCGCGCTGCACATAAAACAAGGAAGCTCTACTCTCTAGCCAATGAAACAAGCACAGCTTTCAGCGCGGCTGAGATGGGCCACTCTTTTGAAAATTCGCAAGCATGTGTGAAGCAGGGCCAGGAGTACGTCTGCGTTGATCTGCACATTTCCTTACCTCTGTTTCCTCATGTTTCCTCTGTTCCACCCTCTTGCCCAAGTGTCTCAAGCCCGTTTTGCACTCAAGGCGGAATTTGATTCTCTTGTACTAGGCTAGGCAATGGGTTTTCCGCAAACGCTGCCGCAATACTGAGGCAGCCACAACTCTCACGTCCCCGAAAGTTCCCAAACAAGCATGTACTTGCACTGAGCTTCCCCTGCACGGAGGTCGCTTCTTTATATCTCTCTTTGCTGTAGATGCGGGGATTATGACGAATATATTATAATATAATATATTCATTTCCGGCTCCTAGGTGCATCACAACCTGCGTTTCGAGGTGCTTCTGGGAGCTCTTTTCTGAGGCTTCCACACTCTGAGCGTTTCACTTCCGCAAGGCTATCCGGGCTACCTTACTTCAAGCCTGCGACCAAATGAATACTTGAGGGTTTCGGCTCACTTTGACACATGGACACAACTCTGGAGGTGGCGAGCAGTAACTCTGCGCCGGTCCTGATCCCTGACGCAAGTCTGCGAATCGATGAATGATGGCACATGCATTGCAAGGAAAAAGAATGTTTTGGCAGAAAGCACCTCCTCAGAAAGGCTATTCCCCAGTGCGTCTTGCAGTGCTGGTAGCTTATCACTTCAAATGCGTTCCATCAGTGTGGTATCATGGTCGAGGCAGCTTCAAATCGCAAACTCAACGTAGGTCGAAAGAGCACGGGTAACTCAGCAAGTGCGCCAGGGACACAAGGACCACAAGGTCACCAATGAAGGATGCCTGCTGGATTGGCTCAACCTGCTGAAGCTCAATGGATTAGTGGCCCGGATCTTTTTCAAAATCCTTGGACGTCATCTTCGGGACTTCGCAAATAACGGTCCCATCCAAGATGCAATACTAAACTGTGTGGCTAAGATTTGAAGCTGTACAACATCCTCAATTTTGGGGAGCTGCGGGGCGTGCGCCGGCAAAACAACTACACACAGAAGCTTTTAACTAGCGTTTACACAGAGAAGCTTTTACACAGAGAGGTTTTTACACAGAGAAGTCTTTTACAAAGAGGCGATTTTACACACAGAAGCATTTACGCAGAGAAGACTTTACACAGAAGAGAGCTTCGTAAGCAAGACGGCCAAGAAACGCATCTACGATGAGCGCGGCCACTTCGCATCAGGGCCAAACTTCTCAGATTAGGCAGCTACAGCGTCCCAATCTCACCGCAAAGCGTACATGTTGGAGGGAGGCACTGGAATACTTAGCACCTCTTAACTTTTCGGCCTCAAACCCTTGCTGGAGGGTCTTCTCCTCACAAAATATCCTGGGGGACAGGAACTTGCAAAGGGACCCACAGAAGCGTCAACCCTGTAGCCATTGCCCAAGATCTGTGAAACTTGTACATCAATGAGCCATACCTTCCAGGCACCCATGGAACAGGAAGACAACGAAGCTGAAGTCATGGAAGGACGCTGTGAGAAATCAAAGGGATAAATTCACAACAAGGTGTAAAAAGTCAGAGGATGAAGTGCCTGTCTGGGGTCTTCCAAGCATAAGTTCCAGTGCTGGATGCATGTCACTTTGATGTCGAAAGCATACGCACGAATGACCAAGGCACTAAATGACTCAACGCCAAGGTTGCCTTCAATTCCAGTGCGGCTGGGACTTTCACGATCTCTACCATGTTTTTTGTTGGGGATTGGTGGGGATCAGAACGTGGCAGCCCAAACAATACGAGGAATGGCAGGAATAGCAGGAATAGTTCAAGCTTCAATTGCCTGACCTGGTCATGGACTCTACCAAGTTGAATGGTGATGCCTAGGGGTGGCCTCAGATTGTTTTCGGACTTGGAACTAGAGGCGTTTGACACCGCAGTGGCAGCTTCGCAACATGGTTGCCGGACGCGGCAGACTTGCACCATGGTGACCATGATGAACCTGGCGTGGGAAGACATGACGCGTCACATTGGATCCCTGGCCCTGCGAAGCCGCGCTCAAAGCTCACATGCTCCATACTCCAGCTACTGGAACTTTTGGCGAACAAAAGCAAAATCTCTCACACATGTTCATGCAGATGTTTTTGACCCTGGCGCGGACTTTCGCGCTGCACATAAAACAAGGAAGCTCTACTCTCTAGCCAATGAAACAAGCACAGCTTTCAGCGCGGCTGAGATGGGCCACTCTTTTGAAAATTCGCAAGCATGTGTGAAGCAGGGCCAGGAGTACGTCTGCGTTGATCTGCACATTTCCTTACCTCTGTTTCCTCATGTTTCCTCTGTTCCACCCTCTTGCCCAAGTGTCTCAAGCCCGTTTTGCACTCAAGGCGGAATTTGATTCTCTTGTACTAGGCTAGGCAATGGGTTTTCCGCAAACGCTGCCGCAATACTGAGGCAGCCACAACTCTCACGTCCCCGAAAGTTCCCAAACAAGCATGTACTTGCACTGAGCTTCCCCTGCACGGAGGTCGCTTCTTTATATCTCTCTTTGCTGTAGATGCGGGGATTATGACGAATATATTATAATATAATATATTCATTTCCGGCTCCTAGGTGCATCACAACCTGCGTTTCGAGGTGCTTCTGGGAGCTCTTTTCTGAGGCTTCCACACTCTGAGCGTTTCACTTCCGCAAGGCTATCCGGGCTACCTTACTTCAAGCCCGCGACCAAATGAATACTTGAGGGTTTCGGCTCACTTTGACACATGGACACAACTCTGGAGGTGGCGAGCAGTAACTCTGCGCCGGTCCTGATCCCTGACGCAAGTCTGCGAATCGATGAATGATGGCACATGCATTGCAAGGAAAAAGAATGTTTTGGCAGAAAGCACCTCCTCAGAAAGGCTATTCCCCAGTGCGTCTTGCAGTGCTGGTAGCTTATCACTTCAAATGCGTTCCATCAGTGTGGTATCATGGTCGAGGCAGCTTCAAATCGCAAACTCAACGTAGGTCGAAAGAGCACGGGTAACTCAGCAAGTGCGCCAGGGACACAAGGACCACAAGGTCACCAATGAAGGATGCCTGCTGGATTGGCTCAACCTGCTGAAGCTCAATGGATTAGTGGCCCGGATCTTTTTCAAAATCCTTGGACGTCATCTTCGGGACTTCGCAAATAACGGTCCCATCCAAGATGCAATACTAAACTGTGTGGCTAAGATTTGAAGCTGTACAACATCCTCAATTTTGGGGAGCTGCGGGGCGTGCGCCGGCAAAACAACTACACACAGAAGCTTTTAACTAGCGTTTACACAGAGAAGCTTTTACACAGAGAGGTTTTTACACAGAGAAGTCTTTTACAAAGAGGCGATTTTACACACAGAAGCATTTACGCAGAGAAGACTTTACACAGAAGAGAGCTTCGTAAGCAAGACGGCCAAGAAACGCATCTACGATGAGCGCGGCCACTTCGCATCAGGGCCAAACTTCTCAGATTAGGCAGCTACAGCGTCCCAATCTCACCGCAAAGCGTACATGTTGGAGGGAGGCACTGGAATACTTAGCACCTCTTAACTTTTCGGCCTCAAACCCTTGCTGGAGGGTCTTCTCCTCACAAAATATCCTGGGGGACAGGAACTTGCAAAGGGACCCACAGAAGCGTCAACCCTGTAGCCATTGCCCAAGATCTGTGAAACTTGTACATCAATGAGCCATACCTTCCAGGCACCCATGGAACAGGAAGACAACGAAGCTGAAGTCATGGAAGGACGCTGTGAGAAATCAAAGGGATAAATTCACAACAAGGTGTAAAAAGTCAGAGGATGAAGTGCCTGTCTGGGGTCTTCCAAGCATAAGTTCCAGTGCTGGATGCATGTCACTTTGATGTCGAAAGCATACGCACGAATGACCAAGGCACTAAATGACTCAACGCCAAGGTTGCCTTCAATTCCAGTGCGGCTGGGACTTTCACGATCTCTACCATGTTTTTTGGTGGGGATTGGTGGGGATCAGGACATGGCAGCCTAAACAATATGAGGAATGGCAGGAATAGCAGGAATAGTTCAAGCTTCAATTGCCTGACCTGGTCATGGACTCTACCAAGTTGAATGGTGATGCCTAGGGGTGGCCTCAGATTGTTTTCGGACTTGGAACTAGAGGTCTACAGTGGCTCAAATGTCTCACCTCACTTTCTTGGTAAAGGCTACCCTCCAAGAGCATGGCACTTCGGCCCACTCAAACCCTTGCAGAACTCTGCTGCTTGGTGTGTGGTTTGCAGCAAGGAACATTGAAGCGGACCGAACTTTTGTCGATCCCACTTTGCTGAGGTTTGTTGATGCTTCTGGAAGCTTCAAAGCTGTAAAAGCTTGCTCAAAGTTGCAAAACAGTCCCTGACCACCCAATGCCTCTGATTGGCGGTGTCGTGGTGATCGATCTGTTTTTGCGGCGCGTGGCTGTCAAATCCCCGCCATGGATTCCATGAATGTCAAATCTCTGTCGTTGTCCGTGTTTTGGCGCGGCGCTATGATGCGCTATGGTTGCCTTTTTTCCTTGTATCAAAGGACAAGCATTGGATATGTTTAAAAAGGATTCTGTAGAAATGATTGACCCGGAAATGGCGGGGGCTGACCCGGGAATGGTGGGGGTTGACCGGGAAATGGCCCGATATGGCCCGATACTTCTTAAGTAGTTTTTTGGTTCAAGATTGAGGACAAAATTTTAAAAAGCGGCGGGGCAAAAATAGGGCGATATAGTCGAATGCCTCGAATGCGCTTATTGCAGACGTTGGGTGGTCAGGGAGTCGTTGGACAGGTTGGATAGCAATGGATTGAAATGAGCTGGACATTACCAAGCTGCAATCCATTTCTACCATGAACGTTGCCTTCGGTAGAACTGCATTGTGAGAAGTTGCAAATCCAGAGTCTTCAGTGCCGAGAGCGGATTGATGTTTTCATGTGGTTTCATGTGATTTGAAGAATCCAAGCATTTCAAACAGCTCCACGGACCAGCAGAATCCACCAGCAATATCCCAATTGTCCTCAATCAAATCTATGCTCTGGGAGCTGCACGGAAGGCGACACAATTGACATAATATAAATCCATTATATAATATAAATCCTTACAAAGGGAACAAAAGCAACTGAAGATACAAGGGTACAACATGGTACAACAAGCAGCGGCAACTGTAGTGACAGTGACAACACCAAAGTCAGATTCCGCAACCATTCTTGGCCGCTCCAACACATGGCACACGTTCCAGCATTTCCAACCAAAGTTGGATCTGAGTCGTTCGTGCCGGTCCAAATTGCTCTCTAGGTGAAATAATGCGAGTGTTGAGGAGACAGTGTTGACATGCTCGTCTGAGCTACCGCAGAGCGCTTTGTGAACCTTGAAGCAGGCCTGACAGGTGGAGTACGAGACTTTACGAGACGTGGATGGTAGGGGGGTACTTCAGATTTATGCTCTTAGGAGCTCGACCGCTTCAAAGCTGCAAGAACTTCGCCAATAAGTTTGGCTCTTGCACTGTACGGTCGAATAATCAATAGATGATTTAGGCATTATTTAGGCTATAGCTAGTCTAGTTAGGTTGGAAGCAAAAGTGGTGCGACTGTCCCCTTCAACTTGCCAAGCCAATTCTTTTGACATGGGTGAAAGATGGTGAAAGTAGGCACAGGCCAACTCAGACAACTCACCTGATGTCGAAGTTCAACTAGTTGCATCTCTGGCTCTTAGAGCGCTTTGATGCGCTTTGCCTCCCGTACCATGGGTTTGGATTGCAGCGAAGGTTCTACACCTTGGCCTTGGAAACTGAGATTTCCAAGTCACCATCGAAACTGGTTTGAAAGGATAAAACTGGTTCAAACGTTTCATTTCCGCTCCATGAAAGGAGGCTGAAGCCCGTGAGAGTTGCTTGGCTCAAAGGCTCAAAGGCTCAAAGGCTCAACGGTCAAGTCGTTTCTGAAACGGCTCCACTCTGAAATAGCTGTTGATAGTGATGAAGTGCCGGTGAACTGGGAAACATCAGAGCTTCAAAGCTATCAGGACTTCAGCCAGCAAGACACCCGATTTGGACCTGCCAAATAAACCGTAGACATGATAACGGACCTTCACCAAACCAACTCAGAATTGACGACCACTTCAATGGGCGTTGTTTTGCTTAGCTTTGCTCCTGCGGCCTTCCGGCATCATGACTATCTGACTATGTGTGCAATGTGCACTTTACTTATCTCTAGTCTAGGGTTGGTGTTATTTATGTATTAAAGTATATTAAAGTTAAGAACGCCTCAGCAATCTTAACAAAATTCCAGGCACTTTGACCGAGGTCACAGTGCAGTGCAGAATGCAGTGCGGAATGCAGGCATGATTGGTCTTGAAACTCAACCGTAAAATCCAGAATTCTCCAAGTGTTCATCAATCCACGCCAGGAGTTGGCGCCACATTGGCCACATTGCCTTGACGCTGTCACGCTGTCCTAGTGCTGCGCAGAGCGGGCGTCACGGAAAGCGGAGACTTCGCCCTTCAGAAGTCTCTGTGAAGTCTCTAAAACTGAGCCCTGCGGAGTCGATCTCTAAGTGAAACTCAAGCTGGGCTCCCTGACAGGAAATCGTCGACGGGAATAGATTGGAGAGCTGTCAAAGCGGACTGATGCCCACTTAGAGCCATGAACTCTGACCGCAGTCAAGGCAACCCTTCAGGGTCTGCAGCCTGCAATGAATCTACAATGTGCTGTAGTTAAGTTATTGTAGTTGCTGTACCCTGTTGAAAAAAAGATGCCGAAGGTTGATGTATTAGATCCGTCCGGGGTTTCAAAAGGATGTTCAAAAATGTAGAATTCATGAAATCATCTCTGGATAGGGCAGAGATCACACTGCATCTGCTGAAGAAAAGGTCTCCACAAGCTCCCGTCCAGCAAGTTGTGAGCGGCATGGCATCTGTCCGCGGTTTGGGCACGAAGGGCATATGCGGCACAACGGGCACAAATTGAATACCAAATATGACCGATTTGACCATCCAGAGCGCCAGATCAATCTGGAACTTGCCAAATTAAAGACCGGTACATGGACTTGAAACATATAAAACCACAGATCAGAGCGAAGAAACAAAGAAAAACATGTGGAAGAGGTGCGTAGTAATGAGTCGCGTGCTGGCAGTGCTTGAAACCTGGTTTTGGCGCAGTGCAAAGGCTGCGTCCTGTGGATGAGACCCTCAAATTCAGCTGCGCCAAGGCAGCGTCACTTCAAAGGAGCGAGCCTTCAGAAAACCGCAGCGAATTGCAGCTGTCATACCAATCAATACCAATCATACCAGCCATGCAAATGTTACTACTATTTTAATCTATTTTACTTTGCTGCGTGTCGCCTTGAAGCTACTGCGAATGAACGATACTTGAAATGTTTTAACACTTGCAGGAAAGCTTTCTAAGCAATGGTTTGTGGAGGATGCTAAACCCACGTTGGCAAACTATCTTGGCAAACTCTTGCTAAACCAAACAAGGCATCAAATTACCCAGCGATAACAAGGTGCAAACCCACGGTAACCGACGTCTCAAAAAGTGCGACCCAAGCTGGCGAAGTCAAGCAAAGCCGTGTCAGAAAACGATTTGCTCAATTTGCTCAATTTGCGCAAGCGCCCACCGGCTTTCTCACCCTCCCGGTCTCCGCCAGAGGTTCATATAGATTGGACTAGCAAAACCGATTGGAATTTGGGCTCTTCAGAAGTGATATGCGCAGCTATATCTTTGGAAACCATTGGAAACCCAAGGCGTTGCAACGTGATCTCTTGAATCTGGGTAGATAAGGCCCAGCACAGGACACGCGAGCTGCTTTGGCACTTTTTGATTGTGTGTTGATTTAAACGATGTGAATGCAAAGTTCGCACCGTTTCCGTAACAAGAACACCTCAACAAATTGCCGACAAACTCTAACGGCTTTCCTCATGCCTGGCCTGCAACATTTCGAAGTACAAGGAAGTGTTCAGTTGCCCCCTTGAACTCTTGGAGAAAGAAACGCTATGAAAGTACTGAACAGGGTGTTCAATAGGGTGTTCAACCCTTCAAGCGTTTAATCTCTGCAATGGACTTCTGATCTACGTCGTCTACGTGATTCATCGTGATTCCTCCATCCTATGTCCCCATCTCCATCGGCTCGTTTAAACAGGGTGCAAAGCCGCTGGGACGGATGCTATTTGTCGACTTTTGTCATGGCTCATTGTCGAAAGCAGAAGTGTTGGGATCTTGCTCTGCACATCCAATGGGCCCTGAAACACAACAACTTGATTTGCTTCAAGGTCTTCCAAGGTCTTCCTAGAGTTGTGGGGGCTTTAGACAATCAATCTTGACAAATAGGACAATGGTGCTCAAATTGCTTTGCCTGCCCGGCAACTGCAACATTGCCATGGATTGCTGTCCCAAGCATCCATGGCTGCATTGCATAGAAATTTAGAGCAATAGTTTGTGGCAGAAGATTGGTCCAAAACCTTGGCGGATTCTGCATCTGCCTTCAATATCAATCACCTACTGATGTTGTTCTTGTCCCTGATAGGCATGCACTATGTTCCTCTCCGCGCGCAACTCCGCTCTTCTTCTTCTTCTTTGAGGCTCTAAGACTCTACGCATCACTACATTGACAATGTCTGGATAGTCTGCAAATCAGATTAATCAGCAAATTAATCGGTTGTGATTGTGACAAATTTTAACCCCTTGGCTTTCACAGATGCAATTCGTTTAATGGCAAGAGGTCTGAAGCTAGAAAGGCATGAAGAATCGCTCTGACCGCCTTTCTCTCGTCCTGAAGGCATGCTCCTTAGGCTTCTGGCATAGCCTTTAGCGCCGTGGTCAGAACAATGCGTCAAACTGACAGCCGTCATGGCTGTCATTCTTTTCCACATCTCAGAATCTGGTCTTTAAGGAGCAAATATCTTTAAGTTGCCTCATTTCTCCAGTGCGAGCTAGAAGGTGGAAAAGATTGGGAAAGTGCACTCACAAAACAATGACACCTCTTGTGGCCAACAGGGCTTGCATTGTCCTATCTGGATGCCGTACAAGGACGCACGCGGTCGCACACTCGGTGGCACACTCGGTGGCGGCGCTTTCGGACTGCTCAAGCTGCAGCCTTTGTGACCTCGAAGCCTCAAGGGCCTTGTGCCGTGCAAGTCGATGTGCAAGGACCGCATCAAGACATGTCACAACACGCAGTCAAGCGCATGACGGTGATGTCAGTGATGTCCTTAAATTCGTTTTTGAGGATCCCTTTTGTGTGCATAGTCCTCACACCATTATGGCTGGTTGGGAGATGTTGGGAGAATCTCATGCCCTGTGGAAGAGTAGGGCACAAAAGTTGACAGGGTCGCTTGTTACAATCTATATCATCTGCCTGCGTGCACTGTGAAACGCATCAAGACTGGCTCAATTTAAACGTTTTTGCTGCCATGGAAACAGAATCTAAGAAATATCACCAGGTCTTCGTTTCAAACAGACAAGCCACGCCTGAACAATCTTACTTGCAGCACAACCTTAGTCCTCTTTATGTTTTGAGGACAAGTGTGCTTGCTGTGTTAGGAGCGGAAGGCACCTAGGCGGAGTGTACGGCTCTTGCCTTCCACTTTCAGAGCATCGGGAAAGTCTACAAGCTTCTTTCTCCGGGCCCTTGCCTTCAGAACCTTCAGAACCTTCATCAAAAAGCTCAATTTCAACAAAGGTCCTGGGGCCCTCCCAACACAATCCTGCATTATCAACACATGACTCCAAGTACAGCACAAAGACCTTCCAGTTACCCTTCTCTCCTGGTTTCCAAAACAAGTGTCACATATCCTAGACGAAAATACAAACCCCAACTACAAACGCAGAGAGTTCTGGTTGGATAAAAGACTCATAGCCTCAAGCGACTGTGTTGGCTTCAAAACAGCGTAGACAGGCCGTATGTTTGCTTTTCTGCAATAAATCAAAATGATGACATGCCTCTCTCAGGTAGTTTTGTTTTCACACCAAACTTTTGGTGGTTGTCGACCTCTGCTTCCCTAATGTACACTTACGGTCACTTACGGGACTTCTACAACACATCTAGCCAGCTTGACCGGAGTCACAATTTGTCCTCTTCACATGACGAATGTCTTCCCAACAACAAGCGCCGGCCCACGATTTCCACCACCATCTGTGAGAAGTCTTCGTAATTCAGCAGCGCCATGGCCACAGAAGCGAACAAATGACTTGATCGATTGAGATTGAATCAATGGATATATTGAATGTGTATAAATGTGTGTAGAATTGTAGTAGAATGGAGGGAAATACTGGACTTATGGCAACTGAACATAACTCAACTATATCATACGATGTCCACATGTTGCCAGTGACCTCATGGTGCTTTACTGAGTGTTCTTGCAGAGTTTATGGTGGTTCCCGATTCATATACTCCGGATTACTCCGGGCCAAAAAAATGCAATCCTGGAAGCATCCCACAAGCTTCACAAGCTTCACAACCTTCATCACTTTTACATTGTCCTTCAATGAGGTGATCCAAACTTCACCATGTCCGAGCTAGAACACTTGCACTTTCCAAATCAAACAACAACCCCACAAGGACCACCGGTGCACGGGTCGGCCTGCTCCCATGGGAGCACTTGCATCAAGGACGTGCAAATGATCAAGTTGACTTTCAAGGCATCCTCCGAAACTTCCAAAAAATCTCCCCGGAAGAGCTTTTGAAAGTTGAAAACACGTCTCTCAATACATCAAAAAGGATTCCATAAATTTGACAAAACTGAACTTCCCATAAATTAGAAACTGAGTTGCAGGCCTTGCTGGCTCTCGCTTTGGGATCCCACTTGGTAATTGGAATCACAAGTTACACAACCGAGTGCTAGGATACTTACTTGGCTACCTAAAAGCGACCTTCCTTAGCATTCGCTGGCCACCTTGTGGCAAGCCTGCTCGGAAATCTTGGCAACTTTTCTGGAAACCTTGCAAGAAAAACCTTCTTTGGAAACGTTGTTTAGGAATCTTGCTTGGGAACTGTGCTGGAAAACCTTGTTTGTATTGGACGCTTTCCATGGAAAACATGTTCTTGTTTGGAAACCCCTTCTTATCCTTCCTGGAACTTGGGGGAAACCCAGTTTGGGGCTGCTCCAAATCTTCTCCAAGGCCATTTTAGTGTGCGCTGAAGACCGCAAGCATTCTGCTTCTGGGGAAGAAACCCGCTGCAAATTCATGGGAAAACAATGGAAAACATCTCAGAATATCATGCAACGCGAGTTCATAAAGCTCCTGCTGCAGTTGTTCCAGCAAAGGCAAGCTATTCTTCCACGCCAATTCCTGGCGCAAACGATGCAACGATGCCAACATTCTGCTGCGCTGCAGATTTTTTCGGATCCTCCGACTCCAAAGCCGTGCCGTAGGATGCAATACCTCCAGTTGACTCGATTCAGACATCTAAAGGTGTTCCCAATGGCCATGGAACAGCCTGAACCTGGCGAACCTGGCGACTGCCAAAGTGATGATCTTATGTGTTTGTTGATATCTGTTGATATTTGTTGATATCTGTTGATGTGTTCTATGTAAAATATGGTATGTAATCATAAGATAACATAATTAGGTACAAACCAAAAGATCGTCAGAAATGATCATTCGTATCAGTAAATCAGTATATCCCAAAAGATCCTAAATATATGTGCGATAAATGTAAACACGCCAGTCACATGATACATGGCAATATATGGAACATGATGCTGGCTCCACGCGGGCTCACTTTGTTGGACACACCGACGTCGCATGGCACCCAGCAGCTCTGAAGCCTGGGGCCGAGCCCAGAACTTGAGCTTCGTAACAAACTTGACATTTCTATAGTTATAATGATATGATAATGATAATGATATGATTATAACTATGTATACGTATACTATAGTACTAGTATTATAAGTATTCGTATTTGTATTTGATGTATTTTGTGCTACCATTACCCTTGTGAACTTGATAAACGATGTTGCACCAGGATGGCAACCTCGGACCTGTCGTTCACCAATTCCGCACCTCCTTCCAGTCTTGCCCAGTCATGACAGTATTGAAGGTGATCGTGTTGGGCGCACTACTCACCTAACAGGCTCCGCTGCTCTGCTCCGCTGCTCCGCTCTGACATCTGTTCACAGGATCCAATGATCCAACCCAATCCAACCCAATCCCAAGAATTCTCAGTTCTCAAACCCCAATGTGACTCAATGTGACTCAATGTGACTCAACGTGACTCCAAGTTCAAAGGGGAGATCACGTCGCTTCACCCAGTGTTTTCCGACAAGCACCTGCACCCCCGTCTGCATTGCATCGAGGGCAGCTTGCCAGCGATGGCCCTGGCTTTGCGCCTGTGAACATGAGAAATCAGGAAATGAGTATCCCAAACATTACAGATCATGTTGCAACCGATGTACAAACATTTTTCACTTCAATGTTTCCATCAGCTTCAGCCGTTCACAGCATGTCACAGCATGTTACAACGGTGCGTCTGAGCTCTGCACGTTGAGTACGGAATTCCTCAGCGGTGAGCTCGGCCGAAGCTTGGAACTCACCGCCTCCGTCAGCAGACGAAGCGCGTCTCGCCAATGGCCTGGCATAGCGGCATAGCGGCACAGCGGGCACCAGCATCCAACTGTCCAAAATCTCCATCTTGGTCAAATTCTGCTATCATCTTCATATTTATATATATACATATATATATTCATATCATGTTCATATCATGTTCATATCATGTTGATATGACTTGATAAAACTTCATATGTGTTGATCCATGGCACTATCCATTGCCTCCTAAGCATGCAGCTAGACTGCCAAAGGTCACCACTGTTGGCCTCACAGACTCAGCACCGCTGTCTCAACGGTTTTTCGTTCGCCGTGTGTCGTTGTGCCGTTCGAGTTTCCCGGCTGTAAATGTTCACAGCGGAGCTGTGATAAGAGCCTCAACACCTTCCGCCAATCCAGGGATGCAGGATGATGTTACATGCAGGTTGAAATATGGGGAATAACATGGAATAACATGGAATAACCACAAATCAGAATGGATTCAATGAGGAGTTCCATCTTTGGAAATGTAGAAGGGCTAATGAATGATACATTCCATTATACTAGCACATTGGAGGATGCAATTTTTATTCTCAAAGGACTTGCTTCCTTATGAAGCAAGGGATATCGAACAGGATCAACATAGATACAAACTGCAGGAGTCTCGTTTGCAAAAGTCATGAGAGTGTCGTTTCACGGCAAGCTGGTGCATTTTAGGATTCCTTAGGTAGCATGAATGATTCACGGTCTTAGTCATTTATTCATGTTTATTCCCTTCCTTTCCGCAAGTTGCTGCAGGGCCAACACCTCCACTCCCTTTTTGCCATCCATGCAAGCAGAAATTGCCTGGCAATATGCGTACTGTGCATGGCCAACTTTGCCAACTCCAACCACTGATGCGAACGTCTCATTTGGTCCAATCAAAGCTTCAAAGCCTGGACTGCAACGTGTCTGGGCCGACAAAGTTCCAAACAACCACATCTACCTGCACGGTATCCAACCTCACTGGAACTCGACACCGACCAAGAGTTCAAACCTTCCGCAAACCCAAAACCTATTGAACTTATTTGAACTCATTCAAAAAATCTCTGCATATTCCACAAGTGATTGCTGGTCATGCCATGTCATCATGTCCTACTCTTTTCTCAATCCATCAAAAGCACCTTGCCAGAGGAATAAGGCCACAGAGACAACACGTCCACTGTCCTCTCTCACAGAGTGGGCTGATTGTCACAGTCACAGAGACGTTAAATGTGCGACTTCAGCCAACTGAATTACACCTGTGAGACCCTTGCTATGCCTTGCGAACTGCCCGTTTCTGTGGTACACCATGAGTCACCATGTGGTACACCATGTATTTCCTCCTCACTGCGCTGTGTTTCGATATGTTTCTATTCCAAGGTGTCGGCGATGCCATCAGTTGCAGTGCCTTCTCCCATTGAGACGCCTCCCACTGGACGGGAACGCCAAAATGACCGAAACGCGTGAGACGACGTGAGACAGTGCAATGTGCCAAAATATCCGAAAATATCCGAAAATATCCGAAAATCATGTATGATGCTGATGCAGGGAAACATCTGAAACATGGAATGATTTCGATATGTTTCGATTCAGGTTGCGTCAGCTGCTACAAAGTTCTGGCAAGTTCCGGCCTTGCGGCAGGAGCCAATGCCAGCCTGTCAAGGCGGGGGGGAGGGGATGACTCGGGGATGACAGAACTGAGAACATCGGATCGGAAATCTTTTCCAGTGACTGTCAAGACTTTTCCAGTGATTGTTCCAATGACTCGGAATCTTTCCGATCACTGCGTGGCAAAATCAGATACAGAGTCAGCAAACCTGATTTCCAGACCTCAAACTCCTGATTTCCATACAGCATCAGCTCGCAGCATTTGGCTCAGAGCTCATGAGAGCTCCCCACACTAAGGGTCACAGCGTCAGCTTCCACGGCTTCTGAAGATGCTGCCTTGGGTGACAGGGATACGAAATGATATGAAGGATTTGAGCACCCCATAGGGGACACCAAAAACAGCTCCGCAAAGCAAATTGGAGATGGGAGAAGGCAATTAAAGATAAGTAACATCGATTATTCATGATTATTCTGTCAAAGTGCAGTTTCCGAATCGCATGATGAAAGTTCGGCAATCGCGTGTGCAGAGGCTCCCAGTAACTCGAAATGAAATATTAGCGTTGTGGTGCTGAAAAAGGGGTAGCTCAAATATGCACTTGTCTGATCTAGTGCATTTTTTGATGTTGTGCTATGTGTCCTCCGAACATGAAGTCACAAAGGCTTATCTGCCTTTCTGACATATTCGAAGTGATTATATTCTAAGTGATCTTTTGTGCTGTTTGAATATATTAGTTATAGATAATGATTTATAATATGTATATATATATGGTATTTATATTTGATGATGGCCAGCAAATCCGTTTTCAATGTCTGTTTCTGCAAGCTGAAGATCATATTCCAATCCTCCGCGCTGCCTCTAACACTTGGAAGGAGTGCTCCCAATGGCCTTACACCACTTGAAATGCTCGAAAAAAACTTTGGTCTTGAGGATGTTCATGTTCTCTCAGTGCAACATCACTACATGGCTCCACATGTGTAACACCGTATCTACGTGGTCGACTTTCTCAAAATCGATGGCCATTCCGAATTCTTCCCCTCCTTCGCAGGCAGTTAGCGCAGTGTTGAAGGAGACGACGTCTGCTTGAACTCGGCCCTGGCATGTGCAAACCAATAGTTCAATCATGTTCAATAACGTTCAAATATGTTCAATAGAATCGATGTGCACTCGTCAATAGTCTTGAGAAAAGTCTAGATAGTAGCATTTGCTTTGCGAAACTTCAGGAAAGTTCAGGTCTGGGATTTGGATGAATTGGAAATGGATGGAAATGGCTCATGTTGAGATCGAAAGGTGGCATCGCCTTCATTCGTTTCAGTAAATGAAGAGCTTGCAGCCATCCACTCTCCACGGCTCTGCAGCGTTGCAAACGCTGGTTGTACGTCTCTGTTGAGAGCCTCAAGATGTCACAGGCTGGTCACATGTGGTCACCGCCATGAAACCATATGAAACCATATGAAACCTGGGACTTCATATGCCGGAAACGTCTGCGCCTGGGAAAAATGCTAGCAGAGCTTGTACATTGCATGAAACAACATGAAACAACGAGGTATTTCCTTGAAAATTGAAATCGTGATTTTTGCGATCTTGTGGGTCCATTGTTGTACCATGACATGATGGTTGCTCGCTTTGGCTCAGTTCTGACTGTGCTAGACGCTGAAACCTCAACATCCTCAACAAAACCTCAACAAAACCTCAACAAAACCTGAAGCTTGAGAGTCGTTTCCAATGTTTCCAATCTTGACAGGTGTATGATAGTGATTTGATAGTGTATCCAGGGTCTTTGTCATTATCTCATGGGAAAAAGACCATGGATTTCATGATCTTTGTGAAGTCCCATGGCTTTGATCCCGTTTCACGAGTGTTGCGGGACTTCAAAGACCAGCTGCGTTCAACAAAGAACAAGGAAATGTCCTGCAAAGGTGACAAGCATATGTCATCTCAGAATATCTCAGAATATCTCAGATACATGATGACCTATGATGACTACATGGATGCTGCATCTCGGATGGCTTGTGGAATGCAGCTTTTGGATAAGCGATGCACTTTGAGACGAAGCGACCGGGTTCCGGTGACACATTGGCACTTGACAAACTTGACAAACTTGAGGCTCTTTGGCTCTCAGGGTGATGGAGACCGAGATCATGGAGACTGGCACCGATGGCACCGATGGCGCTGATGACGCTGTCACCAGTCACCAGTCACCAGCTCCTGTGATTCAGCGTGTGATGCGGCACCGCCAGGCTCCGAGATCGCTGAACGAAGCTCAGCTCGATGCCATCTCCACTTTCCCTCAGCGCAACGTATATACTGTACACATATTATATACGTATAATATATTATATGCAAATACTGTATATCTCATTATGATCTGATGAGTCTGAAATGGCAGTGCAGCACTTGAGCTGAGGTCCAAGCCCCCATTGTCTTGACCCCGGGAATCTCGACATGGCAACAGTCGCTAGTGTGGAGCGCGGGAGCGCTGGAGAATGTTCGGAATATACCTTGTTAAACAGCATGCTGTCCGTTTTCGAATGCCACAGTCGACCTTTCTCTCTTTCGAAGGTGCACTCCTAACACGACGGGTTTTCACTGGAACCTGCGGCAACACAATACAAGTATCGGACCGAATCTGATTCATATCTCAATACATATCTTCGATTTTCTTTTCCGTTCATACCAAGACAAAATGACCAATAATAAGACATCGACCAATTGTTTGTGATCATATGATATCATATGGTTCCCATATGCAGTGCTGAAAATGTGCGCGATCGGGTTCCCGGTATGTTCCTTTCCTCCCTTTCCAATTTCAGTCCTCGGAGTATGCAAATCCGTGGCTCGGCCGACTCCAGTGTACGGTGCTGGGTCGCGCCGTTTCGACGAAGGGCTGCTGCGTCGTTTCGACTGCAGGCACTGTGGCAGCCATGGGCTGCTCACCTGCCAAGGCGCCATGGGAAGGTTACAGATGTTACAGTAAGATGCAGGAGAAACATCAAGAAACATCAAGTAACCAATGTTAACCAATGGTGATCAAATGTGACCAATGTCAACAATAGCCATCAGCCCTTTAGCCGAGGAACTGCTTTCCTGGTCAAAGACCTCCATGAAGCTGACCATGACTTCTCCCACCAGCGTTGTCATGGCGAGTGAGATAATCACAGTTAAGCCTTGGTACAATCCTAGAATGACCGCAAAAGAATCACTCTTCGTAATCTCTTCGTAATCTGTTTAAATCTGCTGAGATTTGTGAATGAGGAAAATGCAACAGATCTTCCACATGGTTCCCGGGCTCCACAAGATCACGGCCAGTGGCCAATTTTTTCCGGGCAGCTGACGCGAAGCCAGTTGGGACCAAGGATTTCCGACATGCCGTTGACGCAAACCATCATACTGGCCACGAGACAAAAAATGTTACTGGCGTAGCAAGCGATGATCATCCACGGCCTGGGTTGATCAACGGTCGACTTTTTTTGCTTGGATCAGCATTGCATAAGCTACTAATCGTACTAATTGCTGTCTTATCAGATATGTTCAGGATCTGTACCATGTGCATCAATACAATCAATATATATATATATCAATATCAAAATATGAAAATCATATCAGTTTCATGTCATCTTCAACATCTTCATATGTTTATCATTTTTCAACATTAATATTAATATAGTTCATGTTTCAAATTCAGAGATGTTTGGGTTCGAGTCACCAGCTGTACTGGCGAAAGACCAACGTCACGTTGACGCAGAGCACCACCGAGGCGAAGCAGAGATTGCCCAGCAGCGAACTCTGCGCCAGGTCAGGGCCGTGGACGCCTGAAATCTCCGGAAGGTGAACGTTGAACGACGTTGAACGTTGAAGAAAAGCATTTAGAAGGAAGAACAAAAGGAAGATGAAGGAAGTTAAAAATGAAAATTTGAAGTTGAACTTCTCATGTTTCAAATTGAACAATTGAACACTCTCGGAATTGTTTTGGATCCTCTTGTCTTGAGAACCATGACATCACAGTGCGAGTAAAATGAGTAAAATCTCACTGCGGGTCAGTTTCTGCTGAGCCATGAATTTTTGTTCCAATCTGCTCGGCCTGTGACTCCATCCATCGTTTCAGACCACGTAACCGTAATGATCAGCGCTTGCACAACTGCCGTGGCCATCCATAAGAACTGGATATCCTCAGTGACACTTCGTGGAGACGAAATCTGAATGAATGTAATCTCAATGTATCGAAAAATTGGGTTTTGTTCACTTGGACACACTTTGGGACACACTTTGGGACACACTTTGGCACACAGTTCGATTGGACCTGCGAAGCTGTGGCGATGCCATATGCCAAAGCGAGCCAAGGCGAGCCAAGGTTCAAGGCCAAAAAGATATGGCGAGTGACCTTTCGGATCCATTTCCAATACATCCAGCTCGGCAACCCTGTGCAGTGTGACATAGTGTGACTTACGGGACCGTAAGGCACACAGTAAGGCACACAGTAAGGCACAGAGTACAGCATAGACAGCATGGAGTGCATCAGTTTATCATAGTTTATCATAGTTTATCATAGTTTATCAATGGTGAATCGTTGATTTGGGTTCTGAATCGCTTTTATTTGGTTCCTGAAGCGGTCGATGATCGTGTCATTCAGGGAAGTTGGAAGAAAGCACCGGCCTGTCGAACATACCGTAGACGAAGATGGGCAGGTGGCAATGCAGGATGTTGTATGCTTGCATCAACCAAGGACTCACCACATTGGCACCAGAGAACGCGTTGCTCGCAGATGCTAAGATCGTGATCAACACATCCACCTGGTTCCTCAACTTGATACAGTTTGATCTGTTTGCCAGGGAAGATATAATAGCATGACTCGCGCAGAATTCACGCAGGGCGATGCAAAACTGAAACAAAGTTTGATTTCATCCTGATAACTACTTTTGCCCCATTGTGCTCCTTTGTGATCCTCTTTTTATCATGTTTTATCATCTTCCAGAACCTTTCAGTTGAGATTTCAGCTCAGATGCTTGTAAAAGGTGTAGAGACAAACCATGGAATTTCGTCTGTAGGCTTCTCGGCCATGGCCAAAGACAGCACGACGCAGCAGCCTGGGACGTTCTGGAGCCATCCAAAGTGTTTCGACCTTTCGATCCGATTCATACGTGTTTTTGCCGTTGAAATTCAAGCTGTAGAAAACCTTGGCATTGGGGATCAATGTATATCGTAATTTCCTTTTCTATCTTTTCTATCTTTTCTGGTATTGGCATTATTGGCAAATGCAAAAAGGTCTCTGTCCGACACTGTCCGACTCCATTGGGTTCTCCGGTTCGCTGCCACGGAGCCGGAACTCTGCCAGTGCGAAGTCTCCGCTGCGTGCAGCTTGAGCACCCTCCTTGCCACACAGGCTGACTCCAACGTGGGCTGCCACGATCATAGAGACATCGTTCGCCTCACCATCAACGAAACAACCCGGATCGACATGTTCAACTGCCATCTGAAGGACTTGACTCGTTGTATCTTTTCTCGCAAATATCTATGGAAAGCGATAGCACTTTATGGCGATTCGAGGGGTTGTTCAATCTACCAATGATGTGGAACAAACTAACAAGTACAAGTGCGTCAAACAAGCTTATATGTTTTTGCAAACTGAGTTGCTCCGTCACCAATTGACAGAGTCACCGCTTTTTCATCCATGAGTTTTACCTCAGCTGAAAGCTTCGCGGTGCATCTCTTACAGCATGATGGGCACAACGACAAACAGCCAATTTTTTGCCCACCTACAATCCTTCAAGTGTTTTCAAGCAACTGGTTACAATGTCAATTATTTATCTGTCCCATCTGTTTCCCAGTATCCAACTTCCGTTGCAAGTGCTGCCAATATACCAAGTCAACAACATCTGCCTTCTGCTTTGGTGACACGCGGCAGCAAACCACGGATCTGAGCACGTTGCCGCCGGCAGTTATCAAAATTATAGGCAGTTTGTAATACAGAAAGGTTTTAAAAAGGCACAAACAATTTACCTACCATCATTGATTATAAATTTCTTGCTAATTTATGCTTAATATGCTTAGTGTTTGTAATTAATATTGCTCGGAAAACAAGGAACTTGACCCATCCAACCTGCATCGCTGTCCCGCGTGAAAGAGCAAAGAGCGGCTTTCATCATCTTCCATGGCGTCGATCAATTTGGATCCTGGAGAATCGTTGGGACCGGAGAATCGTTGGAATCCCTTCGAAGCGTCAATGCTCTGGACGATTGGACGATGATTGGAATCCCCTCCGTCCTTCGATGGTCAGCGCCGGACTCTCAGCTTCCAAGGCATCTTGCAGGATGTCAGTGATCCTTTCAGGTGTTTGAAATTCTCATTTGGCAGCAACCCATGCCGTGCCAACATGAAAGATTGAGGTTTGTGTTTCTTGATGTTTCTTGCTGAATAAAAATGTGCTTCTCAGAGGGATAGGGAGACCTCATGTTAAAAATACTTCAAAGCCACAGTCAGTGCCATCAACACCATCAGATCGCTGTTCCAGCCTTTGCTCGGTGGTGTTGTCAATGATGAAGTTATTCATATCTTCAGTGAGCAGTTTGCACGACATGGCGATGGAAATCGCAGTGTCCACCTTGTCACCGGTGAGCACCCATACCTCAGAGCAGCGCCACGGCATCGTGGTATCTGACGGTTATGGGTGCCTCATCTTTCAACGATCGATTCTTCCCAGGCACGCGTACCCCTGCGTGTCGGAGCCTTAGCTGCAACAAAAAACACACGGAGCATAACTATTGAAGACACGTCTTAATGCTAGTACATGATAGTATATATATAGTATACGGGTATATATCATGTGTATATATTTTTATATATTTTATATATCTTTATATATATATATATTTATATCTTTATATATCTTGATATATCTTTATGTCCCAATATAAACATCCAAAACTTGCAGAAATCAGCTACTTTCCAACTCAACATCCAGGGGCTGCTCGATGGTTTCTGGGACCTCCTCTTGCAGCTTGTCATCGATTGCCGTGGCGCCCAACAACTTCACCGGCCTGTGACAGCGACGACATGCGACACGAAAACGAAGTGATCGGTGATCCTTCTGAGCGACATGTACACATATAGACATTGCATATCTACTACCTATATATATATATATACATATACATATTAATCTATAAAAATTACATACACATATTACATACCTAATACATAGCTACATTTAAATACATTTAAGTGATTGCAACAAAGCTGGGCCTTTTTGTCTCCACTTCATTGGACAAGTCGTGGATCAGGTCAGCTCGATCCTGCCGTCATGGCTCTCGTTTCTTCCAGAATTCAGGGACTCAGCGACCCACGTTGAAATGTCATTGGAATATGTTGGAATGTGTTGTTTTTCGAGGCTAGGATTCGCAAATCGTGCCATGCGCCGAGGCGCCTCAGTTATCGTAGCCTTGGCTTTTTTGAAGCGGCTGTGCCAGTCCTGGAGATCTCTTGCGACGACGACAAGATGCAGACACAAACCTGTCCTCTTTGGCTATGTTGTAAAGATATTTAAAGTCCATTAAAGTCCTTTGTGTCTCCTTTGTGTCTGCACTATCCTCTTTCATGGTTTGCCAAACTAAAACAAACTGAGACAAACTAAGGCAAAGGCAAAGTGACTTTTGTTCAACTTTTGTTACAAAATGTTCATCGCAAACTCGCCTGAAACTCCTCCTCACTCAGGACACGCTCTGCCAGGCACAAAGTGCGAAGACCTGCAGATGTTCAAGTTTTCAGATGTTTTCAGCGCAGTCATCGCACGCTGAAAGCTCTAGGACTCGAATGTCGGCTTCGCCTTGTCGAGCGAATGTGAGAAGATGACTGTCACACTGCTCTTTGGCCGCCTGCCTCAGGAGATGTCACATGTCACGACTGGTGAATTTCCTGGCTTCCTTTGAGTCAAAAGTGTCGTCTTTACCGTGATAACAATTTTCAAGATCAACACAATGATCAAAATCACATAATTATATAGAAACAATGTGAAACGATGTGAAACGATCATGACAAATGCACTTTGGTTTCCGGATTTCGGCTTTCTTGGGTTTCTGGGGGTTTCTGGGATTTCTGGGGCACCGGGCTCCAGCACGTGTGGCAAGATGGAGCTGTCGGCGCCTTTCACGTAGAGCAGGATTTCCCCGCTCGGCATTCGGAGAAGGACGGACATCCGCTTTCGAACATTGTCAAACTCGCAGACCTCGCGGCTCCGGCTCCGTGCATTGACAAACAGGGCCATGCGAACAGTGGCTTGACGCTGAATATAGCTGAATCATGCTGAATCAAGTCATCTATTATCATAACAGAATATAACAGATGTCTATTCATATCTATTCCATCTGATGAAAGACACAACATCTCGATGCCACGAAACATCCAGAAGCTCAGCTTGGAAAGGACCACCTCGGAACCCATTCCAAATATTCCAAGAGGAGGGTAGGGCATCAAGAATGGGCACAGTTGGTGGCTGACATTAAGGATGAGGCTGCCATTGTAGCCAAAGGGTCCAAGAAGATCTGTGAAAACTTTGCTGACCCCGAGCTGCATTTGATTCTCAGCAAGCCGCAAGAACCTCAAGATCTCAAGATGTTCACAGCCAACTTCGACTTCAAGGCCGATGCCCAAAGGCAAGGCGTCAATCGCATTCGCATTCGCATCTCCAACCAGTGACAGCAAGTCATCATCGCATTCGCAGTAGCTGGGCTCCCCGGCTCTAAACCAAGCGCTCGAGCAGCACAGACCTAGCGCAAGGCTTCTTCTAAACAGCCAAACTTCCTAGCCAAGGGCCAAGAGTTCTTCAAGAAGTAAATGAACAAGACCCAAAAGAATTGAAAGTAAACTAGTCCAAGATATCCAAGTCTAATTCCATAACCAAAATGGAGTCAAACTCTGACATGGCACAAGTGCTAACTCATCTGGTGAGGAAGCGTTGTAGGGAGCTTCAGACGAGCTGGCCTCGATGCGGCCGAGGCCAAGAGATTAAGCAGAGTTTGGTCTCTACAAATCTCTACAGTGATCCTGATAAATATAAAATAATATAAATAGCTTGACAACTTAAAATACTTGATAAATAATTGATAAATATTGACCATTGCTAATCAGCTTGTGAGCAGAAATAGGTAGCTAGGGACCTCTGACCTTGCAATGCTGCTGCATTGTGGTGACTAGATGCTGTATACAGTATATGCAATGTATATGCAATGTATATGCAATGTATGTATATATATATATATGCTCTATACAGTCTATACATCTCAGATACATACTGCAACCGCCCATTCCAAGGCGGGAGACAGGTTCCACGGTGTGGCACAAGGCATGGCACATGAAGAATGACGTCAAGGTCTCTCGCTTGCCACCGTCGAGCCCCTTCAGGGCTTTCGACAAATACGTGGCATCCATATGTACCTGGAAACAGCTGAAAACAGGTGAAAACAGCTGAAACAGCTCACAGGTCTAAGCACCAAGGCTATCACAAAATCACAAGTGAAGAACGGCCAGTCACTCCTACAGGAAATACGGGTCAAGACCATGTACACATTGCTACAGACGCGGCAGACCAACTCTACACTTTTCTGCAGTTCTCTTCTCGAGTCATGAAGTGCTGTGAAATGTATTCCAATTATTTCCAATTATTTCCAATAATTTCCAATTTCATTAATGTGGCAATGCTGTCTAGGTGCATGAGCATCGTGCAGGACGGTATCTCGAAGACCTTCAAGGCCATAGATCTGTCCCACGGAACAACCTTTATATTCCTCAGTCGAAAAAGAAGAGTGGTTCAGTTTCGAAGCTGAGGCTTTCGAATGCTTTAGGACTATCTTTATGGAATTTTATGGAATCAAGAAGGGGATCCTAGACGGCAAATTTCGAAAAAGAAAAAAAAGGGGAAAAAACTTTCCGAAGAACTCACCAAAAACACTGAACATCAAGCCAGTTGAAGTATATTTGAAGTACAAGATTCCATGATATTCTGCGTAAGCGTGCCAGTCTTGTCAGAGAAAACGTGCGTGACTTTGCCCAGAGAGTCGATGACTTGACTGGTGTGGACCTGGGCCTTTCGACCTTTGCTAAAAGAACCGGTGTCCTCTTCCATCATCTTCCCCTGGCACCGGGAGCAGTCCAGCAGTCCAATGATCAAAAGAATATGAAAGAATATGAAAGATATGAATCGATTAGAATCGATTCTTGTTTCAAATTTTTAAAAGGACTTTGCTATCACAAGACTCCGCTGGAAAGGTGCAAGACTTGTTTCAATTAGGGTCGACGACTCTTTCCTCATTGTGCGTTTCTGAAAGGATCTCGCTTTGTCATAGCACAGGTATGTCCAAAAAGGTCCAAAACAAGAATTCAAAGTATCTCGCTTTCTCGGATGTCATCCAATGTCATCGCTGCCTGAGCGAATTTCACGACGGTGGTGGTGATCATCAAAGATATAGGCACCACGCTATTCAGCATCAGAAACCAAATGCCAACCTGTCGAAAAGGATTCAAATACCTGGGAACTCCTTCCAAATACCAGATGCGATGTCCAGCTAAACCTTGCCAAAAAAGGCTGCAGATAGAGATGAGAATGCAAATGCCAATTTGGGCCCCAAAGATCATGGCCACCACTTTGTTGAGGATCTCATCCAGGGCGCTACCCTTGAACCGCGCTGCTCGGGTGTTCTTGAAACTTCTCGTTTCCTTTCCCACGTAGACAGCCATGCAGTAGACCCACTGCGTCTGTTGCAAGGAAGTCCCACGCAACAACAAACTGCCAATACCCAGACCCCGTGACTGTTCCTCGGCCAGACCTGAGGACCAAAACTGATCAGAACTGCAAGTGACTACAATCTACATCCATTTACGACATGTGCACGAAAATCATGAAATACGAATTTCACATAGTTTCACTATCAAAAAAGTCAACAGTTTCTGTTTTTGTTTCTGTCCAATTTTTCCAAGTTACACAATGAGCTTTTAAAGGAGTACAGGTCTCCGTTGGGCGCTTCACACAGAAGACTGGGCGAGCATCCAGGCCCAATCCTCCGACAGTTCCAAGCCGCATCCTGATCTGATAGATGGATCAACATGATAGATGAATCTTGAAATATGTTGAAATCATGTTGAGTTCATCCGATCACTGAAACCGAGCAGCATGGAACTCCTCCGAGGTCATAGCAGCTGCTTTCTTCTTCAGATTTGTCTCGCCATCCAAATTGGCAGTTTCAACACAACAATGGCCATCCGGTCGAGATGAGACCAATAATAAGCAGTCCTCAGCTGGACCCAACCTAATCAACCTAAAATAGAATTGCCCATTGCTCACCAAAACCGGGAAGAAAAAAAAAACACGAAATTCCCGGCTTGCCTTAAACTGTGCGCTTTGCATAAGTTTCTAGTCGCTGCAACTCAAAACAACTATCTGAAGCAACTAGACAGTTTACCATATACATGCATATAACATACGTATGTATATAATAGATATTTGGAGTAGGGATGCCAGGGATTCAATAAGGATCACTGCACAAATCAAGTTGACTCTATAAATATGTATACATACATATTGGAAATACATTATGATGATGTAATTGTGTATATCCGCCGACCCCGGCCGACCGCAAGGGGGAGCGCGTCAGGGAAGAGAGGTTGTGGACAACAAGAAATACAACAACGGGTCGGGGACCAGCAGCAGCAGCAAAAGCCTCTGCAGCAGCAGGAGGAAAAGGTAGCCAAAATTCATAGCAGCAGCAAGAGGAAAAAGCAACCAAAATCATCATTTTCTATGCGTTTTCGTTAGGCATTTATGGGGTGCAATTTTGGGGTTTCTCCGTCCTTCACTGCCATGGTGTTTTCCCATCCAGCAGCAGCCAGCAGCAGGCAGGAGCAGGCAGCAGCAGGCAGCAGCAGGAGCGGCAAAGTTTCAATTTTATAGTAGGGTTTCAGAAGTGACGTTAGGCCCTTTTTTGGGGTTCCATTGCTACGTTTTTGCTCTTTCGGATGTGTTTCGAAAAGGGTGTCTGGCTGTTTGTTTCTTGCTTTGGAGGCTGTTTGATTGCAGCAGCACCACAGCAGCACCACAGCAGCACCACAGCAGCAGCAGGAGCAGCCACCAGTAGCAGCACCAGCAGCAGGCAGCAACAGGCAGCAAGCAGCTTCTGCCAGCAGCATGCAGCAGCAGGCAGCAGCAGGCAGCAGCAGGCAGCAGCAGGCGGCAGCAGGCAGCAGCCAGCAGCAGCCAGCAGCAGCCAGCAGCAGCCAGCAGCAGGCAGCAGCAGGCAGCAGCAGGCAGCAGGCAGCAGCAGGCAGCGGCAGGCAGCGGCAAAGTTTCAATTTTATAGTAGGATTTCAGAAGTGACGTTAGGCCCTTTTTGGGGTTCTGCATTCAACGCTGCGGCACGCTTGCGGATGGCAGCTTGGACTGTGGCCACATGACATGCGTTGCAGACCCGTGTGCCATGTTGACCCCGGCCGACGCAAGGGGGAGCGCGCCAGGGAATAAGACATTTTCCGCCGACCATTTGGAAGCTTGCAACAGCAGCAGCAACAGCAGCAGCAGCAGCAGCAGCAGGCAGCAGTAGGCAGCAGCAGGCAGTCACAAAGCCATGCAGCTTGTACTTATAAGGGTAAGCAGCAGGCAGGCAGCAGCAGCAATATGATGTTTCGCAGTCCGGGGCCCGCGTTTTTGTAGTCTAGGATTCCCGAAGAGATTCCCTAGGATTTAGGATTCTCTAGGTAGCAGCCAGCAGCAGCGAGTAGCCAGCAGGGCCAGCAGTCAAGAAGCAGGTAGCAGGCAGCCAGTCGAAGCCTGATGCACAAAAAAAGAGATATTTTTTCTAGGAATTCAGAAGGGACGTTAGGCAGTTTTTGTGGGTAAGTTTGAGCACGGTTTCGGCACGCAATTAGGTGCTGTTTTGCTGTGGCGAAGGGTCCCTTCTGGAAGCCTGATGCTTGCAGCTTGGAGCTACCAAACAAGAGCTGCAGGAGACAAATAAAGAGAGATTTTTTCTAGGCATTCAGAAGGGACGTTAGGCAGTTTTTGTGGGTAAGTTTGAGCACGGTTTCAGCACACAATTAGGTGCTGTTTTGCTGTGGCGAAGGGTTCCTTCTGGAAGCCTGATGCTTGCAGTTTGGAGCCACCAGACAACAGCTGCAGGAGACAAAAAAAGAGAAATTTTTTCTAGGAATTCAGAAGGGGCGTTAGGCAGTTTTTGTGGGTAAGTTTGAGCACGGTTTCGGCACGCAATTAGGTGCTGTTTTGCTGTGGCGAAGGGTTCCTTCTGGAAGCCTGATGCTTGCAGCTTGGAGCCACCAAACAACAGCTGCAGGAGACAGAAAAAAGATTTTTTCTAGGAATTCAGAAGGGGCGTTAGGCAGTTTTTGTGGGTAAGTTTGAGCACGGTTTCGGCACGCAATTAGGTGCTGTTTTGCTGTGGCGAAGGGTCATTTTTGTGGGTAAGTTTGAGCACGGTTTCGGCACGCAATTAGGTGCTGTTTTGCTGTGGCGAAGGGCCCCTTCTGGAAGCCTGATGCTTGCAGTTTGGAGCTACCAGACAACAGCTGCAGGAAACTAAAAAACAAAAAAAGATAGATTTTTTCTAGGAATTCACAAGGGGCGTTAGGCAGTTTTTGTGGGTAAGTTTGAGCACGGTTTCGGCACGCAATTAGGTGCTGTTTTGCTGTGGCGAAGGGTTCCTTCTGGAAGCCTGATGCTTGCAGCTTGGAGCCACCAAACAACAGCTGAAGGAGACAGAAAAAGAGAAATTTTTTCTAGGAATTCAGAAGGGGCGTTAGGCAGTTTTTGTGGGTAAGTTTGAGCACGGTTTCGGCACGCAATTAGGTGCTGTTTTGCTGTGGCGAAGGGTTCCTTCTGGAAGCCTGATGCTTGCAGCTTGGAGCCACCAAACAACAGCTGCAGGAGACAGAAAAAGAAGATTTTTCTAGGAATTCAGAAGGGGCGTTAGGCAGTTTTTGTGGGTAAGTTTGAGCACGGTTTCGGCACGCAATTAGGTGCTGTTTTGCTGTGGCGAAGGGTCCGTTCTGGAGGGCTGATGCTTGCAGCTTGGAGCCACCAAACAGCAGCTGCAGGAGACAGAAAAAGAGATTTTCTCTAGGAATTCAGAAGGGACGTTAGGCAATTTGTCTGGATAAATTTGAGCACGGTTTCGGCACGCAATTAGGTGCTGTTTTGCTGTGGCGAAGGGTCCGTTCTGGAGGACTGATGCTTGCAGCTTGGCGCCACCAAACAAAAGCTGCAGGAGACAGAAAAAGACAGACATTTTTTCTAGGAATTCAGAAGGGGCGTTAGGCAGTTTTTGTGGATAAGTTTGAGCACGGTTTCGGCACGCAATTAGGTGCTGTTTTGCTGTGGCGAAGGGTTCCTTCTGGAAGCCTGATGTTTGCAGCTTGGAGCCACCAAACAACAGCTGCAGGAAACAAATAAAATAAAAAAGAGAAATTTTTTCTAGGAATTCAGAAGGGGCGTTAGGCAGTTTTTGTGGATAAGTTTGAGCACGGTTTCGGCACGCAATTAGGTGCTGTTTTGCTGTGGCAAAGGGTTCGTTCTGGAGGGCTGATGATTGCAGCTTGGAGCTACCAGACAACAGCTGCAGGAAACAAAAAAACAAAAAAAGATAGATTTTTTCCAGGAATTGAGAAGGGGCGTTAGGCAGTTTTTGTGGATAAGTTTGAGCACGGTTTCGGCACGCAATTAGGTGCTGTTTTGCTGTGGCGAAGGGTTCGTTCTGGAGGGCTGATGCTTGCATGCAACTTGCAGCCACCAAACAAGAGCTGCAGGAGACAGAAAAAGTCGACATTTTTTCTAGGAATTCAGAAGGGACGTTAGGCAGTTTTTGTGGATAAGTTTGAGCACGGTTTCGGCACGCAATTAGGTGCTGTTTTGCTGTGGCGAAGGGTCCGTTCTGGAGGGCTGATGCTTGCAACTTGCAGCCACCAAACAAGAGCTGCAGGATACAGAAAAAGACAGACATTTTTTCTAGGAATTCAGAAGGGACGTTAGGCAGTTTTTGTGGATAAGTTTGAGCACGGTTTCGGCACGAAATTAGGTGCTGTTTTGCTGTGGCGAAGGGTCCATTCTGGAAGCCTGATGCTTGCAGTTTGGAGCCACCAGACAACAGCTGCAGGAAACAAATGAAATAAAAAAGAGATATTTGTTCAAGGAATTCAGAAGGGGCGTTAGGCAGTTTTTGTGGGTAAGTTTGAGCACGGTTTCGGCACGCAATTAGGTGCTGTTTTGCTGTGGCGAAGGGTTCCTTCTGGAAGCCTGATGCTTGCAGCTTGGAGCCACCACACAACAGCTGCAGGAGACAGAAAAATATTTTTTTTCTAGGAATTCAGAAGGGGCGTTAGGCAGTTTTTGTGGGTAAGTTTGAGCACGGTTTCGGCACGCAATTAGGTGCTGTTTTGCTGTGGCGAAGGGTCCGTTCTGGAGGGCTGATGCTTGCAGCTTGGAGCCACCAAACAGCAGCTGCAGGAGACAGAAAAAGAGACTTTCTCTAGGAATTCAGAAGGGACGTTAGGCAGTTTGTGGGGATAAGTTTGAGCACGGTTTCGGCACGCAATTAGGTGCTGTTTTGCTGTGGCGAAGGGTCCGTTCTGGAGGGCTGATGCTTGCAACTTGCAGCCACCAAACAAGAGCTGCAGGAGACAGAAAAAGACAGACATTTTTTCTAGGACTTCAGAAGGGACGTTAGGCAGTTTTTGTGGATAAGTTTGAGCACGGTTTCGGCACGCAATTAGGTGGTGTTTAAAATTGCCACAACTTCCAAAGCACACCTAAGTAAGTTTGAGCACGGTTTCGGCACGCAATTAGGTGCTGTTTTGCTGTGGCGAAAGGTCCGATCTGGATGGCTGATGCTTGCAGCTTGGAGCCACCAAACAACAGCTGTAGGAGACAGAAAAAGATATTTTTTCTAGGAATTCACAAGGGACGTTAAGCAGTTTGTGTAGATAAGTTTGAGCACGGTTTCGGCACGCAATTAGGTGCTGTTTTGCTGTGGCGAAGGGTCCGTTCTGGAGGCCTGATGCTTGCAGCTTGGAGCCACCAAACAAGAGCTGCAGGGGACAGTAATTCACGAGCTCAAGACCCAGACTCTGGTTGAAGTCGTCGAGGAACTGCTCAGGGGGGTGAAGGGGTTTGGTGGGTGGGTGTTCTTACTATATCAAAATATCTTGTCAAATATATTGCATTCAAAAATATTAAATATACCTTATGAAATACTGAAGAATATTAAGGTCAATCTTGTGACCTTGGTAATCCACCGACTATGTCACTTTGTCCGAAGTCTCTGGCCTTCCCCAGCTTCTTCACATTCTTTTCCGGGGTCGGCGGCAGGGGCGGCAGCCCTTAAATAAAATGTCACAAATCCAAGTGCAAAAAAAACCAAGAGCACTTGGGTGTTTTTAAAGCTCGGTGTACAAAAAAAGGTCTCCTGCTGACTCCTGTGATCGCTGAGATACAGCAGGGATCCGCTCTCCATCCATGACCTTCAGCACCATCCCAGGTGAGACATCGCCCCAAGCAATGGCCGTCTCGTTCAGGCCGCTGTCGACCATGATGGTCTCAGATGAGAAGAAACACGCGAGATGAAACACACTTTGCTACGGACTTTGCTATATCTTTAACATGTTTTTCCGGACTTTTGCATGTCTTCATTGTCTTCCATCTAAGAGATTCTAAGAGTGGTTTCAAACGTCTGGGCTTTGAAAACATGCAGCAGGATGCAGGATGCAGCAGGATGCAGCCAAGTCACCGTGCGGTTATTCTCGACTTTATCTGACTGGACTCGTGCTGAGTCTTCGAACAAATCTTTCACTGCTTGCATGGAGACAACAGCACTGAGAGGCAGTAACGTTGCAGGCTTTCCCTGGGTGTTGCTGATGGAGGGTATCAGCTGTCCAACAGCCACCATCAAAAAATATAGATTCCCAGATTGACTGAATTGCTCCAGTAGATTCTTCGGGAGAAAATTGTACCATGTGTACTTGTTGGTCTGGATGTGGTTCCTCTGCCGTTCTGAAGAAAACAGCCTTACCACGCGAGCATCTTCCTCCATGGCGTTTTGGCCCAGCACATTTGCCGTGAGAACTTCGTGGAAACGTTGCTTCGCTGGCCACTGCCCTGCCTTATCCTGCCTTTCTGATCGTTCTGTCCATTCGTTCAAGTCGTTCAAGGTCTAAGTATGTCTAAGTATGTCTAAGTATGTCTAAGTATGTCTAAGTATGTCTAAGTTATCTTTATGATCTTTGGGTATCTTTGGTATGCTAGTCATATGAGAAGAAATCCCGGTGCCTGGAAAGCGGTGCTTGAGAGAGAAAAACATCATCATGGAGAGAGGATGTGCCAATCATGACTTGGCGCCATTGAGCATCACCTTTGAGTTGGCTTGCACCGAAGACAAATGCCATTGCTATCCATTGCTAACATGTCCTACAACGACTTGTCAGGCTTCATGAGAAAGGGGAACGATGCCGGTCGTCTCACCTCCAACAGCCTGGCAGCGATTCTGCAAGGCACGTCGTTTTTTATCGTGGCTCTTTGATCTCTTTGATCTCTTTGATCAGCTTCTCTACAGTGGGTCGTCCTGTGTTCTTCCAATCCTCAACAGCAGCATCAAATTCCGGCGTTCCGGGTTTCAGGGAGATGTCTTTTCCCACCAGGTTGCTGCCCATCCCCACCACTACTGCACCTGCTTTAAGCCATCCAGATGCATTCTTTGGGGATACAGAACCTGAAGGCAAGATGTTCAAATGGTCCCCCAGAGGTTTGATATCCAACATGTGTTTCAGGATCATCGGCGAGGTCAAACCTGCATGAAAGAGCTTGATGAGTCGTGCGCCACGGCGATGCATGGACCAGCATTCGTTGCTGGTGAAGGCTGAAGGAACGGCCAAAACCCCCAGACTTTTGCAAACGTCGATGAAACCAATGGGATCGATGGGAGACAATGCAAAGGATGCACCCAAAGATTGTGCCACGGCAACTTCAGAGACCGTGTCATCCATCACTGTCCCAATGCCAAGCAACACATCACTGTCGAGTCGTTCACGCAAACCCGACAAGATTTCCTTCCAATCTGGGCTGTCGATGGTGACCTCCATAGCTTTCACTCCCATCTGAGCCAATTCCACGCCTCGGTCAATGGCCACTTGAGCTGAACCTTTCACACGAAAGATCGCCAGCAGCGAAGCTTTCTTCATCTTTTCCAATGTCACCTCGATGCTCGTAGATGGCAGACTTTTTGGACTTTTGGGCACGTGGCTCAGTTGACTCAGTTGGCTGTGATGGGGTTTGGTCTCCCAAACTCCCCACTCTCCGGTCCCAGCTGCAATAGAAGCTTCTGCTGCACGCAGATCTGCCACTGTAACATGCGAAAAGTCGCCCTCGGTGTTTTGGCAAAGCGCCGCGACTAGATCTGCATGACGCAAAGCTTTGATGAGTTGTTGAGATTGTTGAGGCTCGTCCTGGAGAGCGATGATGATGCCAGCAGCCCAGGCGCTTCCACCTCCACATTCATCCTTTGGAACGTGATAGATGGGAGCAGATTTGCATTGAATGTCAGCTTCAACCATCAAACTCCAGCGACACTGGATACCTTCATCTCGAGTCTTTCGGCACATGGCCACACGTCTGCACTTCACTTTTTGCTGCAAGCGTGACATCACGGCGAAAAATGCGTCATCGTCAGCAGCCGAAAGATCTGTACCCAGGAGCTCTGCCAGTCCCTGCAGCTGATCCACCGAAAGAATCAACAGTTCCAAAGTGTCCAACACAGGCATCACAATGCTCCAAAGATCCGATAAGGTACCTGCAGGGGAACCAGGTACTTTTTACTTGAAGTAAGGCATACTAAGGCATAATAAGGCTATGTGGAAAGGATTGGAAAGGATTGGAAAGGTCTGGGTATTGGGTTTTGCACTCTCTAAATTCTAAATCTCAATGCAGAAAAAAACCATCCATCATCCTCATCCTGATTCCCTTCACCATCCCGACCGCTGGGCGACAGCGGACTCTCCTCACCTAGCTGTTTTCTCCAGTTTAGGTCCAACGAAGTGGGTAAACCCAGATGCCGCGCTTGTTGCAGCGCTGCCAACCAACTCTTCTTCGCCGGGTCGCCCAACAAAGGCGTGATGCCACTGACGTGGAACCACGAAGCGGTCGAAGCGTCGCCCAACTCCACGGGCCACCGCAGCTGATCTGCACAACGGGCAAAGGCCGAGAAGCTCCTGGAAACATGTCATGAATGTGCAGAAACCATGAGAAACTGAGAAACTAAGGGTGAAGACTGACGGTGAAGTTTTCGTGACGATGAAGAGGTGAAAACAAATCGAATCCCGACCTCGGAACCTCGGAACCTTGGAACCTATAGCCGTTGCTCTGCTGGGTGCAACTAGTAAACAACTGTGGAACCACCAAGTTGGAGCAAGAACCACTGTATTTTTGACAGCTGTCATCGGCAGTCGGCAGAGATCGAAAGTGCTCCTCTGGTAATGAACGGACTTGGACTCGGGCAGCACGGTGAAGATGCCCAGGTCTCCCTCCACGTTGGTCAAGCCTCGAAATCTAAAACTGACATTCGACAACTGAAACTCGAAGCATTCGAACTTCACTGATCATTAGGTTGACGGCGGTTGACGCGTCTGGGCATCTCACCACTGATGTGAAGCAAAGGAGATATCTCACTGCAACTCATCACCGCTTGGCCCAAGGGACCTGCGCCAAGCTGAGAATCCCGCAGAAAATCTTGCCTTCAATGGGAATCATGGATTCTGTCTCCTGTTCTACAACGAAACATCCTGCCTTTGGGCACAACACCTTGGGAAAACATGAAAGCACAGTAAAGCGCAGTAAAGGCTAAAAATGACGGCCCAAACCATTGTTTTGTTGGGTGACACAGCGTCTAACTATGCAGTTTTGGCATGCTTCAACTTCAGATTCAAAAAAAAACAACATGGAACTATCTGCCACGGAGTCACTAACCCACTTGCTTTTCACACCCAGCAAGGACAAAGCAACAGCCACATTCAGTTCATCTCCACCTGGTGGCATGTTGCACCAATCACTGACTCTTGTGCTGGTTTGCCAATAAACTTGAGCAGCATTGTCATCCATCAAAAGGCAAGCCTAGATGCATTTGTTTCAGCATCATGTCTCCAATATCTGCAGCCATCTTTGGGATCTTTCGTTTATCTAACATCCATAATTCATGATAACACTATAATACGCATTTGCCTTTAGAACATAACTATATCTGCATAGATATATATAATTATATATATAATTGAAATTGAAATATCATGACAATGTCCCTCATGTTCAATAAGACAATATACAGTCGCTATATGGAAATCCCCCCGGCTGCGGCAGGTGCGCACCGACGGAGCGGAGGAACTTCTGCGGCAGCTGCGGCTTGGTGTGCTCCAAGGGCTGGAAGCCTTGGCGATGTAACGCCTCCGATGTCAACAAGTACTATCGGATTACCGGATTACTATAGACAGATTACTATATATTATGACTCAGGTGACTATATGATATGACTATATATTATGACTATATATAATATGACTATATAATATGACTATATAGATTACTATTTGGTACCATACAGTAGGGTAGTTAGATTCAGAACGGTCAATCATTCGTTGCCCTGGTCGATGGGGACTAGCTCAGCTCTCTACGAATCATCGCTTCTCCAAATGTCACCACGCAGAAGTCAATGCTTGTCTTCGCCTGGCGATGTTGATCGTTGCTCAGTGGCCCGACATATCCCAACATGAATGGCAGGCAAATGAACTAAAACATAAATATGATTAAAACAAACGAAGTGACTTGCAGCTGTCCTTCTTCCTGACTGGTTCCATGGCAACCATTCCAGTCGATTGCGACGGCTAAGCCGCCCCAGTAGCTCTCAATTTATCCCCGTGTGTGTAGTACACGGTAAGTGTCCGTGAGGTGGCTCTGCATTTCATCCGAAAGAAATTGATCATTGAACGTACACCGAATGACATTGATCGTTGATGCTACGAATACGGATTCTTCAAATAAATTCGCGCCATTTATTCTGTCATGCCGAGTCATTCCCAATTTGTTTGATGTACCCAACAGGAAAGGAGCGCAAGGAGCGCAAGGAGCGCAAAGCTGCGGTCAATGGTATTTATCACTTTCCACTCTGGTGACTTTTTCATGGCGCAAATTGTGCAAGTCATTTAGAGCCTTCCGGACAGGATCACAGTGATTTTATCGCGACATTTTGCACATTTTATCACAGGCTCACAGCTTTCTGAGCGCTGTAAAACATGCTATTTACATGTCAAATCACAGTGAATCACAGTGAAACTGGATCCAAATGATCCAAATGATCCAGACTGACCAGAAACTCACTTTGCTGGTGTCTGGCTGAAAAACGTCGAAGCTCGGTTTTTTGGAGCCTCCTACACACCGCATCAAAATGCCAGAGGTTGACAAATGCACTGAAATGTACTGTAAGCGTATGTCAAGGTATAAATAGTAGAAATGTATATGTACTGAAATTCAAATTAAAATCATAAATGATATAAATGTAATGTGCAAGGAGAAAACAGGTGGCATCCAGTCCTACGGACCATCCATTAGCTCCAAATCATCTTCCGTCACATCTCGCAGTGCCTTACCAGGTCACCAGTGCCGAAATTGGCAAAAAATCACCGCATTGGCAAAACATCCAATGGCATAGAAACTTCACCAAACAAAGCTTCCATGCTTCGAGCATGGTCGCAAAAACTGCACGGCAACCCCTGCCTTGTGAACACCTGCCTTAGAATTCCAAGCTCAGAAACTCAGAAATCCAAAGACAACGCTGTCAAGATCTGTCAAGTCCGACTAAGTCAAGATAAGTCAAGTGTTTCGCTTGGATAGAAATTGTGATGGAAGCCCCTCGGCCCAGAACCCACTTCCAAGAGTCATCTGCTTGAGGCTCTTCTGGCTCCTGCAAACTCTTCGTGACAAAAAGAGTTGGAATATTTGGAATTGGCTTTGAAATGATGATAGTGGATTTTAATGAATTTCAATAGATTTCAATATGTCGATTTCATAGGTCATGGTCACATGGTCACATCTCCATCTCCTCCAGCTGCGCCTCTTGGAAGATGAACGCCTGCACTGCACCGTCGACACGTCTGAGGTCTCCGACACGTCGCCATGCTGCCACGCCGCGCCTTCAGCGTGCTGATGCCTTTGCGCATTTTGTCCGAGGACATCTGCCTGGCACAGTACCATCTGGCACCAGCAGATCATCAGTGAACATGTAAAAAAACGTGAGAAATGTGAGAAGCGCACGGAAGCTGTGACGACGCGACCCCACAACTTTCTCCAAGGCACAAGGCTTCAACTGCTCCCAGCTTCCCCAGCTGCACGAACTCGTTGCGGGTGATGTGACCTACCTCGGTTCGGACACGGACCATTTCGTTGTCACTTCCTGACATGTAAATGAAGTTGACCTCGGAGGTTTAAAGATGTAAAAAAAATGGAACACCACGATTACATCTGATTTGTTCTGATTTGTTCTGATTTGTTCTGAAGATATGTCAGATGTCAGATGACGGTCCTTGCTGATCTGCTTGGCCCGATACGTGAGATGCGTCCAGAAAGTTGAAGAGGAGCCGTGGATCAAATCGGCCCTGTCAAGTAAATGAATACGGACCATCTGGGTAGCTGTATGGAGACATAGTATGGATGTGATATAGAATGATAGTTGCAATAGTGAATGATGGTCCGATGACATAGATGGAACATAGATGGAACCCATGTTCCCATGAGCCTTGAATCCACACATTCTGCAGGCATTGATAAAGTCCTGCCCAGAGAGGCCACGGCCTGGTCGCGGCACACATGTTTAATCGAATCTTCAACCGATGTGAATCTAATCACTTCCGACTTTCAGCATTTCCCATCATTTCCCAGCCTTCGCGGCGCTTTCGCCTCTTCTCCGGAATGTCCTTCAAGTCCGTTCCGCCCATGTCGGGCGGCGGCATCTTCTGCTCGAAGGCATCGTAGGCATCCTGTGTGTCTCCGTGTGTCTCCGTGTCAGAGCCGAGTCCACGAAATTCGAAAGTTGAAGATGAAGTGAAGTTCGTGTATCAGCATGAAGATGAAGTTGGTGTAACAATTCTCATCTTAGTGTATCTTTGGACGACCTTCATCCAAACATATCCAAACCATTTCTACCCTGGAAGCATTGCAGGACCTCCAAATTCTCGTATTTGTCCACGAGATAGTCTCGAAGTTTTTTCACCTTGGGCAAACAGAAACATACAGAAACCAGAGCCTGTGAGGCAATCGGATCTCAAATCTAAGTCGTGTGAGTATTCTGAGTTGTACCCAGTTCCGTGAAACCGGGGCACAAACGTCATCAACGAAATCCCGTCCATCGAAGTTTCCGAGAAACTCAAACTCTTTGCCTCAAGAAGTTGCAGACAATCGATCGCATGTGAAAGCGCAAAGCACAATGCAATAAATATAGCAAGTCCTGTCCAATCATCGTTCCAATCATCATTCCAATCATGATCCCAGGAACAAAAGATTCGCTTGCTTGGACTATATAAACTCAATCGTCAGAAGGCAATCTCTGAAACAAAAAAACAGAATTCAGCTTGCCAACCATTGAGTTGCAAACTTGTCAGCTGACCAGAGAAATCCTGAGACGCCCAGGAGCGGAAAGAGTGCATGAAATAATTCAAAGTGGATGCAACCACGACGGCAAGTGCTGTAGCAAGGTGAGCTGGCCTTGTCAATGAAGAAAAAACACACCTTGACATCCTCTTCATCTGCATAGCCTGAGCATCAAGAAGTGAAATGTTCTGGAAAACATGATCCATTGCAAGTTTTTAGATCATGAAAACTTGTGTCAACGTGACCAAACACAAAAGTAGATCTGAAAGGCAGCGCAACGGCCATACGATGTCCCTTTGTTTCCAAGAGGGACAATCCGGTCAGGCCTTGTGGGCCCATCATGAAGTCCATCCATTCCTGCTGTCGAATTTGTTGTGATACTAACCGTTGCACTAACCGTTACCAAACAGGTCGTCTCGTTTGATGTGGTGACTGATCCTGGCGATGTAAATGCGACGCGCCTGCGTGGTTAAAGAACCTGATCGATCAGCGTCCATAAACCTGATCCAAAAGCTTAAAGGCTGCCTGCAAGTGCACTGCAAGTGCACTGAATGAGATGACACTTGCACTACTCAGAGCCACACTTAAAGGCTGCCTTTCCAAAAGCAGGTGTCATCTCTGCTCGACAAGACAAGACAAGACAAGACAAGACAGGAATCATTTTGTCTGGGACACGATTTTGGCTGCAGGTGAGTGGTAGTCTATCAAGCACCACATCAAGGACCAAATGAAATTCATGGGAGTCACACAAAGCAAGCAAGCCAAAAGAGTCTATTCAATAGAGAGGTTCACAACTCCAAAAAGTTGCGGATTATCATTTGGACGGAACACTTCAGAACACTTCCACCTTCAGAGTTCCAAAACGATCTTCCAGGAATGTCCTCACTCGCTCCACTCGTTGAAGCCTTGGGATCCAAAATGTGACGGTGTCAGCTGTGGCATCTGTAGTTTGTCATTTATATTCATTTATGTCACAATTTATGTCATAATTGGTTCAGGATCAAACTGGAAGTAGGCGCTCAGAATGCTGAAGCCTCAGAGTTTTACAGCTGGTTCACTTTTGAACTGGAGGCATTTGCTGAGTTATCCAACAGAAATTCATTGACCATCCAAGACTTAAGGACAAATCTCGGTGTGTGTGATGCAATATCTCTGAAATCCATTGAAATCCAGAAACTGCGGCACTATGTTGCTGCTTAGTTGCAGTAAAATTCGCCCTCGACGATACTTCCGTCCACTTGGATATCCAAGCCTTCGCACGCAAACTCGTGACGTGAGCACAAGTAAGTGACAAGTAAGTGGTGAAAGAAAGAGATGTGCAACCAGTCTTTAAGTACATTACATCTAAATAAATATACGTACATGTTTATATCATGGAAATATATAGAGTATGTATAAATTAAATATGATTAAATATACGGAGTATATCTTACATCTGTATACATCTGTAAAAATCACTTCCTGAGTCCTTGACACATGAAGAGCTCCAGTGCAGGTCCTTTGTTGGGATTCAAGCCAGCAGGATGCCGTGCCTGCCCGAGCTGTCTGCTGAACATTGTGTAACATGAATGCCAAAATGCACGTTATATTCTTCTAATTTCGTAATATGTATAAATTCTCATACTCCCTGCAGACCATGCCGCAATTCCACGATCTTTCATGATCTTTCATGATTTTTCATGATCGTTTCGTCTCTCTCAATTTCTCTCAACTTCTCTCAGTCGCCTTTCGCAGGGCCCGCCGGAACTCGGAGAAACTCGCCTCCCCAGACCTCGGGACATCGACATCGACACGGCGCACGGCCGTGTCTTCGACTCTTCGACATTCGACCCGGCGGTCGGACCCGTCGCGGTCCATGTACTGCCACAACTCCGCCCTCGGTGACGGAACAAGGTGTAGCATTGCAGCATTGCAGCATTGCGGTAGCATTGCGGTAGCATTGCGGTAGCATGTTGTAACTGTTTTAATTCTGTTTTTCGCTGTTTTTCTGCATTCTAAAGGATCAAAGGGAAACTCTCTGACGAAGCTCTCCACAGCTTGAAGGCTTTTTAGATGTAGATGGTAGGCTAGTCACACAATGTCACACAAGGGATGAACTGATTTTTGATGTTGTTTTTCAGCATGTTTTCAACGTATTCGGTTTTACTGCTGCGAAGTTTCAATGGCGACCTCTTCTTCTGAGCTTCGGCCTAGCACACGATGCACACGGCACCCAGCAGTGATCACAGCCATGGCATCGGCACCAGCCTCCGCAACTCGTGCCGTGAGCAGCGCTTCTTCCTCGTGACCTGGACGAATTGATGGAAAAAAAGAGAAATGAAGAGATTTTGAAAAGAATTAAAGAGAAAAAATGAAAAGTTCTGCAAAAAAAAAGAGTTCAACAGCGCTGTCGGTTGCACCTCCAGCAGCTGCTTCTGCTTCTGCTCTTTCTGCAGCTGCTTTGGCCCTGCGAGCCTCAGAGCACAGAGCACAACTCGGAGCAACTCACTGGGGTTATCCACGTTTAACAGTTTAACCATGTTTAACAGTTAAACGTCTAACGAAGAACATAGAAAAACATAGAAAAACAACATAGAAGAACTGAGCAATTGGAATGAAGGCCTAATGTGGCTTAATGGCACTTGCAATCATTTGCAATCATTTGCAATCATTTGCACCTTCCAATCACACAGCCACATCCGAAGACGGTCTAGATCCTCACAACCCATTCACCGTCACTCTGTGTCTGACTGCCATGGGAGTGTGACAATGAAACATGTAAAACGAAACCGTCCTCCTCAATAATTATGAGAAACCTCCGATACAAGAAGAAACTAAAGCCTTTATTCTGGGACATCTAATGAACCTAGGCTCCTATGAATCATTGTTTCATATTAGAACCTCCTCTTTTTTCTGGCCAAACCGCAATGAAAAACTGAAAAGCATCAGATCATTGATGAAAATGTTCAATCACCCAGTGGAGCCCAGTCCTCCAGTGACCCGGCACCATCAACAAGCTCCAGCATCTGCAGGTGTTGTTTTCTGTGAGACAAGTATTCTATTAAAGTGAGCAGAAAAACAGAATGTCTAAAGTCACTTTCTAAATGTGTCGAAAGTATGTGTCTAAAGTATTCTAAAGTTTCCAAATATGTTTGAAAATTTAATGCATTGATTCATGGAGCTTCCATCAATCCATCAAGCCTGGAGCTCAGATGGTGAGATCGATCCATTTCCGGACTGGTCCTGCAGATTCGGGTTCCGGACATCGTTGAATCAAGACGAAAGATATCCAAAGATGCAATAATTGATATATAATTTTATATATATAATATGATGCAATAATGATGCAATAATGTGACACTACAAGCACAAGATGCTTTCAACTGAGTTCCAGTGGATAAACTGCACAAGAGTGTCGATGCTTCATAATTTTCATCCCTGTCCAGGAAGTCAAATATGAGCTCTGCCTCTGCAAATGAACGCTCAATCGGTGCTGAACAGTGCCTTTGACATCTTTGACATCTTTGACCTGTTCAAATCCAAGGATGAGGCGTAGTCATCCGTGTAGCCGTAGCCGAGCCTGACAAGAACCAAGGATTTTTTGTGGAAATGCTGAAATGCTGAAATGCTACTCTGCTACTGATATTCAGATGCCTCCGCAGACCTTCACAGAACTGCATCTTGTTCAGGTCCTGCAAAAGGCCACATGATGACAAGGAACAGATGAAGATGACAAGACAATACAAGGCACATCATGTCGGGATGTCGCGATGTCGCGCCTTGTTTTTCTTTCTTTTGTTGGCGGACTTCTTGGCCCGGTACCTTTGTCCAAGCACTTGGCATCTGTGGCCGTGGCCAGCTGTGTCCAGCTGTGTTCAGCTGTGTCCAGCTGTACCTGGGCACCTGGCGCCGTCAGCAACATCGATCGCATCCGATCAGCCAAGGGCTGAAGGCTATCATTGTGAGATGGTCCCCAGCAATCCTGGCCATGATCGATCTCTGTTCTCAACACTTCTAGATCCGATTGGAAATCCAAAACAATCTTGACAAATCCTGACATTGCTGGAGATAAAGAAGAAAAACCAGGAGTTAATTCGAAGTTTCTGCTTCTGTGTTCAATGATTTCTTGTGAATGATTACTACAAGTATCAAGGTTCAAGAATGTGCAGCAAAAGTAGACATTCGAAAGACATACATTGCCAACGTCGTCACAGCAATTGCCACCTGGCCCGGAAGCAGCAATCGACGACAGTGGTCTGGTGTGGACAAGGCAAAGTCCATCAGAGAGCCCAAAACTGGCATCATCTCCTGAACAAAGTTGCCAGTTTTGCCAGTTATGAAAGTGCGCTGCAATTTGTTCTAGAAAAGTGATGACTTGTTCCATACAAGATTTGTGCAATATCCGTTCCCGACATAGGGTGCAACTGTTCCGGCATTGATGGGCTACAGATGCAGTCTATGCTTTGCCTAGAAAGGTGAAGTAGGTCTCTGTGCCTCCTGTGTGCCAAAGTCCAGCACAGAATCCCTGACACACGTTCTGACAGTTGGAAAAAAGGCAAATTTTGCTGAATGAGTTTGGCTCAGCTTTTGTTCCACAGTGCTTCATCGAGAGAAGATTCATATGTTATATTATGTGTATATATAAAATACTGTATATGTGTTATATATATTGTGAACTTTCATGCATGTATCCATGCCTACCTTGATGTGACTTGCCTTGCATGTGCAGAAAGCCTTGTCTTGCCGGTCCCATGACTGCCCAAGCACCAGCGGAGGGTTGTGGTTGCGGCATTTTGGTGTTGGACACCATCGGTGCGAAAGCCATAGTGTTTCGGGGAAACATTTGCGGTGCAGCTGCGGTTTGGGAGTGTGGCAGGGCCCCTCTACAGTATCTGGTTGAATATTACATAGAAGGTTGGACCATCTATCATTTCGACTACTTGCAATTTGGGAAATTGCCAGCTACCAGGGTGATTTGGTTCCACGCCAATCACACTGGTAGCGGAGCCCGGTGCTCCAGCTCCGTTTGCTCCTTTGAGCACAGTTTTGCTGAAAGAGTGAGATCCAGGACCAATGAGCGGTAGCGTGCAGACTGCAATCGAAACACCAGTGCCTGGGGACGAACCAAGTCCCGTTGTCCAGCAGCTCCCATGGAATAGCATACCGAAGTTCACACCAGGGGTGACCAATGTCCAGGAGTATGTTCAGAAACTGAAGTTTTTAGCTGCAATGTGGCCAACCGACCACCTTAGCCAGCTCGCACCACGAGCAGCCTTGCTTGTGGAGGGTACGGCCTTCAAGAAGGTAGCCAGATTGGACCCTGCAAAGCTTCGAGTTAATGATCAGACCGGCATAGCCCTCTTGGTTGATGCAATCGGAGGTTCATGGGGTGCTACTGAACTTGAAGAAAGATATGAGTTTTTCGAAAAAGCACTGTATGGTACAGTCCAAAGGAGTGATGAATCCCATGATTCTTTCCTGTCCAGAATGGAAGCCAGCTTTGTGGAGCTGTTGAATCGTGGAACAAAGCTTGAGGAGGTGCAGGCCTATGTTCTTCTCAGGCAATCGTTGCTCTCCGCCGAAGACAAGAAGAGAATCCTTCTTGAGCACTCTGGTGAATTGAAATACAACCCAGTTGTCAAGTCCTATCGACTGCTTGGAAGTAAGTTTTTCTCAGAGGTTCAAGGGAATCGCCCAGGTGCCAAAACCAAGGTCTATGATGTCAATGTGTCCGAAACGATTGACTATGACTCCAGGTCCCTTGATGATGTGTCAGCAGAGCGTGCCTTTGTGACTTTGACTGAGGAACCCGACCTTGACCTCGATGTCGAGTTCATGGACATCATGATTGCTGCTGAGGACCCGGATGCCTTGACAGTAAGCTCCTTTGAACAAGAACTAGAAGAGTTCTTGCAAGATGTTCCGGATATGCATGATGCTATGGTCTCCTATTTGGAGGCACGTTCCAAACTGCTGGAAAAACGCCGCAGCCGCGGCTTTTGGCCTGTGAAGTTTGGTGACAAGGGTGGCAAAGCAGGTGGCAAGTTCAAGGGTCGTGGAAAGGGGAAGCGTCAAAGGGAGCAGCTTCTCTCTAGGATCGCCCGATCCACGTGTCGCATTTGCCATCAGAAGGGCCACTGGAAAGCTGAGTGTCCTAACCGGGACAAAGCACCTGACATGAATTCCACAGCAGCCGCCAACGTAACCGAAGAGATGCCCGTTGCCGATGTTCATGAAGTCCTTTCTGAACCCGAGTCCTTGCCCTCCGGAGCCGAAGATGTCCAGGGTTTCATGTCTCAAAGTAATGTTGTGTACTCCATGCCCATGCACCATAAGAAAGATGAAACCATACATGATGCCTATGTTGTACAAGCATTGCATGATCCCATGGTAAAGAATAAACTCAGGGATAGGATCCGAAAAGTGTTTGCTGGCGTCCACAGCCAGCCAGAGCATCCGACACTGCCCAGGTATGTTTTCCCAGTGAACGGCAGCCGAACCGACCGGCAAAGCCCTGCTTTGAGTGTTCCAAGAGCTTGGAAACAGCCTGAACCGTTGCCAGATGTTTGCAATTTGGCCGCGTCATGCAACAAGCCATGTCATGCCATTTTAGATACAGGAGCCAGTCGATGTGTCATTGGCGAAAGGGTGTGGCTGAAGTTGTTTGAACAGTTGCCAGAGAGCCTTCAGAAGAAGATCCGTAGGAAGCCCAGTCAAGTCAAATTTCGTTTTGGAAACAACCAAACCCTCCAGAGTGAATATCAGGTTCAAATGCCCATGCAAAGTTCCCAAGAAACCGGCCGAAAGCTCCTTTTGACAATTGAAGTTTTGCCTGGGAGTACACCATTTTTGTTCAGTAAAAGGGCATTCAAGCAACTCGGGGGAATTTTGGACACTACCAACGATACCTGTTATTTGCAAAGACTTGATCGACGGATTCCACTTGAGTTGAATGCAACAGAATTGTATCTCATTGATGTTCGTCAGCTGTGTGCTTCGCCATCATCAATCAGTTTTTTCAAATCATTTTCAAAGCTTGACAATTCATGGAGTGATCAATCGAGGGGAGTGAATTGTTCACAGGGTCCTGTGTTGTCGCCTGAAGTTCCAAAGAATGAAACACATGTGGAAAATATCGCGCTGACTTTGGCTAAGCCAGCATCCAAACCTGCCGTATTACCTGTGCCTGATCCGCCGTTGCCAGTTGACAAATATGCCGACTGCTCCCATGATGGGCTCACTGCGCACTGTGGCGGAAGCCGTAGTGAGTCTCCTGACCATGTTGCTCCAGTTCATGATTCAGCAGTTGGAGATGCACCCCGAGAGTCCCGAGAATCCGCCAGAAATGATGCATACACTCTCAAGCATGGTTCAAGAATTGCAGAATCAACGAATGATGTTACAGAGCCTCATGTCCCAAGGAAGCCATCTGCAGATTGCCCGAGATTCAACTGGCGCTTCAATGCCAACAGAAGGCTCACCCGTGCGTCCTGCTCCGAAGGCACCACCAGCTGCCCTCATGCCAAGGATTCAAGATGTGAACAGCCTGTCAATGTCCTCTCAGAGAGTGTCTCAAGCACTGCAACGTCAGAGCGAGAGCACGGCACCGGAGACAGCAACTGTGGTCTCCAGCCGTGTGACAAACTGGCAAGTCTTGGAGGAAAGCGAGGAGGAGGTGATTGTGGATATCGATGGACGTCGCCTGGAAGTGAGTCCGGCAGTTCCAGTTTTGCCATTGAACTCGGCTCCAAGAGCCTCTGCACAGATGACAATTGGGGATTGGGGCCAAGTAAGAATCAATTGGGGAAAGAAGCACAAAGGAGCAACATATGCCCAGGTCTACCACCGCGATCCCGGATACTTCCAGTGGGCCAATGCCCGCTACGAAAGCCTGACACCGGAGATTCAGGATTTTGTCAAATACTGCCGAGTGCAGAAAGACCTGGAGCAACATGCCTAGAATCCCAGAAGTTTGTACGTGTCAGGGATCAAGAGTTCCATGATGAGGTTCATCAAGTTCGTCAACAATTGTTCAACAGTGAGGGTCTTGATTTGTTCAATGTGAGTATTCAAAATTCTTTGAACATGCAAAAGGGATTCTTCATGAAGCTTTTGTGCCCCCAACCTGGAGCCTGCCCCGAAAGCCATGCATTTTGCTGGAAGTGTATGCCGATTCAAACAGCCCACTGACTGATGCCATGAACCATTTGGGTTACTTTGCCATCAGGTTTACTCGAAAAGATGGAGACCTGTCCACCACCGAAGGACGCAAAGCCCTGTGGAAACTCATTGATGAATACCAACCATTAAATATATGGGTAGCCCCAGAATGTGGTCCTTGGGGAGGGTGGAACCGTCTCAACATGTTCAAGAGTGTTGCCCTGTTTGACAAAGTGATGGCCTGGCAAAAACGTGAAGCCTGTCACGTGGAGCTGTGTTCCCAACTATGTGCCTTTCAGGTTAAGAGGAGCCGTCATTTTCATCTGGAACAACCAAATGGTTCCACCATGCCTCAGTTGCCTGCGTTTCAAGCCATCAGAGAAACCACTGAAAGAGCCAGTTTTGACATGTGCATGTTCGGTTTAAAACATCCAATCAGTCGCCGATTTCTTCGAAAGTCCAGTCAAGTGTTTTCCACAGATCCCTCAATAGTTTTGAAGTTGCAGGCCTCGAGGTGTGATCACCGACACATGCATCAGCCAATCGAAGGTAGTGTCAATGTCAATGGACATCGCTTGCCACTGACGAGATTCTGTGCGACTTACAGTTCAGGATTTGTTCACCAGGTCGCTCGATGGATGATTCAAAACATGCAACATGAACTTATGGTGGGTGAACATGACGAAGAGCCTCCAGCAAAGAGAAGCCGATTTACCAACAATCCTCTGAAACGTTTCAAGTCATCACATGTGATTGACCTTGATGCAACTGCGTTTAATCCCAGCGTTCCAACATCAGTCCCAAGTATGCCCCTTTTCAGCCAACATGGTGGGGAAACTGATAATTTGATTCCATCTCAGGAGTCCCAACATAGTGAGAATCAACAACAGTCCCCTGTTCCTGATGTGCAACCCGTAGCGAGCGGTGCCCGAGAGAATGCCCTGCCGAGTGATCCAAAAAGGTCACCCTCAGTTCCCTGTCCGAATGAAGCTTGGAGAGCCATCTTCCAAAGTCTGGAAGTTATCGCTCCACGTGTGGGCAATCTCTTGGTTGATGCAAGTCATGCGGTGTTTGCTCAGGTACAAGCTTTGGTGCCACATATGAATCTTCAGGTGATTTTTGTTTGCAGAGGTACCGAAAGAATGCAACTGCCGTTGAACCTTCCTGACCGACAGGTGAACACCATGCGTCACACTGTAAGCCTTCACCGTAATACGGGGGAAATTCATGACTTTGGTAGTGAAGAATGGGTGACCCTTAAACGTAGTTGTCGAATAAGAAATGCAGTTCCCTCCAAACTTATGATCACATGTTTTGGTTCTCCAAGAGTGTTACCTGAAGACAAGATCGCTAGTGAGCATCCAATGCCTGAGCCAGAAAGCAAAGTTGTTCCACCAGTGAGTGACGGGGCGCCCTGTCCTGACAATCCTGCGGTTGCTGTAAGAGGTGTCTCCAAGTCTGGCCAAAATGAGATTTGTGAGGGATGGGCCCCTCCACCAATCGCTATTCATGGACCCAAATTCCGAAATCTTAGTGAAGTAGAGAAAGCGGATCTGAGAAAACTGCACTTAAATCTGGGTCATCCAGATCCAAATGTGCTGGCTGAACACTTGAAGACACATCAGGCCGCTCCACATGTGGTCGAAGCAGCTCGTGAGTACGTTTGTGATGCCTGTGTTGAATCAGTAGGGCGGAAACATCAGCGACCTGCCAAACTCCATGAGCCACGAGATTTCAACGATCTGGTAGGAATTGATGGATTCTATTGGTCCGGTTCCAAAGGTTTTCGTGTCCACGTTTTTCACTGCATTGATGAGTCGTCATTATTTCATCTTGGCAGGCGTTGTGAGACCCGAAATACTGATCAAGTAATTGATACTTGGTCCAACTTTTGGACATCGTGGGCTGGTGATCCGGACCAAGTCTACACCGATCCTGCCGGTGAATTCATCTCTGAAAAGTGGAAGGAATTGATGACTTCAAAGTCCATTCAACTGTTGATTGCCACTGAAGCTTGGCAGCGAGGACGTGTAGAGAGACACGGACAGATCATCAAGCGCATGCTCACCCGTTGTGACCTTGAAAATCCAATTGAAAATTTGCAGGATTTTGACCGAACACTGTTGGCGTGCTTTCAAGCGAAGAATTCACTCATGCGTCAAAAAGGGTTCTCACCTGAACAGATTGTTCTTGGAAAAGCCCGGAAGATTCCTGCCAGTCTATCTTCGGACGAAAATGCTGTAGCCCATGACCTTGCTTTAGGTGATGACCCTGAGAGTGAATCCTTTCGAAAAACCTTAGAAGTCCGCACGCTGGCCAAAAAGGCATTTCTGATGACTGACAATGACCAGGCCATCCGACGAGCCCTGCTGCGCCGATCCTGCCCTGTCCGAGGTCCTTTTGAACCTGGACAATTAGTGATGTACTGGGTCAAGCGCCCCAAAGCCAGCCGACAAGAAGCAGGCCGATGGCATGGGCCAGCTAAAGTCATTGTACAGGAGAGCCAGGCTGCTGTTTGGCTATCTCATGCCGAGCGCCTTTTTAAATGTGCACCAGAGAGCATTCGCCCCGCATCCCTGAGGGAATGGAATACCCACAGTGATAAAGCCCAATCATGGATTCCTGAACTTAATCATCAAACTCCACAACTTGCATTACCTAATAGCCCAGACAATGCCACCGACTATGAACCCAGTCTTGCACCTGAACCTGTAATTGCCATTCCCCATCATTCCAGTACTCCACATTCCTCCATACAACCCGAAAGTGAACTGTTTCCAGAACCTCCTCAAGACCTTTCACATGAAAACTCTGAAATTCCCGATGCACCAACAAATCCACCTGAAATGATCGACCTGGATGCAGAGACCGATGCCGATGATGCCTCACTTTCCGTGATGGACACTTTGCCCATCCTAAATTGCCATGCTCTGACGACTGAAGCCAGGTCGGAACCGCTCTATGAAGTGACCATGTTGGAACCTGGAGAACCGACTGATTTTCCCAATGATCAAATTCTTATTGCTGAAGATGACATGCCAATGATTCAACATCCTCTTGAATGTGAAGACCAACAATGTTTTATGTTGTCTGTTGACATGAGTGACCAGGACGTTCTCAAATGGTCGGCTTCAGCAAAACCCGAAGAAATGGCATGGGTGGCCAATGTGTGTAAGAGGGCTCGAGCTGAAGTGAGTGTCAAGAACCTTAACTTGGAAGAAAAGATCCTGTTTGAAAAGGCAAAAGATGCAGAACTGAATTGTTGGATTCAAACAAGTGCCTTGAAGCCCATACTTCGTAGAAAATTGAACCCTGAACAAATCCTTCAAAGTCGTTGGATTCTAACTTGGAAAGCAATCAATGAAGAAGATAGCACTAAGCCCCAGCGAAAAGCAAAGGCTCGCTTAGTGGTTTTAGGCTTCCAAGATCCCAAATTATGCGAAGTTGCACGTGATTCGCCAACTCTGACTCGAGAAGGACGAAATACGGTTCTGCAGACGATTGCCGGCAAAAAATGGGATTTATCGTCTTTTGACATCAAGACAGCCTTCTTGCGTGGACAGTCTGACAAAGACAATCCACTTGCCATGGAGCCTCCACCGGAGTTGCGTCAGAAACTAGGCCTCACTGCAGACCAAGTTTGTGCGTTGGTTGGAAATGCTTATGGAAGGGTTGATGCTCCATTGCTATTTTACAAGGAACTTTCGAAGCAACTTGACAAGCTACATTTCACCAAACATCCACTTGAACCATGTATCTACTTACTTGAAACTACACAAGGTAACCAACGTACCCTGCATGGCATTATTGGTACCCATGTTGATGATGGAGTATGTGGTGGTGACTCTTACTTCTATACCCAACTTGAAGCCTTGAAGAAAGTTCTGCCCTTTGGTTCTTTCAAGCAGCGGAAGTTTGTATTCACTGGGATACACCTTGAACAACTGCCAGACTTCAGCATTATGGCCTCTCAAGAGGAGTATGTGAAAAACATTCCTGCCATTGATGTTGGAAAATCCCGTCGAGCAACACCGGATGCTCCAATCAATGACGTTGAACTTAACAAGCTCAGGGGCATAATTGGAAGTCTTCAGTATGCGGTGTCCCACACACGGCCAGACATAGCTGCGAAGCTTGGCGAAGTTCAGGTTTCTGTTGCAAGAGCCACAGTCCAGACTCTTCTGTTGGCAAACAAAGTTTTGAGAGAGGCTCAAGAACATGGTCATGTAAAGATCTGCTTCAGAAGCATTCCTGTGGATCAGCTGACCCATGTAAGCTTTGGAGATGCTTCGTTTGCAAGTGCAAAACAATTATCGTCCTTTCAGGGAACTTTAATCTGCGCCACGAATCATGAACTGAATCTTAATAAGAAAGCACCTCTCAGTCCATTGACCTGGACATCCAAAAAGATTTCACGCGTGGTTCGTTCAACTTTGTCAGCCGAAGCATACTCAATGTCAGCAAGCGTAGATCGTTTAGGCTGGATGCGACTGTTATGGGGAACCATTCACATTGATCAATTTGATTGGCGTGACCCTCTCCGTGGATTTAGGTCACTTCCAAAGGCAACCATTGTCACAGATTGCAAGAGTTTATTTGATTTGGTTAGCCGAACAGCTATGCCATCTTGTGAAGAGTTCAGGACAACCTTGGAAGTTTTGCTCATCAAAGAAAGGTGCCAAGAACATTGTCATTTCAGGTGGATTCCGACCTCATTGCAGGTGGCTGATGCGTTAACCAAACCTATGGACCCTGTCCTACTGCGACAAGTTTTGTCATCTGGTTGCTTTCAACTTTTTGATGAAAATGAATCCTTGGAGCGCAACGCTCATAGAAAGCAAGCTGTTCAATGGATCAAAGAACAACAGAATGGAACCTTCCAGCAGTCGAAAGTCACATCAAAAGAATTTTAGAGGAGTGTGAACTTTCATGCATGTATCCATGCCTACCTTGATGTGACTTGCCTTGCATGTGCAGAAAGCCTTGTCTTGCCGGTCCCATGACTGCCCAAGCACCAGCGGAGGGTTGTGGTTGCGGCATTTTGGTGTTGGACACCATCGGTGCGAAAGCCATAGTGTTTCGGGGAAACATTTGCGGTGCAGCTGCGGTTTGGGAGTGTGGCAGGGCCCCTCTACAGTATCTGGTTGAATATTACATAGAAGGTTGGACCATCTATCATTTCGACTACTTGCAATTTGGGAAATTGCCAGCTACCAGGGTGATTTGGTTCCACGCCAATCACATATATAATATAATATATATATAGATATAGATATATGTGTGGATCTCATGATGCTTCATGATTTTTGATGTCCCACGGATCCCGTCGCATCGATGCCTTCCAAGTTCTGCTGTGGCCAAGTTATGGTGTCCATGCTCTGCCTCCAAGGGTCAAGGAGTCAAGGTCAGCGTGAAAAGACATACAATGCATTCCCAATGCATTCAAGGTATATTCCCACATCATTTTCTTTTACTCAAAATCTGCGGGAAATTCTGGGAATCAACATCATATTTCCAAGTTGTGTTATAGTTGTGTGAATCTTCATCCTATAGTTTCCTTAAATATTTCCCTTAAACATTCCAAGTTGAATTTCATCCAATTTCCGCCCGATTTTTGCCTTCAAAAACTGGATGCGCTGAGTGGCCAAGCCCAAGGAGGTCAGCCTGGCACAACGGCAGGCGAAAACAGCGTCTCCCCACTCGAATCAATTCAATTTAAAATAAATCAAAACTGACATCAAATACATTATCTACATGTGTATATATATATGTAGAGAGAGAGAGAGAGTCTATATATGTCTCTAGATTTCTTTCACTTTGCGGTAACGATTTCTTCAAAAGTGTCCTTCATGTCCTGTCTCTTGGCTCACCTGAGATCGAGGAGTCTACCAATTCCACCTCGACGGACCTTGGAACAAACCAGCAGATTCCACTTAAAATTCCTGCCATGTGACCCAGTGAACCGAGAAAATCTCGGTAAATTTGCTAATATTGAACCAACTATTCCAACTATTCCAACTATTCCAACTATTGAGCCAATTTGACTCTCAAGGTTTAGCTTTGCGATTGAAGCTCCTCATATCCTTGGCATTTCACAATTTCCATATATGTCCAATGGTTTCCGCATGAGCTCTCTGCGGGTGCTGGTTCGCCTTCATCACAGGACTCTTCCTCCTGGCATGCTTTTACCATGTTTTACCATGTTTTATTTTTGGTCAATCGGATCAATCATCGTCATGCCGTTCAAGCCGTTCAAGCTCCGCTTCGCCTCCACCTTGGGCTCTGAGAGACAAAAGTCATCCACCAGGGAAACCGAGGAAGGCAGCTTGGCACGCAAGGCCTGCATCGAACCAAAATCCGAAGAAATCGAATCGACTGAATCAAGTTCTCACCAACCCCGATGCTGTCAGCTTCGTGCACTATCATGTGAATCATGTGGCTGCATAGCTTGCGTAGCTGCGTAGCTCATGGCCTTGAGTCCTTCTTGAAGTTGCGGATCATTTTGGGCCAAGGGTGCCTGGAGGCGAAACCGCGAGAGGAAAGCATTGACACAGAGTTTCTCAAACGCCCAGAGTCTACTTTTTTTTTTCAAATGCGCTTTATTGGTGATACTTAAGGTCAGCCAACAAGATCTCAGCAAATCTCAGCAAATCTCAGATCTCAGCGGATCTAGTTTTCTTCTCATCTCCGTATTTTGTGACCCAAGCTGAGATCTCCCACAATGATACACCGCAACAGCGGTTCATCTTTGCAAAGCCTCAAGGCGGCAAGGAAACGATGGAAATGTGAGTGCTGTCTCTATACTGATGTAATCGTTGCAGTTTGTAAACCATTTGAAAATCATTTCGGAAAAAGGATCAACATGATCAACAGATCTAAATGTGGAACTGCCTCACCTTTGCCATTGGGTAAGTGACGGTAAGTGGTAAGTTGGTGTCAGATGGTTTCAGAATCTGAAATCCACCGGTCCATCCTGATCTCATCAATGTGTAGGCACTTTTTCGGCCCACTGGGCAACTGAGGAGTCCAGCTTCTCGTAGTACTCCAAAAGCTGGGCCTTGGACTTCGCAGCGGAAACATGACTTTCAAACATTCTCAATATCATTAGTATCATTCTCATAAATTACTATCACCATTATTATTAATTATCATATATTATCATATCAATGACTAATGATGATGGAAATGGTTGAACAAGGTAATGGACAAGGCTATGTCAAACCAAGCCAGGTCAATGAAGGTGGATTTCTCCTGAGAAAGCGATGCCCTTGGTGCCTGCTTCATGTGTGTTTCGTTGAAGGTGTAGCATCCATCCTCAAAGGCAGCATCTGCATCGGCATGCCTAGCACAGGTGGCACATTGTTTTGGCGTGCCACGGTTTAGTGTTGGACTTATCTTCTCGGTCAGTTGCATGACACTCATTACATATGCTGTCGAAACACTTTTTGATTGTCAACATGCGCCAACACTGTGAGAGCTTTCTCTGTCATAAGAGTTGTAGTCTCTGCCCTTCAGACAGATGTCTTGTACGAGCCAGCTGCACAGGGCAAAGTAGACAGAGGACTGTTGCTGCTCCTGCAATGCACAGGACAGATCTGAAGGTCGGGTTGGAACGTTTGACAGTGTGGTGTGGTGCTTTCAACCATGAAAACGAGTGAATTGCAGTGAATTGCGCATCACCATTGCATTTGTAGGGCTGGAAAAACAAAATGTTCTGAAACCCTGGGTATGGATCCATATTTCAGACCCACGAAGCTCATGCGTCGAGACATTGATCCCAAATTGCTTGGAGCCCCGTGAAATCCGGTCAGTGAAGAAAGCAAACCACATTTTCTACAGCGGTGAACATGGTGAATGATGAACTGTGGCTCCTCCTGTAGCAACACAATGGGTTCTTTCTCGGATTCTTCGGACACTGACTCCTCAGATCGTGGACACATGTCGTCACTTCTTCGAAACCCGAAGCTGAGAGTAGGGCATCATCGGAATCGTGTCGCGCTTCCTCCCGATCCAATAAAGGCAAGTAACATCAAGTAACACAAGCATGATGTGTAGATCATAGGTTTAGATTGGTTTAGCAGATCTTAGCAGTTTAGCAGTGTATTGCATTCGCACTCCAGGCCTTGAATCGCGCGGCAGCTGCTGCTTTCTTCTGTGCTTGATAATCTGAGATTTGAGGCCATTATAGGCCATTGGATTGTTGACAATGTTGACAATTTGTCGAACTAAACCATGAAATCACATGAAATCACATGAAATCACATGAAATCACAAAAAGAAGTCTCTTCTTTCCGGTTAAATGGTCGGAAAACGGCAAGAAATACGTACGCAATAGATTGCAATACAGGAATAGGACAGTACCCACAATGCATCACAAGACGCTGGTACATGGCAAAGCTGGCAAAGCTGGCAAAGCTGGCAAAGCTACTTAAACAAAAGCTGCTCAGCAAGGCACAAACTGCAGAGATGCTGTGCCTTCTGATTGAAGCTCTGCAAGTTTTTTCTCGTTCTGGACCTCACTCTCCACTTCGAGCCATCACAGGCTGACGAGTTTTCTCCATTTCTCTGAGTCAACCGATGTCAACCGATGTCAACCGTTTGGTCATTTGAGTCATTTCTCTGCAACGCCTCGACAAGAAATGACAAGGGTGAAACATGGTGAAACAGCAACAAAGACTGACAAATGGCATCGCAGCAGAGAGACTTCCCTTGGGCTACTGCATAGAGCGGTAACACAGCATCGATGGTTTGCCTCGTGTGTTTCAACATGTTTCAACTTGACACGTCCTGTCAGTCCACTTTGTCCTTCATTTGTCCTTCATCCAGCTATGTGAACATGTTGAAACATGAACAGTCGTGAACTGCATCGGTTCCATGCGGTTCCTCGGGTGCAGACCTCAATTCTGCAATGCTGGTGGCAAAGTCATCAAGGCTCCCAGCACCAGCCTGGCACACACAGCGTCTCCTGCTTTCTGCTTCACAACGGTTCACAACTTTGAGAATGTTGATATCTGTTGATATCTCTGTTGATATTCCTGGGATATCTGCACTTCGCCAGCCTTGTCTCCAAGTGCATGACCTCATTCTGATCACAGCAATAGTCACAGCAACCCGAGTTTAGCTGGTCGGTCGACGAAAACGACATCTGTGGCATCAGGCACTGATAGGTGCCCGACCCAAGCGACACGTCAGCTCCAGAGAGTTCAGTGGTGGGCAGTACCTGTCAAGGCATGTGGAGTGGATGGAGTGGATGGAGTGGATGGAGTGGACTAGGAGTCGAAACACTCGAAACACCTCCGTTGAATCGGGGCACTCGTGAGGCTCTGGTTCTGGGAGCTCATCCTCTAAGGGATTCAGATGCAGATCTTTCGAATCTTTCCACCGGCATTCATGTAGTCAAACTACCATGAGCCACTTTCAAGACGCTTACGTGTCTTCACGTGTTTATGTTGCATAGAAGGAAGAACAGACTCCAAAAGATATATGAAAAGATATGAAAAGTGCATCGACCGAGTGTCCGAGCTCTACATCACCAAATGCACTGCTGTCGACGGCCCAGTCCTGATCAATCTCTTCTAGATTCAGCTCTGCCAGAGCAGCCAAACGTGCCTCCTCCGCTGCCTCTTGGCTTTGTTGTCACTGGTTGTCAGTGGTTGTCATCGTTTTCTCTCTGAAATGCCGAGACCAACTGCTTCGAAATGGTGGGAAACAAACGAAAAACACATGTACGGCCGGTGCTGCTGGTCATTTCTTTGAGTGCCTTGGAATATGGTTCTGCACATGTGAACAAAACAATTCACTTGCAACACTAAACCATTTGATTGCGTCCCTACTCTGAACCTCGTCGATATGTTCCAAATGAAACTCGGAACCAATCAAGTCCTGCAATGCATCAAAGGCTCCAAATGATTGTTTGAGTGTGTATATATATATATTATAGATTATACATCGCATTCCTTCAAGAGATAGCATCTTTGATATCTTTAGTTATGAAAGGGTTCTTTTTGTTTAATTTGGAGAAATAGGGCAATTTGCTGCGTGCAAAATCGTGGCGGCGACTCTCCTTGGCTTCTGGCAAGGTGGAGGCCCATAAGCTCAAGCCAACAAACAGGCGTCGCTTCGCCTCAGGCTGCTCACCGAAACCAACAGGTTGTAAAAACGGTTTCAAGAAGGTACCAAAAGGTCTTTTACGTTTAAAAAAAATAGGCGTTCTCCTTTCTCAGGTCGTTCTCCTTTCTCATGTCTTTCTCATGTCTTTCTCATGTCTTTCTCATGTCTTTCTCATGTCTTTCTCATGTCTTTCTCATGTCTTCAATGTGCTCAAGATCAGCAGACTCAACTTGGACTCTAGCAGTGCTGCCCTGTCTCAGTGGGAAGCACAACTGTGGCCTGTTGCGCAACAGGACAAGAATATACAAGAATATACGAGAATAAGATGTACCCAGAACCTGCTTTGTATTTTGCAGAAAGAACAAATGGTATTCTTTTGAATGCAGTTGCATGGATTCTGTTGTGGTGCGAATATGTCTCTTCATTTCTGCTTCGCAGATGTTTTCTGCAAAGATTCTGCGGGCCAACGAAGTAGCATCTCTGCAGCCCTACGTTCATGTTTTCCATGGTGAAAAGTAGGAAAAATGATGAAATTGATGAAAATTGATGAAATCATGTTGCCTTTTGCATCCATTTGCCCAAAAGTCGGATTTTGGCGATGGAATACAGGGGATACATGCGGCCATGGCGGCCATGGCGGCCATGGTAGCCCTGTCAACATGGCCAGGCTGGCCAGAGATTCTGCCAGACTTCCAAGTCTTTTTGGCAGGAAATCGCTGGAGCAACGCACTCCTCCGGCGAGCCAACTTGCCGAGAAATATGCCCCGGCTTTTCCAATAGGTGCCATGCTGACTCTACAGACCCTTCAGTGCAATGACCCCAAGTTGGCCCAAGTTGGCCCAAGTTGGCCCAAGTTGGCCCAAGTTGGCCCAGGAGTCTCCGGGTTCTCCTCCTCCTCCTCTTCCTGGACACCCCCAAACTCCACGATGCCTGCGCGCATGGCCTGGCAGGCAGCGGGCAGCGGCACAGGCAGCGGCGCAGCTCCGCACAGCTTGCGGCGGTCCACGTCTCCCGGCCTCGCCGCTGGTGCAGTCCATCAAACGTCCCGCCACCTGAGCACGACCACGGCACCACGGGACCACGGGACCAAGCGTGCTCCAAGGGTGGGCGCCTTGGTGGGAAATCTACGGTTGGAACTCTTTCTCAGATTCCAAAATTCAAATACACAAAAAGTGATGGTTTAGTCTGAAGTTTACCAAGAGAACTTCGGATCCTTTGCTGCCATGAGGGTGTAAACCCCAGTGTGCCAGCCCTTCAAAGTCTGAACATATCGCCCAATGTATATCCAACATATATCCAACAAATTGCAACTTCGGACCATCCGACCTCACCAAATTTGTGGCTGGCGGTGCAACCGCGGCCTCAAGGAGTTCTCCTACCAAGGCCGCTCGCAAGGCTTGCAGCTCCTCAGCTCCCATGGCATCTGCCAGGCGCTGATGGATCTCCTGGATCGGATCAATCGGATCGATGTCGATCTCGGATTTCGGACGGCACGTTGACACGTTTTTTGGGGCCGGACTGTTCTGCGGGCCTCGAGGTCGTGTAATCTATCTGCAGAGAGTTTTCAGGTGGCCCAATCGTTGGCATTCCGTAACGATTTGAAACGATGCAAGACAAAACATGACAAAACTATACAAAACTCAGCCATCTCAAAACTCATCTCGGGTCAGGGTACATCTCTCAAGTTCACAAACCTGACGAAAATAATAAGCTGTCCAGCATTTCTGTTCAGGAATGGCTCTTAGAGATATGTTACTGATATGTTGAGTAAATCTGGAACATTGGGCCACCTGAGAAACTGTCAGGATTCAAAGATCTAAGTCCCATCAATTCTGCAAGCCCAGTGAGACTTCCAGTGGGCAAATGCAGTGACCACAAGAATCCACAAGACACATATGTTGCACGTGGGTCTTGGGGTCTTGTTTTTGGATCAATCAACAATATCACCAATGAGTATCACTTGTCAATTGATAGGACACTCTTTGCACTATGTAAAGATACTGAGCTTTGCTCAGCCCCTACTGTACAGGCCATGGCACCATGGCACCATGGCACCACCATGGCACCATGATCAGTAGACGGATTCGTCCAGGTCCAAGCCGTCGGGCATCAAGCTGTCCATGGCATCCAGGGATTCCAAGGGCGTCACGGCAAAGAGCTCGTCGCGGATTGACACGAAATCCGCCTTCTTCAAAGCGCCCCCTGGGATTCCATCAGAATGGAGAGATACTTCAGAGATCTCAGATGATTCTGACAGATTCTGCCGGTCCAACAGATTCTGACAGATTCCGACATGCTCTGATACTTTGAGCGTGGATTTGTTATCCATGAATTTGTCCCAAACGAATCCAAATGATGAAAATGATGAAAGGCAACTCTCCAACTGAATTCATGTTACCCTCTTTGCTTTCCCAGCGTTCTCTCCTTCTCTCTTGTACTTTTCCAGCCAAGGAATATCTGGATCATCTGCCATGGAGGTGAAGTGCTCCAACAAGGCATCCTACAGAGTGTCTGCAGACAGAATTGCCAACAAAAGAAAGGAGGCAGGCTGTGCAGCAAATGCAGCAAATGCAGCAAATGCAGTAGATTGGGTCTAATTCTGTACATTTCTGTACTGTCCTTGCAGTTGGCCCAAGCACGTCGATTTTCGTCAATCTCCTTCTGGATCTCTTCGGGTGCATTTTCGCAGTCCTCTTCGTACTCTTCCAATGGTTCCATGGACGAAAGCGGGAAACGTGTCACTGGATCCAACCAATCTGGATGTTCATCTTCCAACATCGCCTGCCATGCAACAATTTCATACAATTTCCCAATGCCATAATTATCATAATTCATCATCTTCTAATACACTTCTAATACACTTCTAATACACTTCTACACTTATCTCATCTTATCTCTCAGCAGAAACACTCGTCCGGATTGGCATTTTGGATTCCAATTTCATCCAATTTCCAGCTGGAAAAAATGGTGAAAAAATGGTGAAAACACCTCTGTGCTCGTCCTCAATTCGTCTCCAAACGGTGCCTGGAAGTTCTCCCAGTAGCGTTCAGGTCCCCCAGCTTCGATGGGTGGCCTGGTTCGTGCGATCTGCCACTGAGCTCGGGCACGGCAGTGCAGCAGAAACGGCTTTCGACCTTCTTGTTTCTGCCAGCCGTTGAAGGCTGGATAGACATGCCTACGGACAGTCTGGAGAAGCTGGACAGTCTGGACAGTGACAGTGCTCATGTCAGAAAGCGGTGCTATACTATGACAGCATACGACAGCTATGGGCAGCAAGATACTGTATCAAGCAATTAAGAATCCGAATTCAGCTGAGCCAGCTGGAAAACGGAGCGCTCGCAATATCGGTAATTAGTAATGATGAGATTTAAGGACTCAAAAAGAGAAGAACAACAGAACAAGTGGAACAACTGGAAAACAGCTCTGCCATGCTCTGCCAAGAGTCCTTCGGCACTCATGAGGTCGCTCTGGCCAATGATTCTCTGACTCCAGATTGCACTTGGTTCCACATCCAGGGCACCTGTCCATTCCAACTACAAACCCTTTCACATATGTTTGACCATAACTCAATTATCATCATTATCATCATTATCATTCACTATATCATCATTTCATGATGATGTTTTATATCTTCGTAGTCACTATCTTCACATGACATCATTTGTAAAGTATTTAGAATATAAAACGTTCAGGCGTTTATTGTGCACCTGGCAGGGCAGCCGGAGATGCACTTCCAGAAGTCGGATTTCTGTCGCGTGAGCTCCGATTCCATGCGCCGCTCCACGGTGAGTTCCGTCTGACGCATATCGGAACGGTAGCGTTGCAGCTCCACCGAGCAGAAGCGCACGAACTGGGTGAAGTCTTTCCTTTGCGCACCAGGTTCCCATGAAATGAACAATTTGAGGAACAAGAAGTATGTACAATATTGTATAATTCTGTATAATGCGTATTAACTGTATTACTGCACTTTATTGTGATGTATTCTGGCAATTTCTGGCACATGTGGAATCATGCGCATATATGTGCATCATGTCCCATGTTGCAGACCTTCCACCAAGTCAGGAAAAGTCAGGAACACAAACTTGTGTGGACACTTGTTTCATTTTCCAGGCTTCAAAGTCCAGTCAGCTTCGCTTGGGAAGGAAGGCAAACAGGAACACAGCACCGCTGACAAGGATTCATCCGCCAGCTGTGAACAGGTGTCCTTCAACACCTGTGACAACTTGTTCATGGTCAGATCGGTGACGCCTGACAAATCTGACAACAAATTCAAAACATTTCAACTGGCCCAAATGGATGCGAACAGCAAGAGTCAGAAAGGACGGAAGGACTGGCATTTGAAGCCGCAATTCAGCAAATTCGCTTCCATGACACAAGTAAACCGGTTCGAAACATGCGTAAATCATCCGTGAATCATCCGTGGAAAACCATTCACGGAAGATTTCAAGCGATTCACAGAGCACTCAAAGCACCTTCCAAGGTGTGATCCTCCAGCAGATCCTGTAGGCGCTCTTCCGCCACTCGAAGGCAGCTGCCGAAGTTGTTCTTCAGCTCCTGGCAATATTTGTCCACCAAGCCCTGCTTGAAGGACTCCCACTCCTTGTGGAACTCCATGAAGAGATACCTCAACCAACACGACTATCAGATATTATTATGATATTATCAACTATCAACACTATATCAACCCTATATCAACATATGTCCCTGGTAGATGATAGATGTATGATATGTATGTTTGCATTCAAGGTATTCAACGTCATTGCATTGAAAACGATACTTTCAAAAATCACATTGTCTTGTTTGATCCTGGAAACTGAGTGGGATCGATGGCATACATCACCACGTGGCGCCAGTTGCGACGGGTAAAGGAGCGCTCAATGGCTTGCTCGCAAGCGCTGCCAGGGTTCGTCAAGATCTTCGACATGTGCGAAACCACCTGGTCAAAACGGCAGGCGTACAGGGGCTTTCACATTCAGAAGGCTGGAAACATGTCTCACAGTCCAAAATGCATGTATTCACCAGATTATACCAGATTCCACAAATACTTTCCACGAATGCAACGAATGCAATGCAGCTCTTAGATAGATCTTCCAGTGAACAGGGGTGGTTCATCTCCTGCCTCCTGTGCCATGCGGCCAACAGCATTGCGGAAATGTTGGTCAAGCGTGTCCACAAAGGTCCTTAGTTTTCCAGTGGTGCACCTTTGTCTCCAGGACTTGCAAAGGAAAGTGCTCAAAATTCAGCCCTTTGCGAGATGCATGAGTTCATAATAGTTCATATTTGGATTTTGAAAGCTCATGGAGAGCATGCAATTGAGCCCACAGAAATGTGTTGTGTATAGAGTCTAACTGTTGTCTGTTTCCATCTCCAAGGATCTTGGCCCAAACTTTGGCGCAGTGCACTTCGCGCTTGGCACTGTCCACACGGGCCTGGATCTCCCAGAGCTTCTGTTTTTTCTTGCTCACGATCTCTTTCACACGGTTCTCGAAGTTCTGCTGCTCGATCTGGGGAAAAGCGACAATCTGGCTATTCACGATATTCATAACAGCTTGTCTTGGAATGCCAAAATGTGTTCCGCTTCCTTCTGCTTCCTTCTGCTTCCTATCTGACCCTCGCCTGGAAGCGGTAGTGGATGGTGGCCTTTGCCATTTCGTAGACCAACTTCTGCACGAAGGCAGAGCCCAACCGATGCAGCAGCTGCCGCAACTGATCCGCCGCCTGACAGGACAAGATATCTGTTGGGATCTGAGTCAATCTGAGATCAAGCACTAAAATCACCAAAAAGCAACCCATCAAATGTATTACAAGTATCTATATAATAGTATTTAATAGTATTTAATAGTGTTTGATAATATTTATCTTAGTATTGAATAGGGTTTAATTGTTATATATGTATTCGAGCGTAAAAAGGGCGCGTCAAATCTTGGTGAGTGACATCGGTGCCTCCATCTCTGTGTTCAGACGGTTCAAGATCTTCAAGGCAGCAGCGTCTGACATCTGTCCCTGCTGATCCACCTGTAAAAAGAAA